AACGGTCGTACGTCATGACATCACCCCAAAATGGACGCATACCTTTAAATCTCACTTTGACATTTGTTGCGCTTGCAGAAATATTCACTTCCTCTCCATTACCACTTACTTCTTCTGTGACTTTTCTTTCGTTTAAATAATAAGTTACGATCATCTTTGAGATCCATGATCCTTCGGAGTAATATTGAATGGTTTTTTTGGTTAATTGTTCTTGGCTTGTTTCATCGGCAATTGAGCGTCGCTGTGTTTTTGACGCAAAACGTTCATTATTTGTGCAGGTTGAATTACTTTGATTGAAATCGATTTCTACTGTTGATGAAAAATTTCTCTCTGTTTGAGAGCTATGTGTCAGGGGTTTTGCAGATGCTCCATACTTCACGTTTGAATTGTTGTCACTTAGTAAAAAATCATTTGCTCCTAACTGTAACTCATCAATTGAGGTTTCTTCAAACACTTTATTGTATGATTGTTTTGTTCTTTCTCTTCGCTCATTGTTTTCCTTTTCCTTTAATTCCTTCCGCGCAAATTCATTCTCATTTGTTACATCATCATTCCCACCGTTTCCTTGAGTTAGATAAAACTCGTGCATTAGTTCCTGTACTCCGTCAACATCCTTCCCACCAAATGCATTTTCTTCGTTTTGCAGTAGATCCAATAACTCCTTGTCTTGATTCTCATTCTCACATACAAGTGTTGTCAGGTCTAGCTTTTTAGCCGAACTATCTACGAGCTCGTAAGCAGCGTCGTAAGATTTTTTAATTGCAACTCTCGACGCCAAAATAGCAGCTCTTTTACCAACAAGGCGCAATAGTTTAACTGTATTTTGTCCTGTCGTACGTAAAAAAGCTCGCTCTATTAAGTCACCTTCAATCGTTGGTGCGGCCGCAGATGAACCACAATCAACTAAAGGCTTAGTAACTGCACCTGCTGCTATTCCAGCTGTCGCTCTTATCAATCCTCCCAATAGGGCGGGAATTATGACCTTCTTTAGAGCAATGTTTTCTTTGTCAACTAATTTCCTTGAGAGAATAGAGCTCAAAGACATTATTATTCCACTAATACCACCATTAGCTGTTCCCATTTCAATAAATTTACCAATCGAAACCGCACTTGACGATAATGCTGCGTTTCCAATGCCTACTATTCCTGCTGTGATGCCAGCGGACCCACCTCCAACGAAGACACCTGCAGTTCCACCTATTAACGCTTTTTTGATCCATTTCTCGGAATCTATTCCATCAATAACAGATCGTTCTTTCAGGAATTCACCTGAAGATTGTAAGCCGGCGCCAAATAACGCTCTACCAGCTACTGATCCTAATGTTACAAAAACTGGTGCACCGAGACCAGCCGTTAAAACAGAACAGGTGATCCCGCCGACAACTAATAAAGAAGAGAATACAAGAAAACCAAGTCGCTTCCAAAAAGCTTTAAGTTGCTTTTCACTCACGTATTCAGATAAAAACATTGCTTTCCACCGTATTTATCAAATTTAATGATTACAATTTTTTTTGATTCTTAAATTTTCGTTCTGTAATCGTTTGGATTTCATCGTCAAAATTCTGTTTTATGTATGAAAACTTAAACAAAAGCCACCTTAGTAAACAGATCAGTAGATAAAAACATATCTAGAATTATATTAATTGGCTGACTGATAAGCGGGGTGGCTCGACATTTTTGACTGATAACGGAGTTCAAGAATGCCTATTTAAGCCATTCCATTGGTCAATAGCCAGATCAGTGGACGATCTGGAATAATTTCGAACGATTAGCGGGTTGGCCGGACCTATAAGGGAGTCCATTTGCTATCGTGTAATTGGTTCGTTTAAATTTTTGTCTTAGTGTGATTGGTGTGACCGATTTCGACTGATAGCCAATTGAACTAACATAGTCAAGCTCACTGTCTGAATTGAATTTGAATTTGAATTTCATAGTAATTTTCTTGAGCATGATAGAAACTAAACTACAATCGGATGGAAATTATGGAAATCTTTTACAAATTCATATAATGACATGAATGCTGCTGTCCAAACTGTTAATTTTTTCAAAAGGGTGAAAAATTTATGGATAAATTGTAAATGCTTGGCAAAGACGATCTCGCGAGAGACATTTCAGTCATTGATGTTCAAAAGCAAGCCAACATCGTTTTTAATTTTTATCAGCAGAAATTTACATCCAAAATCGTAAGTAAAGGACAACTGAAGTGTATGCATGAATGTAAAATATCAAAGTCAATTTATGCGAGTGAGTGATGCGATTTATGTCAATGTGGCGTATGGTAAGCAGATTGATGCTTCTAAAATTGTTATTGTCGAAGGACTTTTAGCTAGGATTTCTTTAATGTTTGGGGAATCGTGGCCGTTATATGGCAGCAAAATTCTACATTCCTGCAAATATGTTTCAATGGACAAAAAATCTGTAGCCATAAGGCGGCATACAAACAAACAAACAACATTTATATACCGTCCAGTATTAATCCCCGCCAGGGGGGTTGACCGGTCCTTGAACTTTTCTACGCCAAACGTCTCTATCTCTCGCCATATCTCTCGTTATACCCATCGCCTTCATATCACTGTTCACAGCATCCATCCATCTCCTTCTCGGTCTACCCTGTTTGCGGACTCCATCAACATTCATATGCAACGTTCTACGAATTTCAGCACTTTCTTCTCTCCTTTCCACATGCCCAAACCACCTCAAACGCTGGCGCCTTACCCAATTCTCGATACACTCAACACCAACTCTTTCTCTAATCTCTTCACTTCGAATCCTATCCATCAACGTTACACCACACATCATCCTAAGCATTCTCCTTTCCGTCGACGCCAATCTTCTCAGGTCCTCTGCTTTCGGCGCCCAACACTCTGCTCCATATCCCAAAACACTTCTAACACATGCCTTGTACAATTCTCCCTTCTGTTTCAACGAAGTCGACTTTCCGCACAACATTCCCGACAACTCTCTAAAACTCCAACCCGCTGCTTGAACTCTGTTCCTCACCGCTTGCTCGCACCCTCCACCATCATTTAACACATCGCTCAGATATTTAAACTCCGATACACCTTCCAAACTCACGTCACCCAGTTCAAACAGTTCAATCGCGACTCGCCCACCACTTCGACACGTCCCGCACTCAAAATCAGTTACTCTTGCCAATGCACCACGGACACCTGAACATCTTCCACGAACCCACTTACTTCATTTCCCACACATTATCGAATTCACTCCAACTCTTTTTCCACACACACCACATGGCCATTTATCACTGTCCTTCACCTCCACCAGCCTCGAGCATCTCATGCCCTTCGTCTTTGCCTCATTCACTTTCAGTCCCTTGACTTCTATTGCCGTTTTCCATTCTCGGTACCATTCCATGACTTTCTGCTTCGACGCCGCCACCAAGACAATGTCATCTGCATACAACAAACACCAGCATCCTTCTTTTCTTCTCACTTCCTCTGTCAGTACATCCATCACACAAGCAAACAGTAACGGCGACTAGACTGAACCTTGATGAACACCAACTTTTACCTCAAAAACACCAGATCTAACACCTTCCTCCGTAACCACCGCCTCTACACCTTCATAAGTCTCCATAACTGCCCGAACCATATTCTCTGTCACTTTCTTACGCAGCGTACTCGATCACCTTTCGGAACTCTATCAAACGCCTTCTCCAAATCTACAAACACCATATACAATTCTCTGTCCTTCTCCAAAAATTTCTCCTGCAGCTGCCTCAACACAAAACACGCATCCGTCGTTCCTCTCCCCGGTATGAATCCATACTGTTCTTCCCCCATCCGAACAACTTCCCTCAACCTTCTTTCAAACACTCTCTCTACTATCTTTAACGCATGCTCCATCAGCTTAATAGTCCTGTAATTCCCACATACCGTCGCTGCTCCTTTTCCTTTGTACAGCGGGACCACTAGACTCTTTCTCCATGTACTCGGCATCTTTGAGCCCCTCAAAACCTCGTTCGCTACATTGCACAACTCTCTCACGCATAGTTCATTGTCCAACGTTTCGCTGCCCATTTCACTCGGTCCCGTCGCCTTTCCTTATTTCATCTTGCGCAAAGCCGCCGCCACCTCATCAACAGTCACTGTTTCCCACGGCCCCAAAACTTCATCCGCTTCAACTTCTCCATTCCACTCATTCTCTACATTCATCAAAACGGTCACAGTACGCCCTCCACACTTCTAACCTGTCTCCCATTAACACCTTCAACTCCCCATCGTGGTTCTGCACGCCGAGAGCACCCAAAATATCGTTCCTCTCCTTCTTCTCCGTTCTAAACAACGCTTTTCGCCTCCTGCATTTTACGAGAAGCTCTTTCTGATGCCTTTCTATCGCTTTAACCACCTCCTTTCGCGCCTTTTTCTTGAACCGATAATCGATCATATCTGCTTCAGTCCGCGACTTTCTCCACCTTTTAAATGCCAACTTCTTCGCCAATCACTTCGCTGACTCGTTGATCCCACCACCATGCCTGTTCTTCTACTACACTGCCTTTACTTCTACATACCTTCTCCGCTGCCTTTAAAATACCCTTCTCCAGCACGTCCATTGCTCCTCCACCGTCTCACCTCAACATTCAATGTCGTAATTTCGTCACGGAAACACTGCTTCCTTCATTCGATCGTAACTTAAGCCTGCTTTACCCTCAACCTTTCTCCTCTTCACCTTCCTGATTCTCCAGTCCATGACCAGCAGCTTGCTTCACACATTTTCTCCTGAAATCACTTTTGCATCCTTCACGTTTTTCCTCTCTTCTTCATTCACCAGTATATAATCCACCACCATCCTACTGTCACCAGATTCATACGTCACAAGCTTGCTTTCTTCCTTTATAAACCACGTATTCACTACCACCATCCCACAACTCGCTGCTAACCCAATATCGCCTCGCCTTCAGCATTCATATCACCAACTCCAAAACCTCCATGCGCACAGTATCCTTACGCTTCCCACATTACCGTTCCAATCACCAAGCATCACACATCGCCCTCTCTGCTCACTGCATACACGCTGTCGTAGAACTTTTCCTTCTCCTCGCTTCGTCCAACCTGCGGAGCATACACCACAACGAAACTCACAACTTCGGCCTCAATACTTACATCAACTCTCAGGACTCTGTCCGAAACTCTCTTCACTGCTACAACCGACTTCGCCCAATCCTCTCTTATCGCAAAGCCAACACCATTCGTGCCACTTCCGTTTCCCTTCCAAAACCACTTAAATCTCGCTCCATTATCTTCGCCCTTTATGACTCTCGTACCTTCACCTTTAAACCTTACCTCCTGAAACCCACACACATCAACTTTCCTTCTTTTCAACATGTCCGCCACTTCTGCACTCCTTCCCTTCATTGTCCCAACGTTCACTGTGCCTACCCGAAGGGTGACACTTCCACCAACGTTAGTAGAACCAACTCTCACCCCCAAGTTTTCGACTATTGATACGGAGATTCTTCGCACCCCCTGCCTACTGAAAGGCTGCCGGGAACTGGGGGCCATGTCTTCTTTTCCAAAGTTCATGAATTTTGTTGGAGCAAAAGTTTTACGGTAGGATGCCCTTCCTTACACCAACCCCTTTTAGTCGTCTTTTACGACAGGCAGAGGATACGTTGGCGCAATTCTAAGCCGGCAACCACACGGCAACATAAGGCGCCATACTATTATTTAATTTATCATGAACAAATGTTTTGGGCTTTTCAGTTTATAATCATTGATCATTCAATCATTAGACAGTTATACTTCACATTGTTTAAGATTTGAGAAAACTAACATTGATTACATGAGAAGCTGTTTACTATAACCTGTGATTTTGAGTCTTCTGATGCATGAAGCTTTTTATTTTGACAATTTGACTGGGATAATATTAAACCAGAGCTATTTCACATACATGAAATGTTGTCCCATGTCACATATTGTCCCCTTTTCTAACTGAACACCTCATGTAGAGATTTCAAGGTGTGTTAATCTACCGCTCATACCAGATTGTTTTCCAGAAATTCCTAAGGGATGTCAATGAAGGAAAAACATTTTCTATAAAGTAAAAATGTGTTCCTAGGTATGTAGTTAAGCCTTGAAATTTTGCAAAACAGCCAAGTATTTTGCATGATCACTAGGTGATTTTTCTGATGATCATTATAATTTTTAAACTAAATTATTTCAGATTTACATTTTAATATAGTTTTGATTATATGAAAAGATATTTATCATAAGCAGTAAGCATGACACATATACAAATTTTAACATTCATGTAATTATATGATTAAAGACATGTTGGTTACATTTTGTTTTTATTAGCAAATACAATGCTACTGGTAATTGCTATATAGCACACCTTGCATGGACTTACAAAAGATAATAGTCTACTGAAAAGCTTCATACTCTTTAATGGCATTAAGCTATCCTTAATTGCAAGATTTCCTCTGATAATCTTTGTATAATCTTTGGTAGAAAAAAATTTTGATATTTTTTTCAAAATGTGAATTTCCTAGCACTGTAAGTGGAAATGGGTTAAGGGTTACAAAAATTTGCATGGTTTGAAGTCTGAGCTTTTTTACATTCATGGACTGACCCTTGTAGTACCTCAATTCTAACTTAACTCATTACATAGAGGTGTGAATGGGGTCTCTAGGGGGTCCATTCCTGACAGCTTGGTAGAAATTTTTAAAGACTATATCATTTTTTGGAATAGCATTATTAAAATAAATGTTATGTTCCTTGACATGCTAATGAGCCTTAACATTTGGCAAAACATTCAAGTATTGTTCACTTCACAGTTTCATTTTTTTGAAAAAAACGAAAGCAAAATGTGTTGTTTTTACCAAAAAACATTTTTGTATTGCTCTAAAACGCTGAAAATGGCATTTCCAAGGCTTTGAAATTCAAAATTTCTCGGGGTAGCATGCCGCCTGACCCCTAGGTGTGGAACGGCTGAGGCGTTCGATGACTGATGTTTGAAAAATCCTAGATCCGCCCCTGATTTAAATCCACACCAACGTTATTAAAATTCGTACAAGATTCGAAAAAAAATAAATCCATATAAAATAAAAATACATGTTTGATCATCGAACACGGACGAACGCTTGACATGATTGTGATTGCTTGCGAAGCTAGCTTCTCTTATATCATCATTTAGGCTGTTTACTTTGAATTGCTGTCGGTAAAACAGAATGACGTGATTATCCCATTAATTATCCTTGTGAACGAAACAATTTAGTTGTACTTATTGTTACAAAAGCAAGCTTGGTGTTTCGAGTTAGTTGTATTATTTGCCCAAATGAACTATAATTGATATTCTTGATCTTCAGCAAGCTTATATCTGAAAAATATAATGAGCTATGTAGTTTTAATTGTCGTGTGTGAAATAGATAGCGAATTACTTGTGTGAATTAAGTTCAAACGCGAATGCTGTGCTTAACGTACACCTTAGGCGAAGAAGTTATTGTGACGTAGTGGGCACAGACGGACGGACGGCTATTTTTGGTACTGTTAGATTTTGTGATGTAGCCATCTACCTTCTATAGTATATATTGACTTACACCAACAAATAGAGATATCATAGATAACTATACGATCACATTTAATGTACAACATCAATGTCTATGGTCTACGATCTATCTTACAACGGTCTATATTTACAAGATATTACGTAAGGATGTATTGGTTCTTCACTAAATATGTTTACTTTACAATAACGGAAAACTATTAGGAACTATAAAAAATATTGTCATGATTACACATAAGCATCTCTAAAACTTATCATTTAGTTACACTTGACTTAATTATTTACTGATGACAGGAAGAATATGAGAGCATATATGGGAAATGCCGCAAAGTGTCGTAATAACACGGAAACTGTCCATCATTTTGGAGAATTGTCAAAAAATGACAATTGCCCAGTCATTGAACTTAAAATATTTTATTTAATTTTGAAAAGTTCAAAAATGTTCACAAATTTTTAATGCTCATCAAATGAAGAGAGCAAAAAGTTCACAAAAAGCCATGAGTTGCATAATTTCATCAAATTAAGGATCATAAACAGAGCAAATTCACGAATCTACGACCTTCAACGTAAAAGCGATTTTTTGCTTTTACGGGTCTGTGAAAGACTTGGCAAACTCAAAAATATCTGTTTTACGCATGCTTGTTTGAACAAAGAAAAGATTACACACTCAAAAATTGACTGAAAATATCGAAATAATGATCACGTACCAAATTAGTGTACCAGACGACTTGTACTTTTAGACAGTTTGAAGGTGAGTATCTCGGATTTTAGCTTCTTTTGACTTTGTTTGCTTAACCATTACAAAATCTCTTTTGGCGCCTTTCTATTTCAGGCCCGTAACCACACTGGGTGCACGTCCAACCCCCCATAACTAAAAAGGTCCGCTTTTCTACGCTAGTTCGCTTTACAGAAATAAAAGAATAATGAACAATATAATGTCTTTTACATTATTGAAAATGAAAATGATCTTTATGTTTTTGAACCTGTTCCGGTAGCTTCAAATAAAAAGTGGACTAGCACCAGAGCATGCGCTACAATAAAAACAATCACGTGGCCATGTTGATGCCATTATTTCATAGCGAGCATAAACAATATCGAGCTAAATAATTACATAAGAACCCTAATGAACCAATCACGATTAACCAGCCTTGCTTTTTTACATTCACATTACCTTTGATCATTTTCAATTGACGTAGAGGAAGCAATAAACATTAATTCAAGAAAGCATAGTTGTTGATTGCAATTTGACACTTTATTTTAAATTTCACGTAAAGGAATTGATGTAAGGCTTTAAAGTAATACTAAATTTTATAAAAATATAGTTGTGTGGTCTACAAGTTCCTTTTTTTTAAAATGTGCCTCCCCCCCCTTGAAACTTTCTGGTTACTGCTATGCATTTTTGGATCTTTTTTGTAAAACACATAAAATTTTAATGACTATCAACAGAATTCATTGACTAGCTATTAATTTTCTTTTAAAAATTTATGAGGACAGAATTACGGAAATATAGTACTCAGCATATTTTATGGTTTGTCGTACGCAAATTTTTAAGCAACATAGCATGAAATTTTATAAAATGATGTCTTGTTGCAAAATTTTACATTCTAAATGAAATAGCCGGATATAAACTTGAGTAAACGGTGCACAACCGTACACTATTCCTGGCCATCCATGCTGCATGCGTTGTTCATGCAATGGTATTAAAGTTTTCTGCAGAAACCTATTGAAATGATGCCTGTCAAATAAATCTATAACAAAAATATTAATATTTTAATTCCTAATTATCGATGAAATTCTTCCAAAGATTTTCGATGCTTTGATGACTTTGATTCCTAAGCAATCAGCAGTACGTATATAATTCTTTTTTTTGCACACAAAAAGGAGGTACGTAGATGCCGTTTGTACTTTGCCTGTGCAAATTCAACAAAAAGCTTTCAATAATTAATTACATAAATCGTCGTAGACTGCTTCGTGTGATGAACATATCACTGTGAAATGTAAATGAAAAACAGCGAAATCGTAATAAAATCCGTCCTTCAAAATGTCGGAAAACGAAAGATATACTTTTGTAATTTTTGAAATAAATAACTGATTTGACCCGGAAAGTAATAGGTCGATATGAAAAATATCATTTGATTTGCTTTGTAGAAATGTGCGTACGTCTGTTTGATTCGATAAAGAGTTGTTCGAGTTGCAAAAGGAATCTTCGATTTGAAAGTATTGATTCTTAACAATATAAATGTGCCATAATGCGCAGTATTATTGTGGCGACGGGCGGGGATAAGCCATGAGTTGCATAATTTCCATAATTTGCGACACGATTTGTGTGAATCGATTTCATCGGGAAATCGCTCTCTTCCACAATAAATGAGCGATCGCTACATATAAAACAAGCAATTAATATTGCTCATATCCATGTGACGTTGCCAAATGCTGTCGACAAGGACACGCTAGGTGAGTTTGCAATCATCTTTTTCAATTAACCCATTCATTTAGCGTTTATAAAACAGATTGAGCATGCAATTTGTATTGTTTAGGTTAATTAAAACTTATGAGCTTTGTTGATTGTTTGTTGAATCAAAAAGTTTATCGCTTTCAATTTACTAGCTATTTGTATAGGCAAACATGCGATCGCGAGGTGATAATACAATATCTCTCATGTTACACTTGAATATCCGTATTTATCACTACTTTGTTGATACAACTGTTATCAATTAATCGTATTTATCAATGCTTTCATAATTAAATCTAATTATAAAAGATGAATAATTTTGTGATTGCGATTCATCACGCATTGCTTGAACACTTCGAAACTGAACTCCTTGTTTAAACTTCTTGTTCTTCGTATGTACTGTTTGAATTCAAACATTTGGCAGAGTCGGTTATGGCGTTCTAATTCATATTTCATTCTTTGAAAAGCTTAAAAAGTAAAATATGTGCTACCTGTTCACTTTATTATTTGCAACTTGAAGTACGTTGGTCTTCTAGATGTTCGAGTTCAAGGAATGATTCTAAACGTTCAGGATAAGCTTTCCAGTTGATTTCGGTGAAGATTACGAATGTCAATAAATTCTTTTGCTTGTAAATGTGTTTGGGTTTCGCCTGAAATAAGAACGTGTGATGGATTTTGAACTTGACAGCTATCTTAAATAGACTGTAGACATACACGTTCAAATCCCTTTTCTCATCAAGTTTTTGTTTTTATGTAGGTAAAGTATTATGCTTTAATTGCTTAAATGTGTAAATTAAATGAAGATATGATCTTCGCACTTTGCTGGACAATTTAAGCAATCGTCTCAGGACCTGAAAAAATCAGGTGACTCAACGGGATTCGAACCCATGACCTCTGCGGTGCCGGTGCAGTGCTCTGACCACTGAGCTATGAAGTCACACAGTGGTGAGCAGGTCAATATTGTTGGGCTGATATTTTCTCGTGAAATGAATGTCATATGAATGTTTTATGCATGTTTCCCGTTGAGTCACCTGATTTTTTCAGGTCCTGAGACGATTGCTTAAATGGTCCAGCTAAGTGCGAAGATCATATCTCATTTAATTTCAAACACCGCACTGCATAAAACATTCATATGACATTCATTTCACGAGAAAATATGAGCCCAACAATATTGACCTGCTCACCACTGTGTGACTTCATAGCTCAGTGGTCAGAGCACTGCACCGGCACCGCAGAGGTCATGGGTTCGAATCCCGTTGAGTCACCTGATTTTTTCAGGTCCTGAGACGATTGCTTAAATGGTCCAGCTAAGTGCGAAGATCATATCTCATTTAATTTCAAACACCGCACTGCATAAAACATTCATATGACATTCATTTCACGAGAAAATATGAGCCCAACAATATTGACCTGCTCACCACTGTGTGACTTCATAGCTCAGTGGTCAGAGCACTGCACCGGCACCGCAGAGGTCATGGGTTCGAATCCCGTTGAGTCACCTGATTTTTTCAGGTCCTGAGACGATTGCTTAAATTGTCCAGCAAAGTGCGAAGATCATATCTTCATTTAATTTCAAATACCGCACTTCATAAAACATTCATTAAATGTGTAAATGCTGGTGAAAATAATTTTTTGCCAGTTTTGATTTGCTTACATTGAGAGATTTAGATGGGGTAATTTCTGAATGGGTTGATGGGTGAGAACTAATTGAGGCAGAGAGGCTTTCTAACTTTAAAAAGCCACAACCAAAGCCCTCTAAAAGTTTTAAGTCAATCTTGGAGCAGAGATGAATTTACTGTGGGTTATAGGCACTCTTCCTAGCATTGGCTACAAGTTGTATGAATTTTCTTTTAAATTATTAATATACAAAGGAATTGAGAAAAAAGCAATTATGATTTGTTCTCTGTGGAGCACACTTCAAAAATATTTCCCACTAGGTTATTTATGCTATGAATAACAGAATTTAACATAAAAGCCCATCATGACACAATGACATCCAAAAACTTCTAATCCAAACCAAAGCACCTCATGTCCCCCCCTTGATCCATCCCTGTCTTAAAGTGAATGCACTAAATTTATCCCCAGTTTCTTATTTCACATTTTGTGTTTTTTATTAAGGTGCAAAGAAAGATTGATTCCTTCTGTGTTCTAACTCAATCACAAAACTTGTAAGATACAGGGCCAGGACTCAAGTGGTAAGTTACCTTTTCTATTCTATATATACTATTAAGTCAAGTTAATCTTGCAATAGAATAGATAAAACATCACCCAGATTGTAAGAAATTGAATGCATGATTAGGCACCATACCACTATCATGCATAAGTCTACATACGTAAAATATGCTGGCATTTGCTAGAATTGTAAGCAACAAAATTTTAGTCATGACCATGGTATCAGGGTATGTGTACAGAGAACATGTTCATTTGAAATGTGGGTGTCCATCCATTATAGTAAAAACACCTGCAATTTTGGCTTTTTGCTTTAAAGTTAATGATGTTTGAATGCCATATATTTACAGGTTAGCAAACTTTTCATATCAATGAAAACCTTTCAATCTGACATGATGTAGATAAAACAAGAAAACTGAATCAAAATAACTGATATCAAGCAGTTTCATTAATTGACTATTTTATGTGATCACATAGTGAGCATTGAACATCCACAAAATTTGAAAAGCTTTTATAGCAACTGCATGATATTTTATTGTAAAAAATGATTGAGATAAGTATAATTTCTGCTATTCGTATCAGTACAGCAAAACTGCTCCTTTTTATCAGTTCAGTTGTAAAGAGTTAAAAAACAGCTTGCATCTTGGTGATTGCTTTTGAGCAATTACCCATGGTTTGATCAAGTTTGATGGCATTGGTTTGTAAAAATTAAGCCCTTTTCATGTCCATGACAGAAATGTTGATAAGTAGTTACCATTTCTAACCAGATTTCATGACAAAACTTGGAAGATATGAAGGCTATTCCTGTTGTTACACAAATTTATCAACACATATCATGTTGGTTAACCTGTTTTCCAATGAGCTTGCTTACAAAACCCAACAGAAAGGATACTGAGCCCTCAGAAGTATCCCAAGACCTTTTGACATTTTATATAATCACATATTTTGGAAGTAGTTTTGAAATATTGGCTGCTGGTTTTATTTTAAATGAATTGTCTGATTCTAAAATTTGATCTATTGAGTAAAGATGTTGATCTATAGTCATACATAAAGACAACAGAATTTGGCAAATTAAGATTGAAGTGATTAACATAAAATATTCTTGCATGGGCTGAAAAACAGAATTGGTTATAGAAAAATGAAATACCAGAAAAAACTATGAAGGCATTTTTGTTTCAAGTTTCATTTAATTTAAGGTCAGTTAATTCCTTACTAATTTCAAAATATTTATATTCCAAAAATTTTGTCTACCATAAAGACCAAACTATTTGGCAGACAAATGCATTTTTTCCAGGTGCTTCTGATAATCTTTTTTATGCATCAGTTTGGATGCATAATACATAAATTAAAACAGTAAACAAACATATGAGCCCATTTAGGAAATTCTTCTCAGTCAGCAGTTTTCTATACCAAAATAAAAAAACAGGAAATTTATTAATGTGCAAGTGCATGACAAAAAACAATGTACCCAAACTGGGAGATAGCAATATGTTGGATGCTATTGTGTTTTTATTCTGTTACATTATTATTATTTTTCATACTTGGCAATGCAATTTATATATTTACAAAGTTATCTATCATTCATTTTTTGATATAAATATACCTCATCACCAGGCTAACTGAAATTATGGTGAAAACCATTACATATTTTAGTTGTTTCATGCCTTCATCCTTAAAATGAACAGTAATGCCACAGAATATTTACATACAGGTCATTTCCAGTGATTTTTGTGATTTGCATTTGTCGAGTGGCAATTTTCTTTGCTGAGTGTCAATGAATCATGTACGGTGTTAATACAAACGTCACTGGGGAGGATTTTCTGTTTGTAGATATTTTGTGTTAAAGGTCAGTTCCTTTATGTTACAAATATACACATTATATGGCCCGGGTTAAATTAAGATAATTCAATGTAACTATAGAAGAAGATAGTAGTATTGACCAGTCACCAACAATCAAACAAACCATGACTTTCAATTTAAACTGTGACCAAGGGTAGGGGTATAGGTGGCTAAGGAGGTTGCACCCTCTGAAATGATTAAGATGGAGGTGCTAAGACCCCCCCTCCCATTATTCAAATATTCATTGTTACAAAGAGCTTTTTAATGTTTCACAGAATGACATAATGAAGCTGAAACTAATAATCTGAATGCCACGCGCCCGCTACGACATTTCTTGTTTTCTCCGCTCCTACCCCTCCCCCCCTCCAATACAAAGCGTCTTCCGCTGTCACTGACTGTGACAGCTAAACTTCTTATTGTTGGTACAATAGCGTTAAGAAAGTGAAAAATAAAGGAAAAAGCAAAAAAATCAAGACATCTAAACATATTTTGAAATCCTGATCACCTAAGGTGTATTTGCCCAAAAGTTTTGTTATTTTTCAATAAACTGTATATGGTTTTCCCTTTTCTTTGGTACTTAAAGAAAAGTGGTGTTTGCGTTTGTTTTTCGGTATGCTAGTTACGTGTTTTAAACTTTTTTTTCTTTTAAAACAGATTTTGACTTTGTTAACGATGCCTGGAATCAAGATCCGTGATGAAGATCGAGAAAAAATCGCCGCGAAGTATATTTGTACTTACTGTCATCACTTTCTTATCAATCCAATGAAGAACTCGTATGGTTTTTGTTTTGTAAATCTTGTATTGACATTATTTTTGGATAACGTAAATTTTTATGTAACAAATCATTTATAAAAAGTTATAGTAGTTGTCATACATGGTCTTTCAATAGACGCCCTGATTATTCATCCCAATATCGTATCACATATCCCAAAGTATTCCTGCGTATCATCTTGTTCAATTAAGTTGGTGACTAGCTGGTAGGGCGTCAAAATTGTTTATTAGATCTCTTGATACGACTTCGGTTAAAAACTGTTGCGTAGGCGACTAGGGAGAGCTCATCTTACTCATATTTTTATAATCCTAAATAACAGCTGCTTTCCTAAGAACGTAATTTATCAAAACATGCATGTACAAATATTGACCCCCCCCCCCTCTATTTAACTGTCGAACTGGTTACGCCATCCACTCTTCAAAATTGATCATTCTTGTTAGTAGTTTTTGTCTTTTTTCAATGTGTAGAAATCCTGATCCAAAATATCCTGAAGATAAAGAAAATTTGACCAACGAAAATGTAGGTTAAAATATTGCAAAGATTTGACAGAAAATTCAATTATAGTTTTGTTGCTATCGATCATTAGCGTAGCCATCCCGCAAGTTTAGTCTTGCTTTGTAAATGTTAGTACATAATATTTTCCATATTACAGGGCATGTCAGTTAATGAGCAAAGAAAAATTAGCATAGCACGACTAAATAAGCATGTTGGCTGAACAACTATAGTTATAATTACTCTTTGAGTTCTAAAAAATTATACATCGATTTACGTATATTGTCAAGTCTTGTGACATAGAAAATCCTTTTGTAACTTGGATTATCAAAGCTACGTGCAAACGTTCTCAATATGTTGACTCAACATGCGCTAAACATTGTTTTGTGTTTGATGAGTGATGCTAAGCGATGTGTGCAAGCGCTCTCAACATGTTGAGTCTTGAAATGATATCGCGTAGGATCATGAGATAAAATACTCCACCATGCCTAGCATTAGCGTATATACAGGTACATTAACTGTTCAGTGACCAGGTAAATTACAACAATATAAGCTGCACAGGTAGTGTGCATGCTTTCGCTCAACATGTTGAGTGTGCTGTTTTAAAAACCAGAAGTTTCATTGCACTATAAACAAAGTTGAGGTGCGGTTTGGTGACCATGGAACAAAGCAAATGTTGAGTGATGTTGAGTGGAAATTTTGAGCAAGTTTAAACTTCACTCAACAACGCTCAACACCGCTTAATAGCTACTACTCAACTCTCCTAAACACGGTGTTGAACATGTTGAGCTCGTTGTTGAGTCTACATATTGAGAGCCTTTGCACTTAGCGTTAGTGCGTCGGTGAATTCTATTTCAAAAAAGTTTGCCAACAGTTCTTGTAAGAAATTTACGTTACTGTTTCATTTAACGTCTAGTGCAATTTAATCTTGTTTCATAAAAGATCAATTTCCATGGATCCATTTAGGTTTTCCCGGATGCTTTTACGAAGCGTGAGTTAAAAAGGATTCAATTACATTGTCCATCTGAAGAGTGTAAATGGTTTGGTACACACGAAGAATTGGAGGTGAGTTGGGCTGAGAAATTTATAAAAACGTGTGGCATTTTCACTTATAAAGGGATACACCGAATCTAAGGGATTAGGTACAACATCTTCCAAAATTTCGTGCTTGTCTACACCTTTCTTATTGCTTAACAGAGCACGCAATATTGACAACGTTTCTTCTTGCTTATTAATTAATGTTTCCAGTTTGGTGAGAACTGATCTTTGGAAGCCTACAAGATGGATAAGAAAATAATAGAATAACTTATGTATAACCTACGTAATATCTTTAAAATATAAAACCTTACAACATGCTAACAAGAAAATTCAAATAAAAATCGCATCAAATTGCTAATTGAATACACATACATAGTAACAACGCTTTTCAAAAACTATATACTGTAGAAAAGGTACCATTAATGTTTGGTTGAGAACGTCTTTCTGCAGGTGTTATGTTCATAAAACTTGTCAAAGGCGTTTCGTGCGATGTAAGGTCATACGCATCTGCAAAGCAATCACATGATGCATTTAGTTGTGAAGAAAAAAAAAACATTTCAAACGACACGAAATGAACGTAAATGAAAACGTAACAACAAGACATGCAATAATGAATTGTAAGAGAAGCTTGCCTAAGACACCACTGTTTCGTTAAGAATGTCTTTCTCTTGTTGTGTCAGTTGTAGGAATTCCTTGTGAAGAGACGTTGCTTGTATCTACAGAGAAGACACGTACTGGGTTTAACATATATCTTTATTGAACGCAAGAACGTCATTTAAATTAAGGTACTACAAGTTTCAAAAATCAGAAAAAAAAGGTGACTAAAATAAAAATCTCGAGAAAGTTTCATTTGTTAGTTTGATAGCAAACGCTGAGAATTAGATTTGAACGAATGTATTTTGATTAAATCGTGGTGAACACAACTGTAATTTTAACTATAACTAACATTTTGTCAACTAATTACAACATTTTAAAGGACCAACGCCTACAGCACCTATAGAACATTCATAACCCCTATAATGCAACGATGGACGTAGAAAAACAGTAAATGTACAATACGAATGTTAAAGTTATTTAAAAAGAATCAATCAAAATTATTTGAACATTTTAGGCGACATATTATATGAAAGTTGCTGATTAGTCAGTTCTGATGACAGAAAACTTACCACTACGTTGAGATGGTGTCCTACTAGTAGATGGGGAAGTTATTGCATGATCCTTTGTGTTTTGGATTTCTGGTGCTAGTTCACCGTAATATAAATCTGGATCAACATATATTAAGATGAATAGAGAAATTTTGTACATGCATGTTTCTGTCAAAAAATTGTCCACTTGTAAAAGGATTATAATAGCGCTTATACCTTTTTCTGCAAGGGAGATCAGCTCGCTGTACACCGGTAAATCTAGAAAGCAAAATCACTCATTAGATTTAAATGCAACGTAGCAATATGTGAAAAACTGCACTGCTTTGAATAAAGCAATGGCCTATTGCATTGCAACTACAGCACTTACTTCTAAAATTTGTGATAAGATTTCATTGACGGCTAAAAGAAATTTGGCGTGTAAACAAAAGAAACTGTCTGAATTCTGTGACTTTCCATCTGTCAACCTCCATTAAATTCCTATGTTTTCGCACAAATGTAGAGGGGATAAATGGTTTAAGCTCTACCAATTTTTTACTAACCGCCTCTAAATGGGCAACAGACATTTTAGCAGCGCGATTTCTTTTCATCCAAGCCATAATCAATTTACGCATAACACCCAGACACAGTTGATGCATGTAGTCAATTGGAAATTGTTTTACCATATCAACAGGCAAGTGACAGTAAGGGCTTACAAAGCGATGATGTTCCTTTTGTATCTGCTTTCTAAAGGAAATATTAGTGCGCAATTCCATATTATTATTTTAAGAGTAAGTCACTCGACCAAGCCACTTCCCTTTTTGTGTACACTTGTCCCAACCAAAATAACCAGTACAAAGTTTTGTACCTTTAACAAGTGCTCTTGCAGGAGAGGATCACAAACAATGCCCCTTACTGTAACAGTCAGAACCTTGGACTCCCCTCTCTAGAATACCATTGAAATCTTCTATAAACTCATCCAAAAACTCCAAGTCTTTTGGCTTGAAGTCACTACATGTTAGGACAATAGAAAACATTACAACAGGTTTGATATTCAAAATGGCACACAACACTGGTTATACATTTTTTGCAGAAATCTTCTAAACAAAGGAAGCCTCAAGATGATTATTTTTCTGAACTGTTTCACAAGGATGCTTTTGAAAGTGCTTTAACAATTATTCAACAAAAAAAAGTACATGTAATCCATGCCAGATTTTTTAACACTAATACATACAAGTATATACGACTGACATACGAGTACATATGACTGACATACAACCATATAGGGTTGGGGTTATATATATATAGTTTGAATTTCAGGTTTAATACATAAAGATAAAGCCTGATTAAGTGATTTATTGAGTTTTTCTTCGAGCCTTCATCCTCATTCTGATGAAGGCTGGAAGCAACAGTCAAAGCTCAATAAAAATCATTTAAATGGAGAAACTTTTATCTTTATGTATTAAATGCCTGATTACCAATTTTCAAACTTATATATATATATATATATATAACCCTAACCCTAACTCTAACCCTAAACCTATATAGTCGTATGTCACTCGTATGTACTCGTATCTCAGTCGTATATACTTGTAGGTATTAGTGTGGTGTTTTAGTCACGATCCTGACCTATTAGTGTGGTGTTTTAGTCACTATGTTTTAGTGACGTACGATAACCGTACGTCCTGTATCTCAAGTGCAGGAGTCACCATTTTACTATGGTGATAGCCGGGACGGCACATTGTTATACACTTTGTATATATATATATATATATATATAAACTTGTGACCAGTATGTAGTCGTATGTCACTCGTATGTACTCGTATGTCAGTCGTATGTACTCGTATGTCAGTCGTAAGTACTTGTATGTACTCGTATGTCACTCGTATGTACTCGTGTGTACTCGTATGTACTCGTGTGGTGTTTTAGTCACGATCAAGATTTCAGATATAAAACAGAATTTTGACAATGAACTTCATACGATTATACATCAGGAATTCAATAATCACAAAAAATTGTAATCATTAAATTTGATAAGTAATTTTTGAACTATAAACATCAGTCGCGTGAATGATTTGACATACCCTAGATCCGCCCCTGCATGTTATGACAATAACAACCATACGTACTGATGAATACCTTATCCAAATGCTCTAGCAAGGTGTAGTGATAATACTATCTTTATAAAATAAAAATAGAAGTTAAAACTAAATATAAACTAAGCTTAGTAAATTTGTTTGTTCCTACACCAATATACCCGGACTCATAAAGTCACGGCAAAAGTAACATACGACAATCTCTAGATTACAAAGAATGATAAAATAAACGTACTTACCACAATTTTTACGCATTGAAACATATTCTAGATCATAACTGCCTTTAAACTTGGAAAGCGAGCTGTGAATTATCCTGTCTTGACAACTATTAGGCAAATTCGATTCTTGAACGAGCCATCTTCAAATGAACACAAACGCCGATATTTTACAGGTATCGAAATAATTTTGATGTCAAATTGATTTAAATAACTTTATTTATCCATGACAGATATTTGAGATAAGTAAAACGTCGCCAAATGTCTTAAATATTCGAAAATCCTTGTTTGTAAACGTTATCCGCCATACATTTTTATAGTAATTTGTATCTCTGGTGGGTAACCGGAAGTGCATTTTGCATATATAATTAGGCTTCACATTTAAAAACAAAAGCTCAAAGCTTTTGTTTTTAAAAGCTCGCTGCCAAGCAAGAAACCCGATGTACTTATCAACTCAAAGGACGCAACCATTTGACGCTTATCATTTCAGAACGTTAAGTGATTTGAAAGATCAAATGTTCAAAGTTTTGAGCCATCAACTAGTAAAAGGTTTGTAACACTAAAGATAAAGAATTATCGTGTGTGTTAACGATCTGTAAATGAGATCTTAAATAAGAAGTGCTCGCCATCTTTAATTGATAAACTTTTGATAAATATTGGTCACACCCAAGTACTATACAATATACATCATCGATACTCGTAACATTTTGCAATCCTGTAATTGTACACCAATCAAACCAAGTTACAAATACAAACATATTAACTACTTACCAAAAATATCACTGCCATTCATCTAAAATATAGCGTGTTTGTCATGACGTGTTTAATTGTACTTTAATTCATGTTTATAAAAAGGCGTTTTCGCCTTTTAGCAACGTTATTATTTTGGAAATGTAGCTTTTTTATAAATGTTTATCAATAAACCATTTATACTAAAGATTTCAACAAGCACAATTAGACGTTCATGACTTATAATTGTGCAATGATATTGTGTTATTCAACAGGCAAGAGTACCACTAGTATAAAAATAAAACTGACATATCGAGCTGTAGTTTTTACCAATTGCTCCCAAAGTACCTTAAATATGGTATATTGTAATATAATTTACACTTCTCATTTCTATTGATGAATTCGATCCAAATTAAATTCAAACTTATAAGGAAAAACAATAAAAACCATAAGGCCGTATCTTTGCTTTTACATAACAATTAACTTTTAATGTTTTAAATTCAGTTGCCTAAAATAATTTGCCACGTATCAACTCAACGGACGAAGCCATTTGACGCTTAACTTATCAGAACGTTAAGAAATCTGAAAGATCGAATCTTCAAAGCCTCAATCGTCGACCAGTAAAAGGTTTGTAAGACAAAAGACAAAGAGTTATCGTGTGTGTTAGCAATGTATAAATGAGATCTTACATAAAAGTTGTTCGTCAAATATAATTAATACACTTTTAATAAATATCAGTCTCAACCTAGCACTTGATACCCATATTACATCATAGATACCCGTAGCAACTTGTGATCCTTTAGTTGTACACCAGTTAAACAAAGTTACAAATACAAACAATTTGCTTACGAAAAATCACTGTCATCTGAAGGAAGGCGTGTTTATCATAATGTACTTGCTTGCTAAGGAATTTAAATTGCTTGTTAGCATGCAATCATATTTATCTTTGGGTCCAGACGGTATATTTATAAAATATGTGTTATTTCATTATACTTGTGATAGTATGAAATGACATTTATGAATCAATAAGAAAATTTAGTTTGAAATTGCAAATGGACTCATGCATGCCATCAGTGAATATTTTAAATATTTTGTCGTTCTGTAACGTTGCAATTATCTTTCGTCGAGCTGTTAACGCTAAGATGATACAAGCAAATTCATAGCATTAAATAAATAAAACTGAAAATCTTTGATTTCTGATTCGAAAAAACAGAGCTTTTGGACCACATGGTGGTGTACAACAGAAATTCTTATATAATTATGCCACGTTTGAGGCTCTTCTCGTTAAAATTAGACCGATTAACTAATGATAAATTAATTATTCAATTCAATTACAGCATTAACATTTTTGTATTCTGGGTGTGGAATCGTTTTGACTTGTGATTTTGATAAACTTAACTTTTGCCATCTTACGAATCAATTCAGATTACCAGGAACAGCTTGTAGTTAAATATACCGAAAAGATACAACCTAACATTGAACTTGATGCAAACAAATCTTTATAATTTTTACAAGACTACAACAAGAATTTTCTATCACCTTCCCTTCATTTGATTTATCAGAATATAATGAAATGTCACCTTATCCAACTGTGCGATTTACTTTTCTCAACATTATAGCAAAAAAACGCATATTTTAGATAAGACTAATTCTATTTCACGAAATGCGGATCTTGTAAAATATATAATGGGAGACGAAATACAGAGATCATTCGTTTACGAATGACAAGCAACTATAAGAGTTGGGTCCAGGCCCCTTATTAATCAACGATTATCCCATTATGCTCTATCCCCTAAGTCCTTTCTAGTATAGAAAAGCGTAATATAAAGTTGTTCTTTGATATTTGTTCATCCTCTCAATTTTCTAACTGCCCTTTCTTGTTGAAATTGAGTAATCTGCGTAGAGTTAGTGGTTCTTTCTTGCTAGGATTTGTGGTCGCTGGTGTAGGTTCTCTGGCATCTTTAGGTATCTTGGTTGCGTTTGGTGAAGTTCCATCTGCGGTTTCTATGTTCGGTAGTGGTGCTGGCTCCGGGGTATCAGTCTGTGTCGTCGGTCCTAGACGTGGTAATGACGATGTTAGTTTTCTGTTGGCTGGTGTCAATTTGTTGGGAGTAAGGTTCTCCATTGAGACTTTTGGTATCAGCAGCAGGTCCGTATCAATAGCACATTTGGGTGACTGCTCTTGGACAGGTGTGAATTGCCGGAGAAATTTTCTGTTTCTTAGTGTAATTCTGTTGGACCCGTCGACTTTGACGCGGTGTTGATCGTGTTGAAGGACTTCGATGACTGTTCCAGTCTTGTCCTGTTTCGTAGTGTACGGTCCTGTTTGGTTCTGTATTCTTACGTGATGTCCAATGGACAGAGGTGGTAATCTTCTTGTGTGTTCTGACCAACGTTCCGCTGCTCTCATGTGGCGGTTTCGTAAAGCCTCCTCTCGAGCATCAAGTGTTTCGCTCCAGGTTGCGTGTGGCCTATAACGGTCGGGGGAAATTGGTATGAAATTCTTAATAGGTCTACCAATGACGCATGGGCCGGTGATAATTTCCTATCGGTATCGGGCGTGTTACCATATTGTAGAACAGCAATTTGTAAGGCGTCTATGCTGAGGCTACCAGTGGGGCCGTTATTGTTCGGGATGAGGCGTTTCACAATTTAAACGACAACCTCAGCGCAGCAATTTGAGTGCGGGAATGCAACAGAGACGAGGCGGTGGTGTACCCCCCATTGTTTGAGGAACTGCCGTGTTTTGACGGCGGTGAATTCTGGTCAGCCATCAGTAGCGCATTCGTCTGGGATCCCAAAGTTGGTGAAGGCGAGACATAGGCAATTGATTAGTCCGTCGCAACCGTCTTTGGCTCGTTCGATAATAGGCCAGTTATAGTAACGAACTACGATTACGAGATAGTTGGATCCTTTGTAGTGGAAATAATCCTCACAGACCCACTGGAAGTGGTACGCTGGTGAGATGGTTGGTGTAGGTGGTGCGCTGGGTTGGGATGGTGCTATTCGTTTGCAGTGGTTGCATTGCGTACGTATTGCTGCGATATCTGATGTGATTCCTGGCCAGAAGACTGAGTTCTCTGCGCGGGATGTCATAGATGATATGCCCTGGTGTGCCGAGTGTAGCACTTCCAGGATTTTTTTGCGTAACAGTGGTGGGATAACCACACGATCTATGTACACGATGACGCCGTCTACTGGGTAGAGGCTGTGGCGAAACTTGTATTTTCTTGTAATGGTGATGGGAGGTCATTACGTGAAGCTGGAAAGCCAGATTTGATGACATTCATGAGATCGTGATTAGTGGTGTCGCTGGCAGTTGCCATGCGTACCCTGTCCCAGGTTGTGGCGACGTTTGTAAGTGCTAGAAAAGCGAGTGAAGCGATGGTTTTGTCAAAGCCAGTGTGTGTAGGGGTGTCCTTCAACTCTGCTATGTCGTCCTGGAGGTGAAGCATGGTTGGGTTCTTTGGACCTGTGGGGAGGTCTCTTCGGGAGATCGCATCGGCGGCTTTGTGACGGATACCAGGGATATGGATCATTTGGAACCTGTATCTCAGTGTCTTCTCCCTGAGATTGCGTAGGCGGGGTTAGGGATATTCTCCAATGTCCGATCACCAAATAGTTTGAGCAGAGGTTTGTGGTCTACAGCAATTGTGATGTTGTTGCAACCGAGTACGAAGAACCTGGATTTATCGAGGGTGTCTTCGACTGCCAGTGCCTCCCCTTCTATTGGTGCATATCGAGATTCAGCTGCATGTGTGAAGCGGCTGCCAACCAGGCTTATCTTCAACCCGGTGTAGCAGCATAGTGGTCCAGTTAATTAGCATTCACAGTGTTTTTAGAGTAGCTAAAAGCCGATGCCGTGTTTTGACCAATCAGTGGCAAGACAGGTGGGGCGTGTTTTGTCAAAGATGCAAACGCCCTCGTGGATTTCATTTATGATTACTGATTTGGATTCCTCAAACAGTGTGTTGAGCTCTTTGTCCCAAAACAACTATGTGCCGGGTTTTAGTAGTTTTCTAAACGGTAGCATACGTTCAGTGGCTCCAAATGCATATGAGACTTCATTGTTGATACTGCTCGGTTTTGGTAAATAGCGAATAGCATCCATGAATTTCCTTCTTGGGCGAACAGAGTTTGATGTGATTTCAAACCCTGCGAAACTCGACTGTATCAGATTTGAAGACAAATATTTCTGGGTTGGGGATAATGCGTTTCGACCGCAGATGTCTAGCCATTCGACAGCCTGATGAAACTTTGGGTGAGGTTATTTGCCCAAAGTAGGAAATCGTCAATGCATTTGGTTTTGTTTGGAATGTGTAATACAATCTCATCGAACCGGCCCGAGTAACTGGCCGTCTGGGTGAAGGGGAACGCTGTGATAACCGTTGCAGCAGTCGAACACTGATTTCTTTTTGGCACTAGGAACAGAGCGCGCCTGGTGGAAAGGGCTTTGGGTGTGGTGGGTCTCCCTAGTGGCATTTGCATTTATTGCCTGTAGGTCAACAGTTCGTCGTGATTTACCGTACCTTTTTGCACAGATGAACATCCTGGGGAAACAGGTGCGGGTTCGCCGATTGGGACGGGTTCAATCACGCCGACGGCCACGTCTTGGTCAAGGCCAGCTTTAGCCTCGTCATGCCAATGTAGAGAGACTGGGATTGGTGTATGGTGTGCTTTAAGTCTTGCATTTGGGTCAATCATGAGTCGCATTGGTGGACCTTCTATGAGTGGCAGTTGTTGTTGCTCGCAAGTGTTAAACGTGCTGGACTTGTAGTGATGGAGCAGCCAGTCCTCTATATTTTTTCAGTTTTCTTCGGTTGCAGGGAAGTGCAGTGCAGGGAAGGACATGTGCGCTATGATGGGTGTTCTGCCACAACGTGAATATACTGGTTTGTATGTATGTCTACTGTCATTGTGTCTCCCACGGTGAGGAAGCTGTTTGGGATGATTCCTAGGCGGTGAATGTCTCACGACTGAGGAAGAGTTTATTTGAGTCATGAGTGACATAAACAATTTGATGGCCCTACAATACCTGTCCGTCTTTGGATTGACCAGAGAATCTCACGATGGCTGCACCGATGATATCGATGCCATTGTTGTTCGCAGCATGCATACGCATATTGACCGGAAGCAGGTCTTTCTGGCGTATTACTTGTTGTTTCATTATATGCTTGCTGGCAAGGCCGCTCTTGCATCCAGTGTCCGCCATAGCATTCAATGTGGCTGTCCGAGGTCTTGTACGATGCAGGGTGTACCCGAAGGCTGTGTTGTCCTCTGGGTGACATTTCGCATTTATATGGAGGAATGGTTGGGGCTGTGACAGTTTTTTCACCCAGCGGTGTTTGAGGTCATTGTAAGTATGGTGGTCTGGCAGGATTCCATTGTTGCAATGCTGATGGTTGTTTGTCATGCACAGGCTGTCAAACACTGCGTCCTCTTGGTCTCAGTTAGCGTTGTGTTTCGCGTCCCGACGTTTAGCCATGTCTTTGCTTCTCCACATGGAAGCGTTGTGGTTAGGACGTCCGCAGCTATCGCATGTTTTGCCGTAAGCCGAGCATTCTTTTGCCGTAAGCCGAGCTTTTCGTCGGGTGTGGCGTTTCTACCATGGTCATGTTTTCCACAGTAAGAACATGGTCCGGTTTTATTGGTTTGCACGCCCTGGGTTATATTTTTTTGTTTGTCGCGGCGATATTGGCTTCTGGTAGCATCGACGCCCTGGCTGTCGAGTTGGTTGGTGGCCGAACGTCTGCCAGCTTCTTTGGCTTCTATGAACAGAAATGCCTCCTCCAGTGTCATATTTTGATTTTTATCACTGAGCAGGTCTAGTTGGTTGTCGATGTCGGCGATCCCAACAGTTAGTGTATCGCGGAAGCTTTGTTCGCGTAGTTGATTTCTGTTGTTGAGTTCGGACAGTTAATCGTAAATTTGCACACGGTGGCTTGTCCACGAAGACGTGCGCCTAAGCTGCGAATGGTTTCGCTACAATCCTGGCGCGCATTATGTGTATTTAGATAAGGGCCACCATCGTGTTTTCCTCTCGTACAGCGAGTTCGCGGACTGCAGCCATGACGTCGTCGATGGGTTTGTTCGTGAGGGTGGCGCCAGCGTTTTTGGTGAAGTCCTTACGAAGCGTTTCGTCACAGCATTCGAGTAATTGGATGATTTTGTCTTTGCCGGTTATTTTTTTGGCATTGACACAATCCTGCCAGCGTGTTTGGAAATACGTCCATTCCTCACTGGACCCGGCCGCGGATATGGTTGGTCGTCTGACCTTTTCGATCTTGGGCGTGGCGTTGATGCCCGTGGGTGTGTTTGTCGCGTGTTTGTAATTTATAGCAATCTTCCATAAACATCATTGCAGATGAAATTTTGGTAGCAGTAGTATAATTCTTTAATATTTCTGCATTTTTGAAGAAGCAGCAGCATCATATAATCTCCAGTTTGTTTCAAAGCAATGCAGGTCGACCTTGTACCATCTCAATTTTTCTGCCATTATAAAGCCAAGAAGACAAACTTTTTAGGATTAAATATCTTTGCCGGTTGTTGTGTCCCTTTCAAAAAAATTTTGCTCGAATCAAAAGTTTGTAGAACGAATAAAAACGCAAAAACTGTTGATTTTGTAATACAAAAGTATTGTAAAGTGGGATGAACCAACTTCCTGCGTCAATTATCTTACTGTATTTTATACATGGATGCGTTATCCAATAAAATATACATATCAGTTGCTGTGACACCTGTGTAGGTTTTTTATGCAATCAATTTATGTAAATACTAAATACATTCCTCGAATCGTGTGCAATGTTTGTCACTCACGCGATCTCGCGTGGCTTACACGTATGTTTTGCCTTAATCTTATATTTTAACAAGGTAGGCAACTCTCACTACAAAACTACCGACCGTTAACACAAGCTTTTTCACAAAACCGTAAATGTCTCATAAGTAAATAAAAAACACGAAAAACAAATACATGTCATTAATATCGAATTATGTAACTATATTTTTGCAGTTTTTCAACATTCAAATGTATTTCTTTGCATAAGAAAAACGCGAATGTTTTTAGGGTTTGAGCGTGGCAATATTTTTCAAAACCTATGCTTTTTGCTCACTTATTTAAACACTCCGCAAATTTTTGAATGCTCAAAGGCGTCGCAGATTTGTTGAGATTTCAAAAATATGCCCTCTTCTCACTGTTCAGTCGAATGTCCCCGCTCAGTCATAACCCTATTTGCATTTGCTGATCTTCTTTGCTTAGAGTACATGTCACGTGACTCTTATCCCTTGTTCAAATCATGTGGTCCTTATGATTTCTGAAGAGTTTCAAGAAAAATTGTTTGCCATTGTATTTGAAAACCGTTTTTACTAAGACTGCTTTTTCAACAACTTTTTATCGACGTGTATGTCTGTATGAGATAGCGTTCATCGAACTGATAATTCAAGTCATATATGACTTGTATCACTGTAATGTAGCCAGTCAGCATGTTCAGGTCGTTCTATGTAAATTTCAGAATATCATTATCCATTTCTTTAGAAGTTTATTGTTTTTACAGTGAGTGAAGACAGAAAAATTGGATTGCAGGACTGAATTTGGTTTTTCCACTTAAATTGAATGTAAATATTTTCATATGTACAATACCATAATCTATTTTTGCTATATCTACCACGATTTTTTGTGAATTGCAAAACTTAATGTTTGTCCAAAGTGTGCTAAATACAACTATACAAGTACAAAATTCGCTCAACTAATGAGATTTAACCATGATGTTTGCGATCGCTTTCAAAGCTAGCGCTTGTATATATTGATATCTTCCGTTGTTTTGTAGAGAGGTCTGATCATGCGCACAAAGTAAACAATGTTTTGTTTTTGTAGAAATTGTTCATGCTAGCTGCATGCAATGCTAACATATGTATGGAGATCAATGAGATGGATGGAAGACGGTCGGTCGGTGTTCTGCTTTTTGCAGTAAAACATGTAGTTTTATAGCCTGCGCAAACGTAGGTAATGAACAAAAACTGTGAGAAATGCACACCAAAGTACAGGAAATGGCATTTTAGAGCTTCTCAATAAAAAATTTTCCCTGGGAGCATTTGCCCCCGGACTCCCCAAACATGACTCGCACCTTAGGTTCTCGGTTCAGGCTTTGGTCGCCATTTTTAAAGTGTGTATATTTAGCGCCATTTTCAGTGGTAGCTGACTGCTTCCTCCCTGGAGTGTTCCTAGCATGCAACTGACCCCACCTATATTAAAAAAAAATATTCAAAATATCTGTTTACCCAACAGAACTTTGTGGAACCAATTAAAATTTGCTCGCAAAGTGTCTTCATTTGACGGCCGCCATAATTTTTCCGTTTCAAAAAAATATGTTAAATTTTACTTTTCTTATATGACATACATCACGGAAAAGCCACTGACTGACTCTTAAGCTTAAGCTTCGTTTAACGGCTCAGATGTTTCATTTTTAATGGGAAATATTGCACTTTGCCCCAGATTACGCTACGTTGATGTGACTTATATAAATCAATGGCCACACGGTAAGTTTCTTTCCCATAAGCCAATATTAAACGTTCATTCCCATGAATTACTTTCGTTGGCTTTCTTAACTCTTCATAGTCCGATAAATAGTCATGCTCAAACGTCATATGCTAAGTGACTCAAGAATCAATTGTCCAATCAAATCTATCCTTTTTTATTTATGATAAACGCCACCTAATCAGTATTTTCTTGATAATCTTTTTTGGCACAATGTGCTGACTTTTTTCCTTCGAAGTGAAAATAACTGTTTAAATTGTTCTTTCTTTGTAGACAATAGTGTGATTTAGCAAACACGACGTTTCGTCTAAGACGTCGTCAAATGTTTGCGAGGGATCTGGGTCTAGGACGCCACACGTTGTAAAGTATTTATGATTTAACAAATCTTTTTAAGGACTTCGTCAAATGATAGTATGAAACAAGTTTCATCTATTTCGGCACTTTTCCTGCTGGATTGTGTTTTCCGATAATTTTAAACTAATTTTTTCAAATCAAAAATGTACTGCAGTATATTCATTTCAATAAAATTATAAATAAAAGCAAAATCATCCACCTACGGCTTTGGGACTAAAATTGTTTTGATTCCGAGGAAACCCCCGAAATTAGAGCAGATCCTGCGTTGTTTATTTGTTTGTGTTTTTCGCTTTTGGAAAAAAGTATTCGCAATTTTTTCTCAAATGAATATATGTAGGCGTATATAATCTTCTAACATGCAAATATCAAGGATATTTCCTTATTTTGTCCAAAAATTAAGCTTGTTTCAGCCGTCGTCGATACGACGTCAAATTGTATGTTTTCACGTCGTCGTCGACAACACGACTGACGTCATAGATTGAACCGGAAGTAAAAGGCGCATGCCACGCCATTTTCACGACGTCTTAAGGCTAATTAACAACTATTTGCGAGGCGCACGTGTGCGACAATACGGTGAAATTACGTCAAATGTTACTTTCGTTTTGGTGATATGACGTCATATTCCTCATGCGACATGGGGCGCGACACTTGTCGCACGAAATATAAATTAGCCTTAATATAGAAAATAACCTCATATATATGACTTGTCTAGACGGGAATATAAAGACCTACAAAAAACTCGACAAAACGTCGTGTTTGCTAAATCACACTAATATCGTGTAAAGTGTCTTCATTAGTGACATATTCATTTACAAGAATAATGGTGTTCACTTTTGTTTTTGCTGTTGTCCTTTTTTTCCTTTCACCCTAAATGATCAGTGAGCAGCGTGAGCCTTTCCATCTTTTTTGGTATTTGGTATTAGATCTGCATCATTCAGTAAAATTTCTTTAAAGCTTTGATAAGATTTTTCTCCAATCGTATCTAAAGCTATGAGCGGCTTGTAGTCTTCCGGCAAACTTGCAAGAAAGGTCTTTGCTAATTTCTTATCATTACTTTTACAATTCCCATTTCATTTAGTTTGTTGTGAAGAGATTTCAAATTGTTGATATGATCGATTATGTTTCTACACTTTTCAATCAGCAAGAATTATATTGTTGTCGTAGAAGGACAATCTTTGAAATAAAAGTTGTAGCAAACTGATTTCTCAAAATATCCCATGTCTCTTTCGCTGTATGTGTATCCCTTACATTGATTTGCTTATCTTTTTTGACTCCCAAACAAATGTACGTCCATCATTTCCTCGAAGCAATTCTAAATGCTTGCTACACTTGATGAGACAAGTCTTCTTGTAGGATTTCATCTAATCCATCCGCATGATCAAACAAATTAATACTTTCCTGATACAAACGCGTGTTAAATGCTAAATTTCTACTATTTTTTCTTTTAACTTTGGTATTTTACATCAAAGATTCGTCAACAAGGCCATACTTAATCTTAAGTTAATTCAACGACTTATTTTAAAAAATATACACTTCAACATACATATAACAACGCTCCAGACAAGCATTCAAGTCTCCTAGTCCGTGACCTGTGAAAATAATAAGTCATGTGTGACGTTATTCAAGTCACGTGCAAAGTTCATCTCAATAAATAAAAAGAAACAGGCAATCCCTGATTTCCAATCAATCTCACCTTGAATAACTTCCTCAATATAGACAATCTACATTAAATATTTAGCACATCACCTGATACATTATTGAAAACACGTTCTTACTCAAGTAGTCTGGCATGCAAGGAATCACTAAAAACAGACTAAAATTTACGAAATGGTTTTGAAAACTTTCTATGGTTGTCTTGATTTGAGCAAGACTTGGATTTATTATGTCCTTTAAATGCTCGCTCTTTTTTAGACAAGACAACATCAAAATTACTTTCTTCTCTTTTCTGGCTTTCATTCTAATTATGTCGCTTCATGGCCACTTTTGTTGTTCTTAAAAAAATGGCTTTGCAGTAGCATGACTTTAAAATTTTTCTGGTAATTATTGCCATTTTTAATTACGTATGTCTATCTGAATTTCACGTTTAATATGAATTAAATATTTGTCGAAAAAGTTTACAGTTGAGCGTCGTATAATGACAAAAAAACTGTAAAGACTGGCTGTGTCTTTCACTTTAAATAGATTTTTCTTCAATAATTAAATTTTAATTCGATACCAAAGCCCATCTTCAGTGAACTGTCAAGCATAGGTCTCTTCATAATTTTTGAAACTGAGGTGTTGATCGATGAACATCCAGTACGGTTAAATGCCTTTAACGTGTTACATAGAAATGCATTAAAACATTAATTGGAATTGAAAGGATGAACATATTTATATTTTCCTAACCCTTTAGTAATTATTTGATAATCAGAGATAACGAATTCGTTCTGCTCTTATTTGTGTGATGTTTGAATAATGAATTCATAGTCACATAATGCATCATGTGACAAAATCTTTTAGTAAGCTTTGGCTCCCGGGCCTTCCTTTTCCAATGTCACTGCTTCTTCTTTGCTTCTTTTTTAACCATTGAGACTTCGAGGTATTATTCGCAATAAATTATAGCTTTTTTCCGTTCTTACATGCATTCTTTTTGTCGCTTTTTTGCAAATATAATTCCCACCAAAACGAAATGAGCACAAATCGTTGACATTTAAGATTAATATAAATGCATAAAATATTTTATCTACAAATAACTTACTAATTAAGGTACGATATCAGTTGGTAAAAGTTGAAGTACTCCAGCAATACATAGACAAATATAAAGTATAAAGACAATTTAGCGCTATTTTTGATCTTAAAAATATGCAATAGCCATTCAAATCAGGATTATAGTGTTTTTTTATATCAATGAATTTAACGTTGGGCAGTTTTCGTTTTCGTCGGGCAAAAATGTGTCAGAACCCCCAACATTTTTTGGACCCGTACGCCCATTTTTTATTTCCTCATGATATAAACTCTCAACTTCAACTAAACGTTATATATAATGTATATTGAATTTTTGGAATTCTTGGTTTTAATCATGTTGATATATCAATTTTTTGCAGATGGAATCAAGAGGAAAAAGAAACCTATTTTACATTGGGCAAATAATTAATGTTGTTCAAAAGGAACTTGCTTCGTTTTTCATCAAACAATGGAACATTCATTACAAATCATCTCATGGAGAATGGGATGATACACCCAAAAGTGGCAACAACTTTTACACTTTGGAATCAGGAAGAAAATTAGTCCAAGAAACACGACAAAAATATCAGGATGGAGACACCAGTAAGTGGGACTGTTCGATATTATTTGGTGCTATACTTTTTTCAAAATCAATTGGAAAGCATCTTGATAAAGAAACAAAGGATGTTGTTAAGGCAATTCTTTGTGAAAGAAACAGATACGCACATTGGCATGAAAGGGAATGCTCAGATGATGATTTTGATGAGATAGTCAATAATATAGAAAAATCATTTCAATATTTGAAATTTTCTCTCGATGAAATCATTGAAATAAAAAATCATCGAAACTGTTTAAATTCATTCCAAGTGCTTCCTTCTAAACCTAAACATTTTATCGTTGAACGCACAAATTACGAGATGAAATCATAAAAGATCTTGAAAAATTAAAGAATGATAACAATGATAAACTGACATATTTTACATCACTGGTAATCCTGGCAGTGGTAAATCACAACTTGCAAGACAGGTTTGTGAAAAATATCGTGTGATTGGAAAAATAGAACTTCGTTTGTAATGACTCTCGATGGAAAAATGAGGATTCTCTTTTAAAACTTACTGTGAACTTGGATACCGTTTAAACTGTGACAAGTATATGATTAAAAATTTGAAGATGAAAACTGTTCCATCACAGAAAAGTGAAGAATTTGCGATCGTTAGTATCCACACGATTAAAATTCTGGCAAAATTGGTTGATCATTGTAGACAACGTGGTACAGCTCAGCAAAAATTCTTCATTACTTCCCCAAGTAGGGGATCCCATTTGGACAAACGGACAAATCATAGTAACTATCCAGAACACAGATGCCGTGCCTCAAGATGATGAGTTTAATAATCATATTTCTATCAGAATTGGAATGAATGATAGGGAATGTTTTCAACTGCTAAAGCATTACACTATTGAACATTCTGATGATCGATTGTTGAATGAAGTATCACACGCATTAGATCGTCAACCTCTGGCTTTGGCTGCTGCTGGTTATTATTTCAGTCGTGTAAAGAAAGTCAACTCTTCATTTACTTGGAGTCAATATTTAAAGATAATATCTTCAGAAGAACAAGAAAACATGGACGCCACTTTTGTTAAATTTAACTCGGTATATCCTAGAAGTATGTTACAAGCTTCACTTTTAGCTGTCAGACAAAATGCTGAAGAATCCTCAATGTTGGCAATTATTATTAACTTTTTTTCCGTGATATCGTCTGATCCTATACCACGAGACATTATTGTTTTTTATGTTCAAGAAATTGATGCCAAACACTCAAAGGAAGATATATGTCATTGTTTAAAGGACTGCTCATTGTTCTTGCATTCAGAAAATAATGACATTAGCCTACATCGCATTGTTCACAAAGCAATTATTGTTTACCAATCTGAACACTTAAATAAACAATGCAAAATAGAGCAAAGTCGCAAATTGCCTTCTCTTCAATCAAACGTAGACCAAGTAGCTCAAGCACTTTACATGTTTAAAGAGAGAGACGACGAAAGCAAATTGATGCCACATCTTGAAAACATTCTTCAATTATTAAAGACCAACAAGACAAAAATCAACGTGAATACTTTACAAGTTTTCAAATATTTTGTTGACAGATTAAGACATTTTGGAAAATACGATCTTGCTCTTGAATTATTGGATAAATTTAAATCAGAAGAATCTAGTAATGACAAAGCTTGGTATTTTAGTATCCTCGGTCTTTTATACCATGACACTGGGAAGTATAGCAAAGCTAAAAATCATCATGAAAAGGCTCTGGAAATTCGAAAACAATCGTTAGGTCCAAATCATGTTGATGTCGCTACGTCTTTAAACAATCTTGGTGTGGTGTATGATAAAACTGGAAACTACGACAAAGCTATGGAGATTTATGAAATAGCTCTAGAAATTCAAAAAAAATCGTTAGGTCCAAATCATGTTGATGTCGCTACGTCTTTAAACAATCTTGGTGTGGTGTATGATAAAACTGGAAGCTACAACAAAGCTATAGAGATTTACGAAAAAGCTCTAGAAATTCGAAAACAATCGTTAGGTCCAAAACATGTTGATGTCGCTGCGTCCTTAAACAATCTTGGTTTGGTGTTTTGTGAAACTGGAAACTACTGCAAAGCTATAGAGTTTCATGAAAAAGCTCTGGAAATTCGAAAACAATCGTTAGGTCCAAATCATGTTGATGTCGCTGCGTCTTTAAACAATCTTGGTTTGGTGTTTTGTGAAACTGGAAACTACTACAAAGCTATAGAGTTTCACGAAAAAGCTCTGGAAATTCGAAAACAATCGTTAGGTACAAATCATGTTGATGTTGCTGGGTCTTTAAACAATATTGGTAATGTGCTTGAAAAAACTGGAAGCTACAACAAAGCTATGGAGATTTACGAAAAAGCTCTAGAAATTCGAAAACAATCGTTGGGTCCAAATCATGTTGATGTCGCAATGTTTTTAAACAATCTTGGTGTGGTGTATGATAAAATTGGAAACTATGACAAAGCTATGGAGATTTACGAAAAAACTCTAGAAATTCAAAAACAATCGTTAGGTCCAAATCATGTTGATGTTGCTGATTCTTTAAACAATCTTGGTTTAGTGCTTTATAAAATTGGAAACTACGACAAAGCTATAGCGTTTTACGAAAAAGCTCTGGAAATTCGAAAACAATCGTTAGGTCCAAGTCATGTTGATGTTGCTGATTCTTTAAACAATCTTGGTTTAGTGCTTTATAAAATTGGAAACTACGACAAAGCTTTAGAGGTTCACGAAAAAGCTCTAGAAATTCAAAAACAATCGTTAGGTCCAAATCATGTTGATGTCGCTGCGTCTTTAAACAATCTTGGATTGGTGTTTTGTGAAACTGGAAACTACTACAAAGCTATAGAGTTTCACGAAAAAGCTCTGGAAATTCGAAAACAATCGTTAGGTCCAAATCATGTTGATGTTGCTGGGTCTTTAAACAATCTTGGTAATGTGCTTGAAAAAACTGTAAACTACGACAAAGCTAGAGAGTTTTACAAAAAAGCTCTGGAAATTCGAAAACAAACCTTTGGTCCAAATCATAATGATGTCGCTGCATCTTTAAAAAATCTCGGTTTGCTTTATGATAAAACAGGAAAACACGACAAAGCTAAAAAATTTTTTGAAAAATCTGTAGAAGTTCGAAAACTGAATGTGCCAGGTGAAGACCATACTCAGGTCACTGAAGAAACTGAAATATATGAGTCTCAGAAATCCCAGAGTTTATTTCCAGTTCCAAGTTATGCTCATGTTTCTCTGTCATCAAAAGATTTTGGTAAGTTTGTAGGTGTTATATACGACATAATGATGGTGGCTCATTTGCGATAATGATATTTAGTTCAAATGCAACTCCAGACAAATTTCACCCCATATTTTTTTCTCCAAATAAAAAATGAAGATTCTTAGAAACATTTTGTTGTATATTTGAGCATTTTTGGTTTGGTATAAGTTGTTTAATTTTAACGCTAAATTTAGCCACCGGATGCGATTTTTACAAATGGGTCGTGACGTCATAAGATGTTCCCACCTCGCTAGTTTATTATATTACTATAAACGAATGCCAGCATGGAGCATCAATTTTTTAAAATTTTGTGTCGAAAAACGCGTTTTATTCCGAAAAATTTGTCAAAAGTATCCAAAAGATAACTATCAATACAAATATTGGTTAATAAATCTTTGGACGACGCAATTTTGTCATAAAGTTCATCAACGAAGTTTTTTGACGCCGACAGCTATGAATATAAATAGTAGTCAAATGTATTCTGGCGCTCTTGTGCTAAATGTTGGACACTTCGATTATTAAAATAAGCTTGAAAATGTGAAACTCTTGACGATGAAGCTTTCTGCATTGATGTCTCGACCACAGGTGTTGTTGTAACTTGTAATATTCACGGAGTTGCTGAGAATATCGTAACTATTAACCATTTTCTATATAAAGACATTACTGAACTGGAGAATCAGTTCTTTAGGGAAAATATACTGGGACTAAGTCTTTCATCCGTCAAATCAAAAGGTACATAAATGACAAAGGCATTAATATTACTGTCATATTCAATTCATGTTTTTTATGTCTAACTCGAACTATTTGAGATCCGTAGTTTATTGATGGCTTTTAATATATTTCACTCGGCTACGTATACATACAAATTTCATATAAGAATACAAAAAAATTTGGCCATAATGAATCTAGGGTCCTAGATTTTAGTGGTTCATTGACATACAAATTGTTTTATGTGAAGACTGGGTTATTCATTTTAGTTGTAGACAAAGAAAAGAGCCAAAGCAATAATTAAAACGCAGTTGGGATTCATATTTACATTAATCAACCAAAAGAATAATTCAAAAATCTACCTATAAACTAAAAACATGTACATAAATCCCGCTCTAAAGAACAGTGAGATGGAAACAAAACATTTTAATGAAACAAACATTGCTCAAGATATATAACAGCTATAAACTTATTGTTAGTTGTAAGATTCAAATACAACATTGCACCAATTTAGAGATAAAAATATTCCATATACCTGGTGTCTATTTCAAAGTGACTCATAGAATTAAAGAATAAATTTAAAATTTTAAAGATCATCTTATAATATAAAGGTATCAAAAATGAAACACACTTGAGTATTTGACATCTTAGAAAAATTATTATTCCACCAAACCCAGCTCTGTGAAAATTATGTATTCAAAAAATCATAAACTGAAAGATTGACAAACATTAGAATAAAATCAGGATGATTTTAAAACAGACATATTTCAGCATGCTATGCCATTTTCAGTGTATTACTTTTTGCAGCAAGAAAATTTTATGTCGTTTATACATGTCACAGATATTAAATTACAGGAGTGGAAATAGAAATTTAATTACAAGTTAAAATTAGACCTATAATGTATTTGTTTGCTGAGATCTAGTTTTATCAAGTTGTTTAATATAAAGCATAAATAAATGATTTGAGTAATAAAGATAGCAAAAGCGTGCCAAAACATGTGTCTACATATTATCAAATCGTGGTCTGTATTAAATGTACAACTGCTATTTTGCTACTAATAAATTATTGAAACTACATTGACATAGCGTGACTGACATTGATGCCAAATATTATTATAGCAATTACAGTCATTATGTATAAAGGTGTTGCACATGATTTTTTCAATCAATTCGATCACTTCTTCCCTTGTTTATTCCTTACGCTCATCTATTTTCCAGGAATACAGTTCAACTTCTTTTCATAACTGATAATAATTTGCGACGACGAGTTGATTGTTTAATGAAAGTATAGCGCCTAGGTAGGAGTAAACAAGCCACATATAGCGATAAAATTTCAATGTTTGACCGAACTCTCTTAATTGCCTCGACTCCGTAAGGAAAGGCAGCCTTCTGAACAAATTGAGTGATTCGGAAAGGATTCAATATACATTAAAGGAAAGAATCGTCAACGAGAAATGAATTCGAACTTCGAAGTAGCTATTAATTAAGCAACCATTCATTTGCTCTGTTTAGGAACAAAATTCGTCTATTTTCTACGCTTTTGGGTGCTTGCGTATTCTTTAGGAAACTTTTGAATATATATATATACTATGTATGACGACAATGCATGATTAAATATTTCCAGACTTTTCTTTTACATCCATCAGTAATTAAACAACAACGCTAAAAAATGTGTTAATGTCTGTGTCTGCTTACAATTTTGGTTTTTTGACAGGTTGCATAAAATTGCATAAAGTTGTAATAGTTTCCTTATCCTCAAAACAGACAGTCAACAGCAACGGACTTTAGCAACTTTTTCTTATAATTACTAAGAAACTCGACTGAGATTGGCGACAACTGTTCGTTAACACTTGTCTGAATTCATTACAACGCCCTTAATAATCGAGTGTGAGGTCTTTACGGAGAAATATCTGACTGATGTTTTTTGTACTGACCGAGCCCATTAGGGTGAGGTTTGTGCTAAAAACAGAGGTCTGAGATTTCCTAATAAAGACCGAGCAGGCGAGGTTAATAAAAAATCAAGTAGCTATATGGTATTATTTGACCTGAAACGAAGTTTTCTTTTCTTTTTCTATCTTTTCTGTTTTGCAAGGACTGGCTTTAACTCCTCTAGTTTTTGCCATCTGAAAATAAATAGTTTGAAATTGTGTCACCTAGATAATAAAACCCACTTTTCGAGTGTTCTTTTTTGACTTACATTCATACCATGATTTTTTGTGTTGTTTTTATTTTGGTTTTACAAAACACTTGCTGTTTGCTTCATGAAGTTTTGGTTAAACACAAGATAATAGACACTCCGTATATAGTAAACATTTAATCCAGATAAATAATGTTTACTATATACAGTGTCTATTGTCTTGTATTTTATCAAACTTCTCTTTGGCTGTCGTAATTCATGAAGTTTCTTTATCTACATTTGTTGGTAATCTTACGCCTAATGAAAGCTGGTTCATTACGTAAAAATATTTACTGCCCTCTCAATATTTCCAACTGTAAGGTCATTTTATTACTTGAAAATGTCAGTCATGTAAAACAGTGCGTAATATATGTATAAGACATTTTGGAGCTAATGGGCAAAACGAAATGAAATTTATAGGTTTAAAAAGCTACTGTCCAAAACTTTCAAATTTATTTTTGTTATTTCTTTTCGAACGCTAGCTGTAAATTCATTTTTTTACTTGTTGTCAAAATAGAAATACACAGCTTGTGTGGATAACGCTTTTTAAAATATTGTTCACAGAATTCACAAGTGGTGATGATGCTAATGCTAAAGATGTCGGAAATTCTCCTGGTGTTGAAAATACAGAAGAACAAGGTATGCCTTTCAATTTTATTTTATTTTATATATATTGCAAAACCTAAGCATATTTGTTTTGTATTGTATCACAAATCAAGTCATTTGATTGGTATTTATGTGCTTTTATGAAGATTTATATTATTTGATAATATGCATAATGTACGTATACAGTGTTGCACTTTCGGACTCTAAACGTTTGTTTATTACGTATGTTCAATACTGTATTAATGACTTAAATTTTCCTTTTGCGAACGGCAACTAATTTAAATGTACTGTGTGCCGACGGCAGTGCTCAGCAGAACTTGATAAGTCTTTGTTTATGTCTATAAATACTGCGTAGCAGCAAAGTGTGGCGCAACTCTTTTTATAAAGTGCTCAAATTGACTACAATTCATAAGTTGTATTGAAGAAAAAATATTATAATAAATGGACTAAAAGCTTTTAAAACAAATCTTAACGTAATGTACACCATGCAGGTCGACCCTGCATTTAAGAGATGTTCAGGTTAGACCAACTGTTTTAAAAGTGCTAGTGTTTGATTACGTTAATTACTACTTTCTTTGTTAGAGTACAGGAGATTAGTTGGAGTATAACTTTTTCCAGATAGAAATTAATTTTTTTTGCTACTGGTTTACAGCATCGAAAGTGTTGAAACATATAAAAAATCATCACCAAGTCCAAGTTCTAATAAAAAATTACTTCAAATTCATTCTTCAATCAACCTTTTACATTAACAAATTTTATAAGATATATTAATTTTTTCATTACATATCTAAGCAACACTGAATGGTAACAATTGCGGCTGATTTTTTCTGTTTTAACCATGACAGTAAAATCTTGACCCTTCACAATTTATATTTGAAGCACATTATCAGTCAGTTGAAATTAAAAGGAGACATGAGGTGATAATGACATCATGTAATCTATTTTTTCAAAGTTACGTTTATTTGCATTCTGCTTGTTTAATCATAAAAACTTCTTAACGAACTATCCTTTGGATATACTGTCATACTTCACATTTGCACCACCATTCATACATTACCTAGCTAATAACATTGAAAATTATGCAAAGAACGGCCACCATCAAATCGACTTGCTCAATATACTTCAATAAATAAGAATTCCTGTTCATTGTAATAAAATACATCAAACTCATATGGAAAATGAGCAAATTTGACGATGTGGATTTTCAAAGTTCCACAATAAAAAGAAAGCTATTTACAATTTTCATTATGACAAATGTAGCATTAAATTTCACATTTATTAAACGATCATCTAAATTCTAAATTTACTGAAAAATACAAGTTTTTTTCCAACTCTATCCTTGCTAAGTATACTGGAGATTACCTCTTCAGTGTGAACATCATTCAAAAGTCCACAAAGATCATTTTCTAGGTTAGATTTGAATTTTGAATACTTTTTACTTGAAATTGCATTTTGAAAGGTGCATAAAGCATAAAAGTTGCTGTATCAGTTTTTTCTACTAGAAAATTTCACAAAATAGATAAGCAAACAACGTTACTAATGCAAAACATAAAAACAAAGACTTTATTCATTGATTTAAAAAAATTTCTCCTACTGATCTCAAAATAAATAAATATAATTTTTTGGACTATATTAGAAAAACAAGAGAGTCGAAAAATCTCATTTATGATTCAAGCTGTGTCTTAATTGACGATTGTCAATAGGCTTAATAACCTCAATTAAAAAGTGCATGTCAATCAGACCAAGCCACTTACGACATAAGCCACCCGATTGAGTAAGAATAACGATGCTGCGAAAATATCGCTTACAGAATTTAATGGCTGTATCATGTTTTCTGAGATTTTGTAAAACGAACTACTTAATAGGGGACCAAAACTATAACTTTTTTGGGTTTGGGGAGGGGGTGTTTAATAGCGCTGCTAAAATATCGCTTACAGAACTCAATCGCTGTATTATGTTTTCTTAGATAATGTAGCACGGACCACTGTAGATAGGGCTAAACGATAACATTTAGTGAGGTGGGTGAGAACATTTTTAATAACACTGCTGCTGAAAATATCGCTCACAGAACCCAATGGCTGTATCACGTTTCCTCAGATTTTGTAGCACGGACCACTGTATAGAGAACCAAAACTATAAATTTTAGTGAGGTGGGGTAAATTTGTTTTTCTTCTCTGTCATCATAATTTATTCACCTCCTACAGCTTTACTTCAACATCTTATGATAACTTAGTGATTATTGTTATTAAGTTTTAGGTTTAATCTTAACAGATTTCGATTTCATCATTAAGTAGTTTATGATTATTTGCAAATAACTTTACAAATCGCAAAACATAAAAACAACGACTTTATTCATTGATTTCAATAAATTACTCCCATCGATCTCAAAATAAATAAATGTAATTATTTGGACTATATTAGAATAGCAAGTGAGTCCAAAAATGTCATTTATGATTCAAACTGTGTCTTAATTAATGATTGTCAACTGGCTAAATAACCTCCATTGAAAAGTGCACTTGTATCGGCTCAAGGCACTTGCGACTTAATTCACAAGATTGAGCAAGAATGTCGCTGCTGCTTAAATATCGCTTACAGAACTCAACGGCTGTATCATTGTTTCTCAGATCTTGTAGCACCAACCACTATATAGAGGGCCGAAGTTATAACTTTAGTAGTTTGTGGAAGGCGTGTTTATAAACGTTGCTGATGAAATATCGCTAATAGAACTCAATGTCTGAATCATGTTTTCTCAAATAATGTAGCACGGACCACTATATAGAGGGACGAAAATAAAACGTTTAGTTGGGTGGGTGGGGGGGGTCTTTAAAAACGCTGCTGCTGAAATATCGCTCACAGAATTCAAGGGCTGTATCATGTTTTCTCACATATTGTAGCACGGACCGCTGTATAGAAGACCGAAACTAGAACTTTTAGTGGCGAGGGGAGATAATGTTAAAAAAACGCTGCTGCTGTAATATCGCTTACAGTACTCAATGGCTGTATCATGTTTTCTCTGATATTGTAACACTGACCACTATATAGAGGATCGAAAATAGAACGTTTAGTTGGATGGGGGAGTGCGTGTTTAATAACGCTGCTAATGAAATATCGCCTACAGAACTTAATGGCTATATCATGCTTCCTCAGATATTGAAGCCGGAAGTTCGATCATTTGCTTGCATCGTTCGTGTTGCTTATCTTGTCAATTATATTATACTTTAGCACTACAACCTCATGATTACTTTCACATGTTTCTAAAATGAAAATTTTCATGATAACAAAAATCCTGACACAATAGACCCAAGACAGACAAATTATTTCTTGTAAATAAACCATCATATGCTTAATAAAATAACTGAAAACTGCAAAAACCATTTTCAATTTGGCAAAGGTAAAACAATACCAGCAATGTTGCATGAGAATAAGAAAAACAGGAGGTAGGGCTTGAGTTTGCAGAAATATCGATAATGAGGTTCACTCTACCAAGGTGAATAAGAGAAACAGTACGTGTCAGATAATTTAGAGTTAAAGCATAAAATGTCTATAAAACGATAGTTTGGCAGCCTGTTATATTCTTTAATTGAACAGAAATTTTAATATGACAACGAAGTTTCTCTACTATCTTATGCGTATCTCTTTTCGTTCTCAAGATATTGAAAGTTTTATTATGTTTGATTCATCTAACTTGTGACGTCACATTGTATATTGAGAATACGAATTATTCGGTACATTTGCTAAAACTTTTCTTCAACTTTGCAGAGTTTCTTCCTTTGTGATGTGTTAATGATATAAAATACTACCTACTATTATCAACGTAAAGTTGTCAGGAAAATGAAGTGTATTTTAAACATGGCAGCGACTCATTTTTCATACAATATGATGTCACAAGTTAGATAAATTGGTAATAGCAAGGACTTCACTTCAGTATTTTTAGAATGAAAGAGTCATACATAAAAGGTTTTAGAAAGCATTCATTTGAAAAGCTCTGGTCAATGTAAATATAATTTAACTAGCAAAGTTTTCGTTTCATTGGCACTTTAATGGGGTTCAAACAAGGTTTGAGAGAATAATTGTTGAGTTTTCGCTGTTGATCGAACTTCAACGTTCATATTTGGTATCAAACATAAGATAGTCCATCTAAAAGACGAGTGTCGAGAATGGAAAGAAAAATTGAATGAAGCTATTTTGTTATCTTCTGCTGTAAACAAATTCTTAGACTCTAAAAATATGCTCTCAAAATTTAAATTTAAAATTTTCGAAAAACGTAAGGTTATTTCCTAAAAAAAATATATGAAATTACTGCAGAAAGAAGTTTTTGTGATTAATTGTATGGTATAGGCTAACCTCAAATGTTGCCAGATTTGATTTTACAATTAAAGAACTTATGATTTGTCTAATGGTTGTTGATAAGTTTTTTCAAAAATGTACGGTAGCTAATGATATCCTTTCCTGATTGGGAAAGTTTATAAGCTTTTTGACGTATTAATTTCGTTTTTTTCACCCTTGAATGTAATATTTTATCTAATTTTTTTAGACTTGGTGTTGCAAGAGTGGAAATACATTGATGAATCAACGAAACATAGAGAATTGTTTTTAAAACTGATTAAATATGGACGCATTTCCAGTGTTGAGGTTAAAGTGGTGGGCAATGTACGAGTAATTTTCTCAGAAGAGTTTTGCATTGGCAAAGGAAGTGGTGCAACCCGTGTTTATCTTGGACTGGGTAAGGATGGTTACGGTAAAGCAGTGAAACAAATACGTCGAGATAGCTACATCCAGTTTGCGCTGCACGAAAAGAAAGTTTTGAATAAATTCAACGCAAGAAATTCGAAATATGTTGTAAATTATTCTTTCCTAGAGGAAGAGACTGGAACAGAATATGTTTATTTGATATTAGACTTATGTGAAGAATCATTGGAGAGTTTTGTCAAGTCTTCTAGTTTACATGATCTTCAAAAAGCTCTTCCCAAAATTCTTAGACAAATTTTGCAAGGATTAGCTGATCTTCATAGCGGCCCGAATCCTATTCTTCATCGTGATTTAAAGCCCGCCAATGTTCTCCGAGACACACAAGACAACTTTCTTATAGCTGACTTTGGCATTAGTCGAATATTGGAAAACGATTCTACGACACATGAAAGCAATCCTAACACGGGAACTGAGTATTGGATTGCTCCTGAATCATATTGTGAAGATAAAGATACAGTTGATACGGGACGGTACAAGAAAGCGTCTGATGTAATGGTAAGTGCAGGAATATAACCATTTGCACGACATGCATGTATAAAGTCAATTTGTAACATTAAATTGTTAATCTTTTTAGAATGCAGGAATGGTAGCTTATTATATTGCAACAAAAGGTAAACACCCGTTTGGAACTAAACCGTATAGACTGATGAACATGCTGAATGGAAAACCTGTTGGCTTGGAGGAAATCAAGGATGAAACACTGAAAGACCTTCTATCGTGGATGTTAAACCGAGAACCCAAAGACAGACCATCGGCTAACGAGGCGTTAAAACATCCATTTCTTATGTCGGATGACGAGAAATTTGACTTATTATGTAAAGTTGGAAATCTTCAGCAGATTAAGACAAATGATCCCCTGTGTAGTGTCGTTCAACAATTGAATAGTGAATCCTCAGATTGGAAAAGTAAAATAGACCGTGATGTTTATGACTATTTTAGAACGGACGTGGTGACTGGAAAGATTTTTACATATGACTCTTCATGGACAGAATGTTTAAGACTTATTCGAAATATTAACCAACATTGGAACGATCGACCACGGCCAAAGCCTCAACCAGAACCATTTTATAAGATTGGCGATCACAAGGCGTATATTCTCAAAAAATTCCCCAATCTCCCTGTTCGAGTGCATGCTACTGTGAGGTCAAATGAAGAATGGAAAAACAATCCAGATCTCAAGAACTTTTTCAATTTCACTGAAAAGAAACCACATCAAAAATAAGCAGTTTTTAAACAGTAAAAACAGTTTGTGAAAAGGCAAGTGAACAGGAAAGATACCGTGTAAAATAGAATTAACTCAGATTGGAAAAGACAAGTAAATTTTTTACGTATATGATTATTTTGATTGTTGGCTGTCATTGAAAGATTGATTGATTGCGACCAGTACAAAAACCATCCATTTTATAAAGTCGATGATCCTAGGGAGTTCTTTTTGAAATCCCAGTTTGGGTACGTGCGGCTGTCTGGTGAATTGACGAATTAAAAAACAACCCAGAACTTAAGAACTTTTTCAGTTTTTAATGAAAGCGAACCACGATGAAAAGTTTACTGACAGGAAAACAATTAACAAGTCAACGATACGGTAGTTAAAGGATTTATTTTATAGATGTAAAGTAGCAAAACACTTTTGACGACGTATTTGGATGATACATAATCACATTTCTGCATCTAGCTTACATTATTGAATGATATAATATCTGATTATTTAAATTTTATTCTCAATTGCTTTTGTTGAAGACGCATGACATTTAAAGTCAACTTTATAAAATACAAAATAAAACTCTTATACGATAGTAAATGGTATTTCTAGAGTTTCAATATTACCAAGATCCCGTTTATTAGAGTATTAAAAGGCAGTGATAATGGTTAATGCCAAAAGCACAATTAAATGGACTTAAGCTCTGAATTTAGTAAACATTAATTATCTGAAGAGACTAAACAAAGGCAATTAAAAAACAAACGAAGCCTTTTCAGCAAATAAAGAGTGAATCCGGTATAACACGCAGCTTAAAAGTCTGGTCTTGCACTCGTTTCGCTCATTCTAAATGTGTATAACTCAGAGTTCTAAACTTTATAGTGCGGAAGATAGCCAACTTAGATTTCTTTCTGTGCTATCTAATAATGGATGCGGTATGATGTTGTTGTACACTGTTCTACACATAATGATAATAATATCTGAGATCGTCGCCATTTTTGTTTCCAGACATACACTAATAATCTATACCAAGGATTATTTAAATACAATGAACAACAGACCTGAAAAATACAACAAATTTTCAAGAGAGCAAATTGATGCTCTTAATTACTATTTTGAGAATGGCATGAAATCTACTCTTTGCTTTGAGCTGATAAAAACAGCCGCCGAAGAAACGTCGTTGCCTGCGGACAAAGTCAAGGTGAGAAGACCTCTTCTTTAGTTGTCAGCCGTCTTTTAAAAATTTTTCTGTAAGCAGTAAACCAACAATGAAACCAACGCTATCAAATCAAAGCCATACGTATCTCAATCACATCCCTAAATTTGTATTTCTATTCCACAGTATGAAGTTCTACTTTAAACTTTCCTTTTTTTCAAAAATGACATTCTTATAATGTGTTGTGATATACAATAGACATCCTTTATGTACAGAGTTATAGGCTGTGAAACACAGTAATTGGTGCTGCTTTATTGTAACACTTGATGTTATAATGTCTGTAAAATTTTCAAAAAATATGTCTGATACTGCATGTTTTGAAATTATTCAAAAGCTTCTTCACAACTGACATTATGCTTTTTTCAGAAATGGAAAAGCAACAAAGTTGCTTCTGTCAAAAGAAAATATCAATCTAATAATTCAGAGTCACCCCTACCCTCATGTAATCCACCAAAAGTCCCCAAACCACCACCCAGATTACGGGGGTCACACGGATATAATCTATTTAGCTCAGAATTTTTTAAATCAAGTGAATGAAATATGAAAATCACATTAGTATCATCAATAAGGGTTTAAGGATTGTTACCCATCAAGAATTTGCTATGATGAAAGCCTTGACAAATTTATCCATTGTTGCAGATGAAGTAAAGGGGTTGTCTGACCTGAGTGAAAAAAATAAATTGGCTTCTGTCAAATGGATTGGTCTTGGAGAATCTGAGCAAAATAAATACATACTGAAAGCTTATGACATAAAAAACAACCCAGTGACATTAGATGATGCTCAAAGAACAAAATTGGTTGATCAGCATATGAAACTTTTAGCTGAGGAGGTAACCGTCGTTTTAATAAATTAATTTTGCAATGAATAGCGGAGGTAGCATTAAGTAATTAGAAGAAATTAGAATAGTCCATTGATTGGGGAGACTTTAGTCTTTGGAAATGTTCATAATTCATGGTATTTTCATAAAGGAAGTTTATATTGCCTTAACATTGGATGCATTTCTAATAGTGTTATCTTGAGTAAAACTCTTTGTTTTGAGCATGTATTTTTTGTGCAAACATGGTTGCAGTGAATACCAGATAAAAAGTCATTTCTTATTGCAAACTTGTTTTTCTTTTGGCCTGAAATTTGACTTAAACGTCATCTGTCATGAAAATTTTTTTGTATTCTGGTTGTGTGGAATGTATCAGTTGAACTGTTTCATCAGGCTATAAAAGAATTAATGAAGAAATGATTTAATAATAATAAACTATATTTAATTGTAGTATGAAGTTCAAAGTTTGTGTGAAATTGAAAATTTGTACAGTTACTTAGTGCTGTGAAAAGTGATTGTAAAATACTTTTGGTTCCAAGAAGATTAATAAAGCTCTGGAAAATCAAAAACAATGGTTAAGTCCAAATCATGTTGACGTCGCTACATCTTTAAACAATCTTGGTATGGTGTATTATGATACTGAAAACTACGACAAAGCTATAGAGTTTTACGAAAAAGCTCTAGAAATTCGAAAACAATCTTTAGGTCCAAGTCATGTTAAAGTCGCTGCCTCTTTACACAATCTTGGTTTGGTTTTTGAAAAAACTGGAAAGTACGACGAAGCTAAAGAGGTTTACGAAAATGCTCTGGAAATTCGAGAACAATCATTAGGTCCAAATCATGTTGATGTCGCTGCGTCTTTACACAATCTTGGTATGGTGTATTATGATATTGGAAAGTACAACAAAGCGATAGAGTTTTACGAAAAAGCTCTAGACATTTGTAAACAATCGTTAGGTCCAAATCATGTTGATGTCGCTGCGTCTTTAAACATTCTTGGTTTGGTGTATTATGATACTGGATACTACGACAAAGCTATAGAGTTTTACGAAAAAGCTCTAGAAATTCGAAAACGATCGTTAGGTCCAAATCATGTTGATGTCGCTGCATCTTTGCACAATCTTGGATTGGTCTTTGAAAAAACTGGAAAGTACGACGAAGCTAAAGAGTTTCACGAAAAAGCTCTGGAAATTCGAAAACTGAATGTGCCAGGTGAAGACCATACTCATCCCACTGCGTCTTTGAGCAAGTTTCGTAGGATGTACGAAGAAACTGAAGAATATGAGTCTCAAAAAACTCAGAGTAAATTTCCAGTATTAAATCATGCTCATGTTTCTCTGTCATCAAAATATTTTGGTAAGTTTGTAGGTATTATATACAACATAATGTTGGTTGCTCATTAGCGATAATGATAATTTGTTAAAGTGCAACTCCGACTAAATTTCACCCCATCGTTTTTTCGCCAAATAAAAAATATACATTCTTAGAAACATTTTCGTGTAAGATTGAGCTGTTTTGGTTTGGTATAAGTTGTTTAAATTTAACGCTAAATTTCGCCCCTGGATGCGAAGTTTTACAAATGGTCGTGACGTCATAAGATGTTCCTACCTCGCTAGTTTATTATAATACAATAAACAAATGCCAGCATGGAGCATTAATATTGTTAAATTTTGTGTTGAAAAACGCGTTTTATTCTGCAAATTTGGCAAAAGTATCAAAACGATAACTATCAAGACAAGTATTGGTTAAAGGGGAACTCCACCCTCACATAATTTTCGTCTTAAAAGTTCCATTTTTCTGCAAAGGTTACTATATTTTGAAATTTTTACATCAGCTATTTTATTTTTGACAAAATCGCGTCTTCGAGTGCGCTATTTGACCTGTTTTGTGGTTTAGCAGCGTGGGCACAGAAAGCGTCAGCGGAAATTATTTTGACGTCGTATCGTCAAACCGATTTACAGTTTACAACAAAGTAAAATGATAACGCACAGCCTAGCACAAAAAACAAAACAATCGCTTATAATGGCTTTTTTGGAAGAACCACGTCCTAATTCACCAATCGAGAGTGAAATGGAAGACAATCCAGCAAACAATATTCGGCCATATCAGTTTGAGCCCGAATGGCTGGCCGATGAACACGAAGAAGCTCACCAGTTTGAGGACAACGAAGAACAGGAATTTGTGTATATTGAGGATGAACCTCGGCGCGACAATCTTGAATGGTGAGTAATAAAATGTATATTATTCTAGACCACTGTTTCGATCTCGAAAAAACGTTTTCAGTTTTTGATGTTGACCACGTCCACACACACATAATACATCAGATTTTAAAGTTTTTATTGTAAGATACAATCGTTTTTGAAATATAGACATTTACTTTTCAAGATCCTTTCTTTTGACATATTCAGGTGTCAATGTGGTAACTTCCAAATAATGGACAATAACGAGGAATGTTTATGCTGTAAAAAGTTTTGCAATATTTGTGACAAAAATGTAGAGGCAGTAGAAACGAACGAGACCACTGAAGTCCCTTTGTGCATTACACAACATCCTGGTTTTGAGCCTGTTTGTCTTAACAGGTGGGTTTTACAAACAGCTTGCTACCTGTACAAGCAGCAATATGAGGTAGCATATGATGGGCCCGAAGACAAACTGTACCGCCATATTGCATATAGACAGTTGACAAGATGGTGCTGGGGTATCTTGGGTAGAGAAGTAAGAGTCGTCTTGCCATCATGTGGAGTTACTCGCATTAGAGAAACATTTCCTCCACCTGGCCCTGCAGAGGAATTTCAATTTGAAGGCTTCCACTATGCTGGTTTTGCTATGTTAATATTTAAGAATGAATGTACAAAAGTTGTCTTCACTAATGCCACATCATATTATATTCACCACTGACATTTTATGCAAATCTAGACTGATGTTCCTTTACAAGTACTTCTTTCGTGGGTAGACACGATTTAGAAATGTACTTTGGAAGTTCTCGCCATGATGTACAAGTTCAATCTTCTCAGTTTTGCATGCATTCACAACCTCTGCAAGTAGTATATCAACGTACTGGTATTCTTTCTTTTCTTTCATTGCTTTTACAACCCATTGCTTCTTTGTTTTAGCAAAAATCATTGTGTAACGGTCTTGCCCTTTGTTTGTCCCTGACTTAATGACTGCTTTATCACGGTTAATATTTTTGTTGTGATCTGTGAGTTCGGGCTACCATTCCAGGAAATGAAAAATGCTCTCGCTTTGGGCAGTATTTCAGTAAAAGGGAATGGTAAACCTCCAACTCTCCTGTGTGACAAAACTCAGATAGCTTCCGCAGGTCTTTTAGAAGCCTCTCGTCACAAATCACCTTCTCTGCAGCAATATATGCTTGTGAAGTAGGAGATAACCACTTCTTCTGCTTGTTTGTCTTTCTGTTAATTGTTGGTAGCAACATTGATGAAAGTATGTGTTCCCTCTCCAGAAATGCTTGTTGTTGGTTAAGGATAGATTTTTCCACCAATTCTTCGGCATTCTTGTTACAACTTGCAGAGCACCACAAAGATGATTAGAAATGGACTTAATCCAATGGGTCAAGTCATCATTTCCCTTAATGTTAGCCTTCTTTTTTAGTTTTTTCTGACAGATTTAGACAAATGCCACACATTATATTGGTGATCAATATGAGGGTGTTTGTTTTTCATAGCACTGGCAATTTTTGTCTCAAATGTGACTTAAAAAAGGGAAATTATGTATAAATAATTAGGAAACTATAAGTTCATACTTTACGTCAAAGAAACTACACCTAAATTCTATGCACGAAAGGCTAAATTTGCAATGGTTTTATGTAGAATTATTTTCTAACCATATTATATCTAAATTACACAACCATGTTTTATTTGCGCATGCGTATACTCTCTCGTACAACTCTTCCACTCCACGCTGATGACTTGTAGAATTCAAATCAAACTAAAACTTAAGGTAAGTTTCGTTTAGTTTTTAAATCACAGGATGAAAGTAGAAACTTTATTACAAGTTAAAATTAGACCTATAATGTATTTGTTTGCTGAGATCAAGTTTTATCAACTTGCTTGAGATAAAGCATAAATAAATGATTTGATCAATAAAGATAGCAAAGGCTTGACAAAACATGTGTCTACATAATATCAAATCGTGGTCTGTATGAAATGTTTAACTGCTATTTTGCTACTAATAAATTATTGAAACTACATTGACGCACAGAGTAAATTTCAGGGGGCAAAAATTACCCCACTAGTAAGGGGTAAACAAAGGAGTAAATTCTAATATGGGGTAAAAATTGTCCCATATTTCTACTGAGGTAAAATTTTACTGGGGGTAAAAATTACCACTAAAATTATGGTAAACTAATGTTACACAGAATCACCCAATTTTTGGAGTAAAATTCACTAAGAGTAAATGGAAGGGTAAAATCAACCCTTTTGTGTGTAATTGGGTTATCTATTAAGTTGAAAATCGTAAAACATACAGTATGTACGTCAAACACATAAAATGCTCAACTTTACGTATGCACTTAAAATGTACAACTTGTATATGAAACATGTATGAACAAAACTTGTAAATTAAGAACAAAATGTAATGGAAGTATATTTTGTAAATCATCAACTAAAAACTAACTCTTCTAAAAACTACAATTTTCATTTACAAGTGTTTCAAATGTCACACTTTACATGACCCAAATGCATTGAAAACAAAAGATGATGAGGATTTTTGTCTAATTTTTTTTTGTTTACAATGCATTCAGGTCATGTAAAGGTGACGTTGAAACAGGCTTTCAAGAACAAAGATTCAGGAACATTTGTAGTTTATACAAGAGTTAGTTGTTAGTTAATGACTTACAAAATATACTGCCCAGTGTGCGAGTTAATGGTGTGCAATGTGCAACTTGCACAACGTTTTAGCTAAAATGAAAACAATTGCACATCAGTATTTCAAACGATATGCAAAAAAACTCCTTTATTGATTCCTACCACTTAAATTGAAAAAAGTTTTATAGCTTAATCTTTACAGATCTTTACTTTATAAACGAGTGCGCTGCAAGACATTAAAATCTATGTTAACCACACGTCATCTACACACCAGATTTTCGGAGCACTTGGAAATATCCCCCCTTACAGGCAACAACGTTTCCCACCATGCGTTATCAAGCATTTTTGCTCACATTAACGCAACTGGACACACCCCAAACTTAGACGACTTTAAAATAATCTCCTCGTCTAACGATTCTTATGAACTCTTCATTCATGAGAGCCTTCTAATCAATAAATATAAGGAAACTCCATTCCACTTAACCTCTTTTAATTTCTCTTTATTTTACTTCCTAACTTCCTTATCATATAATCCATTTGACATCGCCTCCTTTAGTAGTAATTTAACATATTTTTGTAAATATAATATCTTGTCTTAAAAGACACATGCAACATAAAATTCGGATTGTTATTTTTGTACTTTACATAAAGGTATATCTCCAACTGATAATTCACCAAAGTTTGAGACTCAAAGGATAAATATTTTTGAAGATATAAAGGTTTAAAGTTGCTGCTTTACTGATAACGTATTGAAAATGCCCGACGATCTAACGACGGCTACCGATTGGAAAAAGGTCATTGTGACGTAATAGTTGACATTAGCTAAACGCGGTCAATTGCGCGCTTCGTTCAAAATATATTGGTAACTTCTTAACAACACGACAATTTAGCATTGAAAATATGGTTTATTGAGCCGCATTTATTTGTAAAAACGGTTCTTCTAAGAATCACCAAACGCAGCAAAAGGTTTCTTTCTTTTTTTTCGTTTCCCGAAAACAAGCGCATACGAGATATTTGGATTGAAAAAATCCGACGCAAAAATTGGAAGCCAACAAAGAGCTCAAAATTGTGCTCGCAACATTTCGAGAGTTCGTGCCTCGTGCAAAATTTTGAAGCGATGCAATCAGTAAGATGGACAGCAGGACGGCTTCGCCTTAAGAAGGATGCTGTACCCACGATTTTTGAATACTCTGTGGAACCCACAAGTGTAGCATCTAAAAGGAAGCAGCCAACAAATGTTAGAATTGCATTTGAGAAGAGAAGAAGGCAAGAGGTGAATATTATAGTTATAGTTAGCAATATTCGTTTACATTTATCAAAAACTAAGCTATATAGTATTACCAAATTGAAGACAATTAGATTATTGACGATGTTCTTGTAGAACATGACGACTTTCTTGTGGGCGACGACCACGATGTGTCGACATGGGCTCAAAATGTTTGTGCGTTTTACCTCAAAGGAAGTTTGTCTAAGATAAAAGATGTCAAAATATATGTAGACAGCGAAACACAAACATATACAGTGGTAACTAATTCAGACTAATGTCGTTTGATCTTTTCTGTGTTATTTTAACTCATAGAAAAGTCCTTAACGTACCTTAGAAGCGCAATGTGAAATGCCAAGCAGCCATAACAATCTGTCCGCAAAAACATGTAAGGTCAAGAACCACTTAAACAAAAGTGCCAAATATGATAAGTAGATGTACAGACTTTCCATTTCGGCCGTTTTGATTTTTGTGAAAAATCCAGCAATACGATACTTTTATGCTAAGGTACAGAGGTTGACTTCATTTCAACGAAAATCACAACACACAGACGACGTCATGTGAAACTGAACATTTTAAGGATAGCGCTGTATGGTCTGATACAGAAAGCACGTCGACGATGAGCAATAGCTACAATGGATCAGACTCTCAATGCTCAAATGAGTTAAGCGAAAATGAAGAATCCGACAGTGACAATGCGACGTTAGTACCAACTATCCAGTCACCTGACTATTCCTTACATTGCTTTTCTTTGTTATGTGTTTCTCAGAACGTTACGTTCATCTCTCTGATTCTGATGGTAATTTTTATGTTATAGGGAAGATGCTCAAAATGAGAGAAAATACATAGTGTTTTATAGTTGCCTGAGAAAGTTAGTGCATGAGTCAATGCCCATGTTGTAGTGAAAGCTGTTCCATTGTGACGAAAACGACTGGTAGTATGATTAACGTACTAGTAAAATGTCATTGTGGTTATGTTCGAGACTGGAATAGCAAACCTCTGCTTGGGCGAATGCCTTTAGGTAACTTGGTCTTTTCTGCCAGAATCTTGTTTAGTGGTAGTAGCCCCAGCAAATTTCTTCAATTCCTTCATCACTCAGGCATACAATTTCTGTCAGAGCGTACATATAGCTACATTCAAACAGCGTATTTGATACCCAGTGTTTCAAGTGTTTCGCATATGCACCAAAAGCATCTTCTAGAGTCAATCAGACTTTCTCTGAACATTAACCTTGGAGGAGATGGAAGATGTGATTCGCCTGGACATTGTGCCAATTATGGGTCATATGCCTTCATGGATTTGGAATCTAACAGCATTTTAGACACACAACTTGTTCAGGTAACAATTCTTCAACAACTGTACGTAAAACATGATTAGAATACTCACATAATTATGTTAAACACAGCCATAAAGTAAATAAATTCAATTAAGTTAAAAATACATACGGATAGTTCAAACTACTCTTTATTGTGTCAATATGTAATTTAACTTCTCCACATTAGTTCATTGTTGGGATGTTTTCTGCTTTCCCTTTACCAATTAGAACCTCTACCTAAATCAAGAAATGAGAAAATAAAAATTAAAAATAAATAATTTGTGCTAGTATTCCATATTAACATTTGATAAACATTGTTGCAGCCTTGGATAGTTTTTGTAGTTGTGCTCAACCAATTTGTAAAGATGAAAAGTTGCAATGAATGCCTAACTCCAGTTGTCAATATCAATAGAGCCCCCTTTTCTATTCCAAATTACACAAAGGAAATTAACATTTATTATTTCATTGTAAAATTTAATTATATAATGATATTATATATTATATACAAATGATATATATCGGCATAACAGTTATCAAGTTTTGCTAGGAATTAATTAAATTAAAAGCTCAACGGATACTTACAACTAAATTTGAGTCTGATATTTCACTAGCCAGAACAGTTATGGTTCAAAATGTCAGTAAATAAATAGAAATCTTCATCACTTGGTTCATTATTTTCACAAAATCAGTCGGCCAAGCTACCATTACTCGTTTGTGAACTAATATCCTGACTTTTGTTGTCGAAATCTCTTTAACTTTCGCGAGTTATCCACAGACAGAATTTCTCTATTCTCACAAGCCATCTCGCTAATAGATGGGATCTAGATAAATTTTTACTATATACAGAGTGTCTATTGTCATGTGTTTTACCAAATTACTCTTTGGCAGTCGTAATTCATGAAGTTTATTTATCTACATTTATTTGTACAATTACGCCTGATGAAAGCTGGTCCATTACGTGAAAATATATACTGCACCCTCAATATTTTCAATTCTAAGGTCATTTTATTACTTGAAAATGTCTGTCATGCAAAACAGTGCGTAATATATGTATATGAGATTTTGGAGCTACTGAGCAAAAGGAAATGAAATATATAGCTTTAAAAAGCTACTATCCAAAACAACTTTCCTATTTATTTGTGTTATTTCTTTTCGAGCGCTAGCTGTAAATTCATTTTTTTACTTGTTCTCAAAATAAAAATACACAGCTTGTGTGGATAACGCTTTTTTAAAAATTGTTCGTAGAAATCACAAGTAGTGATGATGCTAATGCTAAAGATGTCGGAAATTCTCCTGGTGTTGAAAATACAGAACAAGGTATGCCTTTCAATTTTATTTTATATCATATATATTGCATAACTTAAGCATATTTGTTTTGTATTGTATCAAAATTCAAGTCATTTGATTAGTATTTTTGTGTTTTTATGAAGATTTATATTATTTGATAATATGCATGATGTATGTATGCAGTGTTGTACTTTCGGAGTCCAAACGTTCGCTTATTACGTATGTTCAGTACTGTATCGACGGGTTAAATTTTCCTTTTGCGAACGACAAATAATTTTAATGTACTGTGTACCAGACGGCAGTGCTCAGCACAACTTGACAAGTCTTTGTTTATCACAATGAATACTGCGTAGGAGCAAAGTGGCGCAACTCTTTTTATAAAATACTCAAATTGACTACATTTCATAAGTTCCATTAAATAAAAAGGATTATAAAAAATAGACTAAAACCTTTTAAAACAAATCTTGAAAATAATGTACACCATCTAGATCAATCCCTGGATTTTAGAAGTGTTCAGGTTAGACCATCTGTTTTAAAATTGCTCGTGTTTGATTACAATAATTACTATTTTCTTTATTAGAGTACAGGAGATTAGTCGGAGTATAATTTTTTTCCAGGTGGAAATTATGTTTTTTGCTCCTAGCTAACAGCATCGAAAGTATTGAAACAATTGAAAAAACATCACCATTAATTTTCTTTAAATACAGTCTTCAATCAACATTTTACATTAACAAATATTATGAAATATATGAGTTTTTTTCATCACATGTCTAAGCAACACTGAATGGTAACATTTGCGGCTGGTTTCATCTGTTTTAATCATGACAGTAAAATCTTGTCACTCCACAATTTGTACTTGAAGCACATTATAGTCAGTTGAAATTAAGATGAGACATGAGGTGATAATGACATCATGCAATCTATTTTTTTTTAAGAACGTTTATTTGTATTCTGCTTGTCTAATCATAAAAACTTCTCAACAAACTATCTTTTGGATATACTGTCATACTTCACGTTTGCACCACCATGCGTACATTACCTAGCTAATACATTGAAAATTAGGCAAAGAACGGCCACCATCAAATCAACTTGCTCAATATACTTCAATAAATAAGAATTCCTGTTCATTGTAAGAAAAATCCTTCGAAATCATATGGAAAATGAGCCAACTTGAGGATGTGAATTCTCAAGGTTCGACAATAAAAAGAAGGCTATTTGAAATTTTCATTATGACAAATGTAGCATTAAATTTCACATTTATTAAACGATTTTCTAAATTCTAAATTTACAGAAAATTACAAGTTTTTTTGAGCTCTCTCCTTGCTAAGTATACTGGAGATTACCTCTTCAGTGTGAACATCATTCAAAAGTCCACAAAGATCATTTTCTAGCTTAGAATTACATTTTCAATACTTTTACTTAAAATTGTATTTTGAAACTTGCATAGAGCATAAAAGTTGCTGTATCCGTTTTTTCTACTAGAAAATTTCCCAAAATAGATAAGCAAATAACGTTACTAATCGCAAAACATAAAAACAACGACTTTATTTATTGATTTCAAAAAATTACTCCCACTGATCTCAAAATAAATAAATATAATTATTTGGACTATATTAGAAGAGCAAGTGACTCCAAAAATCTCATTTATGATTCAAACTGTGTCTTAATTGATGATTGTCAACTGGCTTGATGACCTCCATTAAAAAGTGCACGTCAATCAGTTCAAGCTACTTACGACTTAAGCCACCCGATTGAGCAAGAGTATCACTACCGCTTAAATATCGCTTACAGAACTCGCTGGCTGTATCATGTTTTCTTACATATTTTAGCACTGACCACTGTATAGAGGGCCGAAACTATAACTTTTGGTGGGTTGGGGGAGTGGGTGTTTAATAACTTTGCTGATGAAATATTGCTTACAGAGCTTAATGGCTGTTTTCTCAGATATTGTAGCACGGACCACTGTATAGAGGATCAAGACTAGAGTGTTAAATGGGTGGGAGAGGGGGGTATTCATATTTTCAATTGTGGTCCAATTATTTCTTGTGAATACCAACGTATTCTACATTTGACATAATGCAAATATAGTTAAACAAATAGACCAATAAATAGACAGTTAGATGGCTAGATATAAAATTGATTTGAAAATTTTATGTGAAAGCATGGAAATGATTTGCTCAATTGCTCTCTTTAACTTTATTTATAAGAGATCTCCAAAGGAGCGTTCTATTATACGAGAAAGTTTTTCAAATTAGTAAAACGTGATTGTGGTAGCCAAAGAAAATTGAAATGTTCTGCATCCCACATAAAATGCAAAAAAGATGTTACAAAATTCAAAGCCGGAAGTTCGATCATTTGCTTGCATCGTTTGTGTTGTTTATCTTGTCAATTATTTTATACTTTAGCACCACAAAATCATGATTTCTGTCACATGTTTCTAAAACAGACAAGAATCTTATCGAAAGGGCTGAAAGATGTGATAAGAATTTACATCGCTTACTTTTTTTGTGGTGTTAAATATTTATTGAATTGCATGATTCCTTTTCCACCTGAGTAAAAATTTCATCAAAAAAGAAATTTTCTCGATAACGGAAACCCTGGCACAATAGACACAAGACAGACAAATTGTTTCTTGTAAATAAACCATCATATGCTTAGTAAAATAATTGAAAAATGCAAAAACCATCTTCAATTTGGCAAAGGAAAACAATACCAGCAATGTTGCCCGAGAATAAGAAAAACAGGAGGTAGGGCTTGAGTTTGCAGAAATAAAGATAACGAGGCTCAATTTACCAAGGTGAATAAGAGAAACAGTACGTGTCAGATAATTTACAGCTTAAAATACCTATAAAACGAAAATTTTGCAGCCTGTGTTATTCTTTTTTTGAGTAGAAATTTTAATATGACAACGGAACTTCTCTACTAGTTTATGCGTATCTCTTTTCGTTCTCAAGATATTGAAGCTTTTATTATGTTCGATTCATCTATCTTGTGACGTCACATTGCATAATAAGAACTAGAATTATTCGGTACATTTGCTAATACTTTACTTCACCTTTGCAGAGTGTCTTTCTTTGTGATGTGGTAATGATATAAAATACTGCCTACTATTATCAACCTAAAGTTGTCAGGAAAATGATGTGTATTTAAAACATGGCAGCGACTCATTTTGCATGCAATATGATGTCAAAAGTTAGATAAACTGGCACTAGCAAGGACTTCACTTCAGTATTTTTAGAATGAAAGAGTCATACATAAAAGGTTTTAGTAAGCATTCATTTCAAAGTTCTGGTCAATATAAATATTATGTAACTAGCAAAGTTTTTGTTTAATTGGCACTTTAACGATGTTCAAACAAAGTTTGAGAGAATAATTGTTGGTTTTTTGCTGTTGATCGAACTTCAATGTTCATATTTAATATCAAACATAAGATAGTGTATCTAAATAGTGAGTGTCGAGAATGGAAAGAAAAATTAAATGAAGCTGTTTTGTTATCTTCTGCTGTAAAAAAATTTTAGACTCTAAAAAATATGCTCTAGAAATTTAAATTTAATATTTTCCAAAATTTTAAGGTTATTTCTTTAAAAAATATATGAATTTACTGCAAAAAGAAGTTTTTGTGATTTATTGTATGGTATAAGCTAACCTCAGATGTTGCCAGATTTGATTGTACAATTAAAGAACTTATGATTTGTTTAATGGTTGCTGATAGGTTTTTTCAAAAATGTGCGGTAGCTAATAATATCCTTTCCTGATTGGGAAAGTTTAAGCTATTTTGACGTATTAATTTCGTTTCCTTCACTCTTGAATGTAATATTTTATCTATTTTTTTAGAATTGGTGTCGCAAGAGTGGAAATACATTGATGAATCAACGAAACATAGAGAATTGTTTTTAAAGTTGATTGAATATGGACGCAATTCCAGTGTTGAGGTTAAAGTGGTGGGTAATGTACGAGTAATTTTCTCAGAAGAGTTTTGCATTGGCAAAGGAAGTGATGGAACACGTGTTTATCTTGGACTGGGTAAGGATGGTTACGGTAAAGCAGTGAAACAAATACGTCGAGATTGCTACAGCCAGCTTGCTCTACACGAAAAGAAAATTTTGAATAAATTCAACGCAAGAAATTCGAAATATGTTGTGAATTATTCTTTCCTAGAGGAAGAGACTGGAACAGAATATGTATATTTGATATTAGACTTATGTGAAGAATCATTGGAGAGTTTCGTAGAATCTTCTACTTTACATGATCTTCAAAAAGCTCTTCCCGAAATTCTCAGACAAATTTTGCAAGGATTAGCTGATCTTCATAGCGGCCTAAATCCTATTCTTCATCGTGATTTAAAGCCCACCAATGTTCTTCGAGATTCACAAGGCAAATTTCTGATAGCTGATTTTGGCATTAGTCGAATATTGAATAATGATTGTACGACATATGAAAGCAAGCCTAACACGGGAACTGAGTATTGGATTGCTCCTGAATCATATTGTGAAGATAAAGATACAGTCGATAAAGGACGGTACAAGAAAGAGTCTGATGTAATGGTAGGTGCAGGAATATAACCATTTGCACGACATGCATGTATACAGTCAATTTGTATCATTACATTGTTAATCTTTTTAGAATGCAGGAATGGTAACATATTATATTGCAACAAAAGGAAAACACCCGTTTGGAACTAAACGGCATAGATTGGACAATATGTTAAATGGACTTCCTGTTGGCTTGGACGAAATCAAGGATGAAATACTGAAAAACCTTTTGTTGTGGATGTTAAACCGAGAACCCGAAGACAGGCCATCAGCCAATGAGGCGTTAACACATCCATTTCTTATGTCGGATGACGAGAAATTTGACTTATTATGTATAGTTGGAAATCTTCAGCAAATTAAGACAAATGATTCCCACTCAATTGTTGTTAAACAATTGAATAGCGAGTCCTCAGATTGGAAAAGTAAAATAGACAGTGATGTTTATGATTATTTTAGAACGGACGTGGTGACTGGAAAGATTTTTACATATGACTCTTCATGGACAGAATGTTTAAGACTTATTCGAAATATTAACCAACATTGGAACGATCGACCACGGCCAAAACCTCAATCAGAACCATTTTATAAGATTGGCGATCACAAGGCGTATATTCTCAAAAAATTTCCCAATCTCACTGTTCGAGTGCATGCTACTGTGAGGTCCAATAAAGAATTGAAAAACAATCCAGATCTAAAGAACTTTTTCAATTTCAGTGAAAAGAAACCACATCAAAGATGAACAGTTTTTAAACAGTAAAAACAGTTTGTGAAAAGGCAAGTGAACAGGAAAGACACCGTGTCAAATAGAATTTACTCAGATTGGAAAAGACAAATAAATTTTTTACGTATATGATTATTTTGATTGTTGGCTTTCATTGACAGATCGATTGATTGCGACAAGAACTAAAACCATCCATTTATAAACTCGATGATCCTAAGGAGTTCTTTTTGAAATCCCAGTTCGGGTACGTGCGGCTGTCTGATGTAATGACGAATTGAAAAACAACCCAGAACTTAAGAACTTTTTCAATTTTTAATGAAAGCGAACCACAATGAAAAGTTTACTGACAAGAAAACAAATAACAAATCAACGATACGGTAGTTAAAGGTTTTATTTTATAGATGTAAAATAGCAAAACACTTTTCACGACGTATTTGGATGATGTATAATCACATGATGGTGTATAACTTTCTCGACAACTTCACGATCATATAGTGGATGGTCAATTGAAAGAACAAGTTGATGCCTAAGGTTTACGGGAGGCCACGGCGTTTCAGCACTTAGTTCAAATCTGTTTCAACTTTGTATATTCCTGAGGCAAAATATAACCTGTAAGTAATTGTAAATTTAGGGTTTCCAGCATTTTCATTCGTAAAATTTCATGGATACAAAAACTCCAACGTATTTGAATTAGGCCATCTATTAAAATAATATTCGGCCATCCAAACACGGAAGTCATTAAAGTTTATATGACCAATTACCATATTCTCACCAAAGATAGGGCGTGAAAAAAAAACAATTCAAATGATGTAGTATCAATGAAAAATTTTTTGAAATTCAAGAACATGTCCAAACATGCAAAAAATTAAGAATTTTTGAAATCATCAGTTTTACGGTAGCAATTCCAACATCACTATTTTATAAAACATTACGACTTTTTTCGTTAACTACAATGAACGCTTGTGTAGCCGTTTGGTAACTGTAACAGTCAAGACAACGCAATTTATGATGTGGGATCGAGGCTTGCCCTTGTCATTGACATTTAAGTTCTACCAACTTTGTCATATTCTTTTCTTGTACGATATATTTATGATTATTATAGACATCAACAATTGAAGACCATTAAGTCATACTTGTATGGTCTGACTTTGAATGGAGATCACAAATTCATTGAAGACCACTACGTCATACTTGTAGGGTTATGAAGCCTTGCGCAAATTTTTTCATAGTGTAAGGTTGATTCCATAGAATTTCCTCTAACAAAAGAATATATGATTGCGCTGTCTAATTTGAAGAAGAATAGAGATATTTATCAAAAAATTTGCTTCATGGCATGGTTTCCCACGTTGGCTTACAAACAAATTGATCAACATCTACACAAAACTTCTCAAACTACCGTGAACACATCATACGATGTCATTTACATCCATCTACGTTTAGTAGATGATAAAGGTTGTAGAGTTGTTTAAAGTTGCATGCGCATGATTTATATATTTTATTACCTCAGACCCCAGATCATTTGCTAGGTATCCGCACATTAATGTCACATGAAAGCACTCAGTAATAGTTGTGTGACAGTTTTAGTTTAAAGTTTTGTACGAATAGCATCATTTAGCTTTTGTTAACTTATTTAACTTTGCAGATAGCACATACTATTATAACAAAGGAACGTAGTAAACTACTAAGTAATAAAGAACATGCTACAGTTTTCACCAGCCATTTAAACATAACGTTACTAACATTAAAAACAACACGATTTATGTAATTCATAATAGTGCAAGGATTTTTTATGAATTGACGAAGGCAGACATTATTGCCTTTTAATCTAGAGTCTCCTGCTTTTATTTAAGTATGATTTTAGAAATGTTTTTGTTTTACAGTAAGTTGTAACATATGATAGCTAGATTGCACAACCGTGTTTTACTTTTGCTGCAAGGATTGGTTTGCAATGGTAACAAGTCTTCATCAATTTTCACAAGACTATGAATTATTTAGTACTCGTTTACATAACACACGTCATTCTTTTTTAAATGTCATACGTAGTCGCACAGAAATCTAAGTATAACATCAGACTGAATTGTAAGAGACATTCTATATGCATGAACTTAGTAAGTATGTAAGATTTATAACTCATGCAACGGTACACAAACCACCTCCTGAAATTTATTATCCACTAAAGGACCTCCTTTCATTGCAGGGAAACGAACGTACATCGTAATCCCATTTACTTCCAAAATCGAAGGGAAGTGTCAATAAACAAATATGAATATTTTCAGAAAGCAATATTTAATTAAATTAAATTGAAACATTCGTATGTACAGTGTACTATTATGTCATAAAAGATTGCTGTTCTCTTCTACGCATAAACTATACGTCATAAAAATCATCTTCTTTACTTTTAAGACTTCTTTCAAATGAATGATTTTTTAAAAAAATCGTTTTCAGAATGGATCACATATATTTGCCAAAAAATTATAACTAAGAATATAATTATTTTAAATACATGTATAGCCATAAATGCCTTTCCTATTACAATGTATAATTTGAGATGTTTACGTCAAAAATGACTAAAAAATCAAACTATAATATGGGCAATTCTAACAAAAGAACAGTGTATTGGGGAATCGAACCGAAAGACTAAATTGTACCGCTCCTAAAAGATGTGTGTGACATTTTGGTAAATCAAAGCTGTTTGAAATAAATTAAACAGATCATAGATTTATTAAATAATTCAGAAATTTTATCTTCCGAAGATTGTCAGACGGTCAAAAATGGTTCATGTTGACGTTAACTTTATCGGGAGCACGTACTCTAAAAACTTCTTTTACAAAATGAATTCTGTTTTTAGTTTTGATGATTGTATATAACATAAAAAACAACTCTGGTCCCTTGCTAAGGTCACTGATTTTTTTAGACTTTACCGAAATAAAAAATACCTGATGGAAAAATCTGAATGGTATAAACCAAAAACGAACACAAAGTTACGAGAACTTGGAGAATACTTAACAGAAAGAAACCACTAGGTATTTTAGGGATTTTAGTCATGTCTGTCGAAAGTGGGCTCCTCCTATAAATTGATCAAGATACCAGTCCCACATTCGTCATCTGAGCGTAGCAACTACTCGCCGTAACTACAGCGCATGCCTATACTATCTAAACTTTCTACCTGCGCATAACACCGGAATTCCGCCCTGAAAAAGAATGCTCCTGAGGGAGGTAACCCATCATGCCCTTAACTTAACCTAGTGCATGTCGCAACTACGGGTGACCTCCAACCGGGGTGGGTTGTACTACTCATGCATTATAGCGGATCTAAGAGTGCTTTAATAGTCACTGCAGAAAACCGTTCATGAAATTGGCCAACTACCAGGACTGCATGCTTTTACCATGCTAAGGGAGAGATATTTTCCTTTACACCAGAACCACCATCTTTCCTTTGTCTTCAATAGGTCTTGCTCGCTAGATCCAGTCTCCTATGGTCTTCTTACAGATGCTATTTGCATCCTCTACGCAAAGGTACAATTTGTACCCATTAACCACAAGTAGAATTTGTCTTTCTTTAGCCAAACTTCACTTGCATTTCTGATCTAAGCTACATATTGTCCTATCTATCCTTCTGTGAGGCAACGTCCGCGGCAAGCATCCGTAACTTCTTAATGCCCTATATTCACAAAGAAGCTTCCGAAGATAAATCGAGTAAAACCGACACAAATGCATGTCAATAACAGGCTAATTACCGCTAATACAACTTCACGTTTACTAAATAAGACACAAATTTTACTAATGAGCACCGAACACAAATAATTTTTCGAGTTAAACTGAAAACTTTTAAAACCTCTTAATGAAGGATATTTTTGAATTGCAGGGAAAAAACTACTATGAAAATGTTTATTTAATTTTATACCTGCACTGAAAAAATAGCCCTATAGTGGAATATACTGCGCACCACGATTTGTTGTGGCTTTTGCCCTTTCTGTAAAAAGACATGGCCTGTTAGCAGGCTAAACTACGTACAAAGCATAATGTAAACTCACGGTTTTCGAGGAATCCGTTGCCAAGTTTAAGGAAAGAACGATGAATCTTTCTTTCCTTTATTACCATGAAGTGAACAGATGCTGAGCACGTGAAATCATTCAATTTTTGACGTTGATGGTACATCCATCGTATCCAACTTTCAGGCTACCTGACAACGTCCCCGGTTTCGTGTCGACGACGGCAAGCACAGAAACAAGATTGGCTATTTCTTACAATTGTGCATGTCGTCTACGGCATGAAAGCGGAAACATCGACATATAGTCAGAAAATTAGGACTTTTGGTTTTGTTTTGCATGCTGAAAAAATTCCATGTTTTTATTAGGAAAAATTTCTAATTAATTTCGAAATTTTGCTGGTCGATGGTGGCGTGGTTTTAATCATCTGCAAAGCAAGAAAAACTATTGATAGTGACTTTGAGGATTTGCGGGATTTTTTGCTGTTGTGAATAGTTTAAGATAATTAGTCGTACCATATTATTGATATATCGTCGTATATATTTGGCATGTCTTTAGGATTGGCGGATTGACCAGTGAAAATCGTATCTTAGTTAGATATAATACCCAGGATAGTAACGTTTGAACTGCCATAGTCCAATAGTCCAATAACCTTGGTCATATTCCAATAGGACAGGGACTTGTTTATGGACATAAAAGTTGAGCTGATGGAAGCATTGCTTGAGAGCAACATGTTCTATTTGCGATTGTAGTATGTGATGTAGACGGATTGATGGACAAATAAAGTCTCGTGTTTTCTAACGTCATTAAAGTATATACTGTCCCATCCTTGATCATTGTTCCGAGGACTTCCCAGCTAGCAAAATCATGTTGTCTCAACGTTGTACCAACGTTCGTCGAACGTTCACTCAACGTCGGGGACAAATGTTGAGTGAACGTTTTTTTGTGAACTCGTAGTAACGTGGTGGCGACGTTAGGATGAACGTTGGTATGTAACGTATTTTTAGCCTAAGCCCGCCGTTTAAACAACGTTCATAAAACGTTTATCCGTCGTTCATACAACGTTTATGCAACGTTCATAAAACGTTTATCCGACGTTCATAAGACGTCCATCTGACGTTCATACAACGTTTACATGACGTTTATCCGACGTTCATTTAACATACAATTAATGATGCATTATTTGTGAAATCATAAAACAGCCTTTCCAATGATACAAACAAAAGTCTAGTTTCCAAATAATCAACTTTTAATTCATCTATTTCGCTGTGCGTGTTGTAATATACATATTAACAAAAATCTGCTTATTAAGTCGATTCCAATAAGTTGCCTTTTCGGACCTGCAAGAAAATAACATATATGATTATTAAAAAATGGTAGTCTACATATCATTTTTATATGTCTTACCACCTACAACAACATTGACTTATTTGTTTGTAAAAGATGTCATTTAAATGGAAAACTGAATCGTCTGCTGTATGTATATCTTCTCAATTTAATTTATATAAACATAAGGATCAAAGTATTTTTTTAGTTTTATTCACTTAAAAGCAATCGAATAAATCCACTTATATGAATGCCACTACGTACGTACGTCGGATATAAGAAATTATCTCGCGCTACAACGTCATCTCATACGCACGAGAAACAAAACAAGTGAACAAGACTTTAATCGTTACGGCACCTTTTTCACATTTAACCAACACTGTCTTTTTTATATAAATAATAAAACAATTATTGAATTGGGTTTTCACGTAATATAAAGAACTATCAAGGCATCAATGTGCTCTATCTGCCTCAGCGTTAGTAGACTGAACAAACCTTGGCCTTCATAAGTCTTAATTCATATACTATTTCATTCAATAATCGTTTAATATCACGCAAAGCAAATTGTATATTATAAATCTAATCATGCAGTTTGAGTTAACAAAATTTAAAACTTGCACAAATCTAATACCTGCACTAAAATGAACGTTTTTAAAGGTACGCATTATGTATATGTGTCCATTCCATTTTGCTTTACTTATAATTGAAGGATAATGAAAGACACATGGTCACTTTCATTAAGTGCACATGCCAATAATGTTATTTTGTATTTTTCTCAACTTACACAAATAAGAAAATACAAATATGTTAACTATGAGATTACGAAGTAAAATAAGTTGAGTTCTCCCTGTCTAAGTTGTGAAAATCAAACAAACAAAAAATGGCATCTATATACTTTACCCAGAAATCTATGATGATAATGACATGTTACCTTAAATCTAAAACCACCTTGCTTGCCTGGAGCATATTTTAAAAATTCGGTAATTTGCTCTTCAACGTTGGCCTCGCTGCATCCTTTATGAGCTCTAAGGCAGGCTTCTAACAGAAAAGACATACTTTATATAAATTGCATAGATAAATCACTAAATCCTTTTCGTAAGCTGAATGATAAAAAACAATTCATTAAACTGACATATGCAAAACAGTTCAATGTATGCAAGCTTTTGAAACTTGCAACAATATTCCTTATGACAAGGAGCAACATAAATGGCTGTTTTTCCAATTCATGAACGAGAAAAAAGAGACAAAACATGGTACTGCTGCAGCAATCATTATCATCTAATTCTGCTTACTTGTTATAACTTCGCATAGGGTAAGGTGCTGAAATGGTCGCTTTGACTTTCTGCCTTTTAAACTATATTGGAACCATAGATTATTTGTTCCCAGCTTTGAAATCGTTTTCACGTTTCCAAACCGATAAAGGGGAAGAGCTATGCCTTTCTTTGTCACATTTTTTTACGTAACACTTGAAAGAGTCATGCATAAAAAAAAGGCGGTGCCAATAAATATTACTAAATACGCATGTGTGGTTAACTTTCCAAAACTTACCAACTTTCTTCTGGAATTTCTTTCATCAAGACTAGAGGATAGATCTTCAAGTTCTTCAACAGAATCTAAAGGATTAGGTACAACATCTTCCAAAATTTCGTGCTCGTCTACACCTTTCGTAACGCTTAACAGAGCACGCAATATTGACAACGCTTCTTCTAGCTTATCAATTAATATTTCCAGTTTGGTGAGAACTGATCTTTGGAAGCCTACAAGATAGATAAGAAAATAATACAATAACTTATGTACAGAACCAACCTCGAGTAACATGACATGACTCGCGAGTATCGAATGGCGAGTGGGCGAGTGACTCGCGATGCAGTTGCGAGTCACTCGATAGTGTGAGAAGTTTGCGAGTGAATAAGTGACTCGCTGTTTGCAAGTGGATAAAATAGCTCGCAAAAATTTCTTTCTCCAGTATTTGAAATTGACAAACATAATCTTAAGTGTAGTGACAATTAAAATTCGTTCAACATTTTGAAGGCAACGAATTTATATCTTTTTTATGAAATATGAGAGCAAAATGACTATTCATTTGAAGCAATATCTCGTGACCTAATGACAAAGGCATCATCAGAGAATACATATAATATTTAATCCTAACACGGTTTTAATACGCACATGAAAAACATGTGACTTGGACGAGATTTGAACTCGCCCCTTCGGGATACTAGATTTGACTAGCTCAACAGGTAGAGCGGTGGATCAGTCGCTCGCCCACTCACCATTCGATACTCGCGAGTCATGTCATGTTACTCGAGGTCGGTACTGTATAACCTACGTAATATCTTAAAAATATAAAACCTTACAACATGCTAACAAGAAAATTCAAATAAAACTCGCATCAAATTGCTAATTGAATACACATACATAATAACAACGCTATTCAAAAACTATATACTGTAGAAAAGGTACCATTAATGTTTGGTTGATAACGTCTTCCTGCAGGTGTTATGTTCATAAAACTTGTCGAAGACGTTTCGTGCGATGAAAGGTCATGCGCATCTGCAAAGCAATCACGTGATGCAATTAGTTGTGAAGGAAAAAAAACATTTCAAACGACACGAAATGAACGTAAATGAAAACGTAACAACAAGACATGCAATAATGAACTGTAAGTAAAGCTTGCCTAAGACACCACAGTTTCGTTGAGAATGTATTTCTCTAGTTGTGCCAGTTGTAGGAATTCCTTGTGAAGAGACGTTGCTTGTATCTACAGAGAAGACACGTACTGGGTTTAACATATATCTTTATTGAACGCACGAACGTCATTTAAATTAAGGCACTACAATTTTCAAAAGTCAGAGACAGAAAGGTGACTAAAATAAAAACCTCGAGAAAGTTTCATTTAGTAGTTTGATAGCAAACGCTGAGAATTAGATTTGAACGAATGTATTTTGATTAAATCGTGGTGAACACAACTGCAATTTTAACTATAACTAACATTTTTTCAACTCATTAATGCATTTTAAAGGACCAACGCCTACAGCACCTGTAGAACAAACATATGCCCTATAATGCAAGATGGACGTAGAAAAACAGTAAATGTACAATACGAATGTTAAAGTTATTTAAAAAGAATCAATCAAAATTATTTCAACATTTTAGTTGACATATTATATGAAAGTTGCTGATTAGTCAGTTCTGATGACAGAAAACTTACCACTAGGCTGAGATGGTGTCCTACTAGTAGATGGGGAAGTTATTGCATGATCCTTTGTGTTTTGGATTTCTGGTGCTAGTTCACCATCATATAAATCTAGATCAACATTATATTAAGATGAAATAAGAAATTTTATACATGTATGTTTCTGTCAAAAAATTATCCACTTGTACAAGGATTTATAATAGCGCTTATACCTTTTTCTGCAAGGGAGATCAGCTCGCTGTACACCGGCAAATCTAAAAAGCAAAATCACTCATTAGATTTAAATGCAGCGTAGCAATATGTGAAAAACTGCACTCCTTTGAATAAAGCAATGGCCTATTGTATTGCAACTACAGTACTTACTTCTAGAATTTGTCGAAAAGATTTCATTGACGGCTGAAAGAAATTTTGCCTGTATACAAAAGAAACTGTCTGAATTCTGTAGCTTTCCATCTGTCAACCTCCATTAAACTCTTAGGTTTTCACACAAATGTAGAGGGGATAAATGGTTTAAGCTCCACCAATTTTTTACAAACAGCCAGATGCTAATTTTTTACAAATAGCATCTTCCAAAATTTCGTGCTCGTGTACACCTTTCGTAGCGCTTAACAGAGCACGCAATATTGACAACGCTTCTTCTTGCTTATCAATTAATGTTTCCAGTTTGGTGAGAACTGATCTTTGGAAGCCTACAGGATAGATAAGAAAATAATAGAATAACTTATGTATAAACTACGTAATATCTTAAAAATATAAAACGAACGTCATTTAAATTAAAGCACTACAAGTTTCAAAAATCAGAAACAGAAAGGTGACTAAAATAAAAACCTCGAGAAAGTTTCACTTAGTAGTTTAATAGCAAACGCTGAGAATTAGATTTGAACGAATGTATTTTGATTAAATCGTGGTGAACACAACTGCAATTTTAACTATAACTAACATTTTTTCAACTAATTACAACATTTTAAAGGACCAACGCCTACAGTACCTGTAGAACATTCATAAGCCCTATAATGCAACGATGGACGTAGAAAAACAGTAAATGTACAATACGAATGTTAAAGTTATTTAAAAAGAATCAATCAAAATTATTTCAACATTTTAGACGACATATTATATAAAAGTTGCTGATTAGTCAGTTCTGATGACAGAAAACTTACCACTACGCTGAGATGGTGTCCTACAAGTAAATGGGGAAGTTATTGCATGATGCTTTGTGTTTTGGATTTCTGGTGCTAGTTCACCGTCATATAAATCTAGATCAACATTATATTAGTATGATAAAAGAAATTTTATACATGTAAGTTTCTGTCAAAAAATTGTCCACTTGTACTAGGATTATAATAGCGCTTATACCTTTTTCTGCAAGGGAGATCAGCTCGCTGTACACCGGCAAATCTAAAAAGCAAAATCACTCATTACATTTAAATAAAACGTAGCAATGGGTGAAAAACTGCACTCCTTTGAATAAAGCAATGGCCTATTGTATTGCAACTACAGTACATACTTCTAGACTTTGTTGATAAGATTACATTGACGGCTGAAAGAAATTTTGCCTGTATACAAAAGAAACTGAATTCTGTAGCTTTCCATCTGTCAACCTCCATTAAACACCTAGGTTTTCGTACAAACGTAGAGGGGATAAATGGTTTGAGCTCCACTAATTTTTTAGTAACAGCCTCTACATAGGCAACTGACATTTTAACAGCACCATTTCCCATCATCCAAACCATAATCAACTTTACCCATAACACCCAGACACAGTTGATGCATGTAGTCAATTGGAAATTGTTTTACCATATCAACAGGCAAGTGACAGAAAGGGCTAACAGAGCAATGATGTTCTTCTTGTATCTGTTTTCTAAAGGAAATATTAGTGCGCAATTGTATATTATTATTTTGAGAGTATGTCACTCGACCAAGCCACTTCCCTTTTTGTGTACACTTGTCACAACCAAAATAACCAGTACAAAATTTTGTACTTTTAACAAGTGCTCTTGCAGGAGCATCACAAACAATGCCCCTTACTGTAACAGTTAGAACCTTTTCCCCATCTTGGACTCTCGTCTCTAGAATACCCTTCAAATCTTCTATAAACTCATCCAAAAACTCCAAGTCTTTTGGCTTGGAGTCACCACATGTTAGGACAATAGGAAACACTAAAACAGGTTTGATATTCAAAATGGCACACAACACTGGCCATACATTTTTGCAGAATTTTTAAACAAAAGAAGCCCATCAACATTTAAAGAGATTTTAAAATGATTAATGTTCTAATGCATCTTAAAGCTCTATTAGCAATAATCCAGTATTTTTTGTATTGCACCTGGTCACATTTTATTACGATATGAACTAAAGTAAATAATAAAATGTAACTGTCACTTTATTTATTTTGATTGATTTAAACATATCCTAATGTTACAACCCATTCCCCCTAAGTGCTGGTGATAACAACATTTAGCAAAATGTTTTAATAAAAAAATGATAATTCTCATTTACAGGTCATGGTAACTTATATGTCTCCTCAACCATTTGTAACTTATTCTCCTCTTTACATGCATTTATCATACCTAATTTATACATAACCCTAAAATTTTAAGTATAACATTATAGTTTACTTGCTAACAACAGCAAATGGAAAATGTTCTAAGCAACTAAATAAAAATAATTTAACTGACATTGCAAGCTTACTAAAGGAATAGGCTAAGTTAATAAACCAATCTAAGAGATAAAAAAGTGGGTTGTAAACTACATATTGTCTTGAATGCAATAATTGGACAAACGATACTTACTAGTATTATAAAGCAACCATGCATTTTTATGAATAAACATTCAATTACCTCTTTGTAAAATTATATCACTGTTTAAAAACTGCTGTGATTTGCAAAATTTAGAAAGTACAACTATTTTAAGGTTTAAGGCTACGTGATTCTTAATCAAAAACATTTTGTAAATCACATAATCACATAACCCTTTGTTAAAAAATATCAATCATCACCGCTTATCAGTCAGTCAGTTAATATAATTCCAGATATGCTTTTTGACTATAACTATAAACATCAGTCGCGTGACTGATTTGACATACCCTAGATCCGCCCCTGCATGTTATGACAATAACAACCATACGTACTGATGAATACCTTATCCAAATGCTCTAGCAAGGTGTAGTGATAATATTATCTTTATAAAATAAAAATAGAAATTAAAACTAAGAATAAACTAAGCTTAGTAAATTTGTTTGTTCCTACAATAATATACCCGGACTCATAAAGTCACGGCAAAAGTAACATACGACAATCTCTAGATTATAAAGAATGATAAAATAAAGGTACTTACCACAATTTTTACGCATTGAAACATATTCTAGATCATAACTGCCTCTTAACATAACATCTCTGGTGGGTAACCGGAAGTGCATTTTGCATATATAATTAGCTTCACATTTAAAAAGAAAAGCTAAAAGTAATTCGCGATTTCGCTGCCAAGCAAGAAACCCGATGTAGTGTTCATCGCAGAAACATAGCTTACATGATACTTGTAATCTTGAGATATCTGAGTATAACATTGTTTATAAAAACAAAGCTTTTGGACCACATGGAGGTGGTGTATATGTCTATATATAAAAAAAATTTATTCAGTTTACAGTTCTTGACTAATTTAGTTTGAGGCTTTTTGGGTTAAAATTATGCCAATCAACTAGTTATAAACTAATTAGTTAATTCAATTTTTATATTCTTTGTGTGAAGTCGTTTTGAATTTTGCTTTTAATAGACTTAACTTTTGCCATCTTACGGATCAATTCTGATTACCAGGAAACAGCTTGAAATATACCTAAATGATACAACCAACAAATCTTAACAAATCTTTATAGTTTCTACAATAAGAATTCTATATCAACTTTCCTTCATTTAATTTATCAGAATATAATGTAATGTTATCTTATCAAGGCGTGAGATTTACTTTTCCCAACATTTAAACCAACGAACGCCTGTTTTGCCTTATTCAACGAATCAACTTAAACAAGCAAATGAAACAAAAGTTCCACAATCTGATATTGTAAATTTTCATGTATAAGACGAACTCTTAATTATGGAGCTAAGGTTTTTTTTAACAAACTTCCAAAATACCAAGGAAACGGTAATAAAATTCAAACATGTTAATAAAAACAATAAAACTCATAAGGCCGTATCTTTGCTTTAGATAACAATAAACTTTTAATGGTTTAAATTTAGTTGCACAAAATAATTTGCCACGTATCAACTGAAAGGACAAAGCCATTTGACGCTTAACTTTTCAGAACGTTAAGTGATTTGAAAGATAGAACGTTCAAAGCCTCAATCGTCGACCAGTAAAAGGTTTGTAAGACAAAAGACAAAGAATTATCGTGTGTGTAAACGATGTATAAATGAGTTCTTAAATGAAAGTTGTTCGTCAAATATAATTAATACACTTTTAATAAATATTAGTGTCAACCTAGTACAATAAGATATACATCATAGATACCCGTAGCAACTTGTGATCCTGTAGTTGCACACCAATTAAACAAAGATACAAATACAAACAATTTGCTTACCGAAAAATCGCTGTCATCTAAACGAAGGCGTGTTTATCGTGATGTGTCGCTTGCTAAGAAATTCAAATTGCTTGCTCGCATGCAATTATATTTATCTTTGGGTCCGGACTGTATATTTATAAAATATGTGTTATTTCATTATACTTGTGATAGTATGAAATCACATTTATGAATCCGGAAGATAATTTAGTTTGAAATTGCAAATGGACTCATGCATGTCATCATTGAATAGTTTAGATATTTAAGGGGCTGTTTACATGATCCCGGGTAGCCGGGATTCAGCCAAGCGTTAAATGATTTTGGCAAATGGAAAAGATTTAATACTTATCGTCAGATGAATGTTCTTCAGCACTTTAACAATATTCTGATTTAATAACTACACACATAACATTCAAAATCGAACAACAAATTTGGCCTAATTTGAGAATTACAACAGGCATTACTTGCGGCACTTAACAAACAGTTGTAATTTTTACGCTTGAAGTTTCGGCTCTTTTCAATGCGTCGAACTGATTTTACGCCTCACTGAATCCCGGTTAGCCGGGATCATGTAAACAGCCCCTAAGTCGTATTTGAAGTAGAAATATTGATCAGGAAGTGTGTTATCTTTGTGATAAACTAATTTGTAAGTCCACATACTAAATGCGGCTAAAAAATTTGCTAATCTTTTTAACGTTACAATTGTCTTTCGTCAAGCTTTGGTTGCGAAGGTTCATGTATGCAAATTCATCGCATTATACTTACAATAAATTTAAAAACAGATATGAGTATTGCAACTTAATTCTTTTCAATACATCCACTTTATGATCATAGTTCCAAAATATCTTAAAAACGGTATAATTTAGTAAAATTCATACTTATTTCTATTGATCAATTTGATCCAAATTATATTCAAACTTATGAACAAAAACAATAAAAATCATAAAACCATATCTTTGCTTTACATAACAATCTATTCTTAAGATGTTTTAAGTTCCGTAGCACAAAATACTTTTCCACATATCGACTCGAAGGAAGAAGATAAGATGCTTAAGTTGTCAGAACTTTAAATCTTTCTAAAAGTTCAACTGTTCAAGGCTACACGCCGTTAACCAGTAAAAGGTTTGTAAGACAAAAAAACAAAGAATTTTCATGCTTGACTGCGACGTATAAATGTGACCTATGGAAGTTTGTAAATTCTGTAATTGTAGATAAATCAAACGAAGTTACAATTCCAAACAAGAACAATATGCTTACCAAATTCAAATCACTGCCATCTTAAACAAGGTAAGGCTTTTTTTAAAGTATATTTAATTATTTATGACTCACCACGAAGTACATGGACATTTAAATTCGCAAATGGACACATGCATGTCATCATTGAATACTTTAGATATTTAAGTCGTTTTAGAAGTAGATATATTGATCAGCAAGTGTGTTTATCTTTGTCGTAAACTATAGTATCGCTTGTTCAATTTTATAAGTCCACATTTTAAATGGGGCTAAAGAATTTTGCTAATCTTTATGACGTTGCAATTGTCTTTCGTCGATGCTAAGTTGTTGACGCTAAGGTTGATATGTGCAAATTTACCGCATTAAATAATACAATACTGAAGATCTCTGATTTCCTATCAACTTGATAACCTTATAAGTACAGCTAGGCAATCAAACATTTCTGCACATCTGTGTAAAAGGAAGCATACATATGTGATGTCATTCGTGTCACGTGTCCTAAGATATGAATATTACAACTTATTAATTCCTTTTAACACTCCCACTTATTAGTCATATCAACAAAAATAACAAATCTTCATGATACAAACTTAAAACTATCATTGTTCTTTGACTTCAACTACTTCCAATAGCTTTGTAAAGTTTGATATTTAACTTTTGAGAGTCTTTTGGTCATTATGTCACCAAACATGTCTTTTGTTTGGCAACACTTGTAAGAAATGTTGTTATTTTTGACGTGTTGTCACACACAGTGATACGACACATCTACAGTGGGTGACCAAAGAAAAGTGTCCCCGTAATGAAATATGAGTTTTGTTTACAAAGTTCATGAAATCAAAAAACTGTTTAGAAATAATCGTAATAAAAACAACATTTCTAGTAAACGAAAACACTTAAGCAGTAATTTACAAAAAATTGTGCATGTGCAGAAATGTTTGACAGTCTTGCAACAATGAAATAATTCGTCATGTTTATATATTGCAACAATAGCCAACACAAGCATGAAGCAATTTTTAAAACCAACGCAACGTATACATGAAAATAAGGAAGTTGAATTGTTAAGAGTGACGAACAAGACGCCGTCTGCAGATATATCAGAATAAAAAAGGCGAAGGGATCGTGAAATTCGATATATGCTAAATGATGTAGTCAGTGTTTGTGATTAGGAAGTTGCGCAGAAGTTTCTACTCTGTTACTGTGAAGTAAAATACTGAGTTCAAAGTTGAGGTTAACTTGAGATTGTAATCAGACCTCCTAGAGTTAGAAAAAAACAACAGACCACTGAGAGAAGAAATATCTTCATTGCTAAAACCTCTAAGTTAGTTGCCCTAATTTCTTTATAAATTTTATAGTTCCAGACTTTAAATGCAGCCTTTAGATAATCTTTGTAGCTTTACAAATGTCTTTTGTTCATGCTAAGGTTATTTATGAAAAGTTTCTTCGAATTAAATAAAAAGTTGAAAAACTGAAATTCTCTGATTTCCTTATCATTCTAATATTGAATATTTTTTTAACTTTATCAATACAGTTAGGCAATGAAATAATTCTGGACATCACGTGATACATCAGTGAAAACACAAACTGTGCATCAGCCGTTTCTTACGTCACTTCTGGCATTCAAGACAAAGACAAAACATAAATTTTCATATGACTTTGGAAGCTCTCTATAGTTGACCTTATTCAAGCTAAAGCTTGATTTATTATGTCCTCTGAATGCCAGCTCTTATTTAAACAAAAGAAAGACAATGTTGTCAATATTTTTCTCCTTTTTTCTGCCTTTTATCCTCATTATGACTTTTCACAGCCTCTCTTCTTGTCTTTCAGAATAAAACTTGCTGGTTAACATCCTTTTCCATAGTGTTTAACACTGGCAAATATGAAAAAAGTAATTTCATTTTTTATGATTCTCGATAACGTCGAAAAATGGTGCATTTTTATACATAGCCAATGCTGTTCGCAGCAGCACACAATCACAAAAAACAATCTTTAATTTGTCCCTTATCGAAACTGTTAGAATCTGCTATCTCTTAGTTTTCTTTTCAGTCGGTGCATACCATAGAGATGGGTTACAAGTTACGAACATTCTGATCTAGAGTATTTTGCGAACTAAAAGGTATTTGTAAAAGCTCAGAAAAATTATATCTGAAAACTTTTATTGTATTTATAGTTACACGTTCTAAAAAAGTCACGCACCACCAAAAGGATATGTTCAACATTCGAGTTTACCTAAATGATCCCCTCAAAACGCGTTACTTTATCCACATAGATTAAAAATTCTCATTTCATATTAAAATCTATTAGATTTGTTCAAATATTTGCTTCAGGTTTTGCTTAATATTATTATAGTGGTTCAAGGTCTTAAAATTAATAAAAAATTTTACCATTGCCAATCAAATATCGCACATAACCAAAGAAAAACAAGATTTTGTGTTACAACATGTTGTGAAATAAATATATTTATAAAGTCAAGTTCTAATAAATACGTTTGTCTCTATAAAATGAAATAAACATAAACCTTAGTAAATCTAAAAAAGGCCATTAGCTACAACACTATAACATATCCTTACGTACAAATGCACGACATTCACAAATGACTATGCAAATTATTGAAATATATATTCTTATATCTGTTTTGCAACGTAAACTTTAAAGTAAAATATCGTGTTTTTTAATTTTTCTAAAAGCTGTTTGACAGGATACTGCAGTTTATAAAAGCTGTAGCATACATGCTTTCTGTCGTTATTAGTTTTCAGGTTCTTTTGTAATTGTAGTACGTGTTTGGTGAAGTTAAATCAATTAACAAATAAGTTTGATTTCGTTACCATGTAAATTCGGACTTCAATGGAAACTGATAAGGGTTGAATAGAATTTTTGGAATTGCTTGATTTTTATCTTGTTGATATATACAAAATTTTTGTAGAGATGGAATTGCCAGGAATAACAAAATCTGTCTTACATACAGCAAATAATTAATGTGGTACAAAAGGAACTTGCTCAGTTTTTCATTAAACAATGGAACTCTCGTTACAAATCAACTGATGGAGAATGGGATGATACACACAACAGTGGTAAAAAATTTTACACTTTGGAATCAGGAAGAAAAATAGACCGAAAAACGCGACAAAAATATCAGGATGGAGACACCAGTAAGTGGGACTGTGTGATATTATTTGATGCAATAATTTTTTCAAATTCAATTGGAAAGCATCTGGACAAAAAAACAAAGGATGCTGTTCATGCACTTCGTTGTGAAAGAAACAAATACGCAAATTGGTATGAAAGGGAATGCTCAGATGATGATTTTGATGATGTAGTCAATATCATTGAAAAATCATTTCAAGATCTGAAATTGTCTCTCGAGGAAATCAATAAAATAAAAAATCATCGAAACTGTTCTAATTCATTTTAAGTTCTTCCTTCAAAACCTAAACATTTTATCGTTGAACGCACAAAACTACGAGATGAAATCGTCAAAGATCTTGAAAAATTAAGGAATGATAACAATGATAAACTGACATATTTTTACATCACTGGTAATCCTGGCAGTGGTAAATCACAACTTGCAAGGCAGGTTTGTGAAAAAATATGGTGTGCTTGGGAAAATAAATCATTTGTAATGACTCTGGATGGAAAAAATGAGAAATCTCTTTTAAAAACCTACTGTGAACTTGGATACCGTTTAAACTGTGACAAGTCTATGATTAAAAAATTTGAAGATCAAAACTGTTCCATCAAAGACAAAGTGAAGAATTTGCGATCGTTAGTATCCATACGATTAAAATTCTGGCAAAGTTGGTTGATCATTGTAGACAACGTGGTACAGCTCAGCAAAATTTCTTCGTTACTTCCCCAAGTTGGTGATCCCATGTGGATAAATGGACAAATCATAGTAACCATCCAGAACACAGATGCTGTACCTCAAGATGATGAGTTTAACAAACATATTTCTATCAGAATTGGAATGAATGATAGGGAATCTTTTCAACTGTTAAAGAATTACACTATTGAACATTCTGATGATCAATTGTTGAATGAAGTATCACACGCATTAGATCGTCAACCGCTGGCTTTGGCTGCTGCTGGTTATTATTTCAGTCGTGTAAAAAAAGTCAACTGTTTATTTACTTGGAGTCAATATTTAAAGAAAATATTTTCAGAACAAGAAGAAAACATGGACGCCACTTTTGTTAAATTTAACTCGGTATATCCTAGAAATATGTTACAAGCTTCACTTTTAGCTGTCAGACAAAGTGCTGAAGAATCCTCAGTATTGGCAAATGTTATTAACTTTTTTTCCGTGATATCCTTTGATCCTATACCACGTGACATTATTGTTTTTTATGTTCAAGAAATTGATCCCAGACACTCAAAGAAAGATATATGTCTTTGTTTAAAGGACTGCTCATAGTTCTTGAATTCAGAAAATAATGACATTAGTCTACATCGCATTGTTCACAAAGCAATTATTGTTTACCAATCTGAACACTTAAATAAAGAATGCAAAATAGAGGAAAGTTGCAATTTGCCTTCCCTTCAATCAAACGTTGACCAAATAGCTCAAGCACTTTACATGTTTAAAGAGAGAGACGACGAAAGCAAATTGATGCCACATCTTGAAAAAATTATTCAATTATTAAGGACAAACAACAACACAAAAATCAACATGAATACTTTACAAGTTTTCCAATATTTTGTTGACAGATTAAGACATTTTGGAAAATACGATCTTGCTCTTGAACTATTGGATAAATTTAAATCAGAAGAATGTAGTTATGACAAAGCTTGGTATTTTAGTACTCTCGGTCTTTTATACCATGACACTGGGAAGTATAGCAAAGCCAAAAATCACCTTGAAAAGGCTCCAGAAATTCGAAAACAATCGTTAGGTCCAAATCATGTTTATGTCGCTGGGTCTTTAAACAATCTTGGTGTGGTGTATGATAAAACTGGAAACTACGACAAAGCTAGGGATATTTACGAAAAAGCTCTGGAAATTCGAAAAAAATCGTTAGGTCCAAATCATGTTGATGTTGCTGCGTCTTTGAACAATCTTGGTTTGGTGTTTTATAAAACTGGAAGCTACGACAAAGCTATGAAGTTTTACGAAAAAGCTCTAGAAATTGGAAAACAATCGTTAGGTCCAAATCATGTTAATGTCGCTGGGTCTTTAAACAATCTCGGTTTGGTGTTTTATAAAACTGGAAACTACGACAAAGCTATTGAGTTTTACGAAAAAGCTCTAGAAATTCGAAAACAATCGTTAGGTCCAAATCATGTTAATGTCGCTGGGTCTTTAAACAATCTCGGTTTGGTGTTTTATAAAACTGGAAACTTCGACAAAGCTATGGAGTTTCACAAAAAAGCTTTAGAAATTCAAAAAAAATCGTTACGTCCAAAACATGTTGATGTCGCTGCGTCTTTATACAATCTTGGTGTGGTGTATGATAAAACTGGGAACTACAAAAAAGCTATAGATCTTCACGAAAAAGCTCTGGAAATTCGAAAACAATCGTTAGGTCCAAATCATGTTGATGTTGCTGTTTCTTTAAACAATCTTGGTTTGGTGTTTGAAAAAACTGGAAACTACTACAAAGCTATAGAGTTTCACGAAAAAACTCTGGAAATTCGAAAACAATCGTTAGGTTCAAATCATATTGATGTTGCTGCGTCTTTGAACAATCTTGGTAATGTGCTTGAAAAAACTGGAAACTACTACAAAGCTATAGAATTTTACGAAAAATCTATGGAAATTCGAAAACAATCGTTAGGTCCAAATCATGTTGATGTCGCTACGTCTTTAAACAATCTTGTTGTGGTGTATGATAAAACTGGGAACTACGAAAAAGCTATAGATTTTCACGAAAAAGCTCTGGAAATTCGAAAACAATCGTTAGGTCCAAATCATAATGATTTCGCTGCATCTTTAGACAATCTCGGTTTTCTTTATGATAAAACAGGAAAACACGACAAATCTAAAAGAATTTTTGAAAAATCTCTAGAAGTTCGAAAACTGAATGTGGCAGGTGAAGACCATACTCATGTCACTGAAGAAACTGAAAAACATGAGTCTCAGAAAAGTCAAAGTACATTTCCAGTTCCATGTCATGCTCATGTTTCTTTGTCATCAAAATATTTTGGTAAGTTTGTAGATGTTATATATACAACATAATATTGGTGGCTCATTTGCGTTAATTATATTTTGTTAAAGTGCAAGTCCAGCCAAATTTCACCCCTTCTTTTTTGCCAAATGAAAAATGAAGATTCTTAGAAACATTTTGGTGTATGTTTGAGCATTTTTGGTTTGGTATAAGTTGTTTGATTTTAACGCTAAATTTCGCCACCAGATGTGAATTTATACAAATGGATCGTGACGTCTCAAGATGTTCCCACTTAGCTTGTTTATTAGATTACCATAAACAAATGCCAGCATGGAGCCTCAATATTGTTAAATTTTGTGTCGGAAAACGCGTTTTATTCCGCAAAATTTGGCAAAAGTATCAAAACGATAACTATCAAAAACAAGTATTGGTTAATAAATTTCTGGAGGACGCAATTTTGTCATAAAGTTTATCAACAAAGTTTGTTAACGCTGACAGGCATAATGAATAAAAATAGTAATCAAATGTATTCTGCCGTTCTTTTCCTAAATGTTGGACACTTCGATTATTAAAATAAGCTTGAAAATGTGTAACTCTTAACGATGAAGCTTTCTGCATTGACGTCTAGTCCACAGGTGTTGCTGTAACTTGTAATGGTCACAGAGTTGCTGAGAATATCGTAACTATTAACCATATTCTATATACAGACATTACTGAACTGGAGAATCAGCTCTTTAGGGAAAATATACTGGCACAAAGTCTTGCATCCGTCAAATCAATAGGAACATTAATGGCTACGGCAATAATATTAATGTCAAATACAATTCATGTATTTTGTGTCTAACTCCAACTACTTGAAATCCGTAGATTATTGATGGCTTTTAATATGTTTCAGTGGCTAAGAATACATACAAATTTCATACTATAATACAAAAAAATTTGGCCATAATGAATTTAAAGTCCTAGATTTAAGTGGCTCATTGACATACAAATTGTTTCATGCGAGGATTGGTTTATTTAGTTTGAGTGTAGAGATCTAGTTTTATCTAGTTTTATCCATATACATTAAAGGAAAGAATCATCAACGAGAAATGAATTCGAACTTCGAAGTAGCTATTAATTAAGCAGCCATTCATTTGCTCTGTTTAGGAATGAAATTCGTCGATTTTCTACGCTTTTGGGTGCTGTCATATTTAAGAAACTTTTGAATAAATATGTATACTGTGTATGACGATAATGTATGATTAAAATAGTTCCAAACTTTTCTTTTAAATCCATTAGTAATTAAACAACAACGCTAAAAAATGTGTTAATGTCTGTGTCTGCTTACAATTTTCGTTCTTTGACAGGTTGCATAAATTTGCATAAAGTTGTAATAGTTTCATCATCCTCAAAATAGACAGTCAACAGCAACGGACTTTAGCATCTTTTTCTTATAATTACGTAAATACTCGACAGTGATTGGCGACAACAGTTCGTTAACACTTATCAATCTCTGAATTTATTACACCGCCCTTAATAACCGAGTGTGAGGTCTTTACGGAGAAATATCGGACTGAAGTTATTTGTACTGACCGAGCCCCTAAGGGCGAGGTTTGTGCTAAAAACAGAAGTCCGAGATTTCTTAATAAAGACCGAGCAGGCGAGGTTAATAAAAAGTCAATTAGCTATATGGTATCATTTGACCTGAAACGAAGCTTTCTTTTCTTTTTCCGTCCTTTCTTTTTTTCAAGGACTGGCTTTCATTCAACTAGTTTTTGCCAGCAGAAAATATGTAGTTTGAAATTGTGTCGCCTAGATAATCAAACCCACTTTTTGAGTGTTCTTTTTTGACTTACATTCATACCATGGTTTTTTGTTTTGTTTTTATTTTCGTTTTACAAAACATTTGCTGTTTGCTTCATGAAGTTTTGGTAAAACACAAGACAATAGACACTCCGTATATAGTAAACATTGTTCAATCTAGATAAATAATGTTTACTATATACAGTGTCTATTGTCTTGTATTTTGTAAAAATTCTCTTTGGCAGTCGTAATTCATAGCTGGCTCATTACGTGAAAATATATACTGCCCCCTCAATCTTTCCAATTGTACGGTCATTTTATTACTTGAAAAAGTCACTCATGTAAAACAGTGCGTAATATAAGTATATGAAATTTTGGAACTAATGGACAAAATGAAATGAATTATATAGTTTTAAAAAGCTACTATCCAAAACAACTTTCTAATTTGTTTGTTTTATTTTTTTCGAGCGCTAACTGTAAACTCATTTTTTTACTTGTTGTCAAAATAGAAATACACAGCTTGTGTGGATAACGCTTTTTTAAATATTATTCATAGAAATCACATGTGGTGATGATGCTAATGCTAAAGATGTCGGAAATTCTCCTGGTGTTGAAAATACTAAACAAGGTATGCCTTTCAATTCTAATTTATTTTATATATATTGCGTAACCTAAGCATATTTGTTTTGAATTGTATCACAATTCAAGTCATTTGATTGGTATTTATGTGCTTTTATGAAGATTTATATTATTTGATAATATGCATGATGTATGTATACAGTGTTGCACTTTCGGACTCCAAACGTTCGTTTATTACGTATGTTGAATACTGTATCAATGACTTAAATTTTCATTTTGCGAACGATAAATAATTTAAGTGTACTTTGTACCAGACGGCAGTGCTCAGCACAACTTGGTAAGTCTTTGTTTATTTTAATAAATACTGAGTAGCAGCAATGTGGCGCAACTCTTTTTGTAAAGTGCTCAAATTGACTACATTTCATAAGTTGTATTGAAGAAAAAGAATTATAATAAATGGACTATAACCTTTTAAAACAAATCTTAACGTAATGTACACCATACAGGTGGACCCTGCATTTTAGAAGTGTTCAGGTTAGACCATCTGTTTTAAAAGTGCTCGTGTTTTGTTACGTTAATTACTATTTTCTTTGTTAGAGTACAGGAGATTAGTCGGAGTATAACTTTTTCCAGATAGAAATTAATTTTTTTTGCTACTTGTTTACAGCATTGAAACATTTAAAAAAAAATCACCAAGTTCAAGTTCTATTAAAAATTTACTTCAAATATAGTCTTCAATCAACCTTTTACATTAACAAATTTTATAAGATATATGCATTTTTTCATCACATGTCTAAGCAACACTGAATGGTAACATTTGCAGCTGGTTTAATCTATTTTAATCATGACAGTAAAATCTTGTCACTTTACAATTTTTACTTGAAGCACATTATCAGTCAGTTGTAATTAAGATGAGACATGAGGTGATAATGACATCAGGCAATCTATTCTTTTAAAGTAACGTTTATTTGTATTCTGCTTGTTTAATCATAAAAACTTCTCAACAAACTATCCTTTGGATATACTGTCATACTTCACGTTTGCACCACCATGCATACGCTACCTAGTTAATGACATTGAAAATTAGGCAAAGAACGGCCACCATCAAATGGACGTGCTCGATATACTTCAATAAATAAGAATTCTTGTTCATTGTAATAAAAATACATCAAAATCATATGGAAAATGAGCAAATTTGACGATGTGAATTTTCAAAGTTCCACAATAAAAAGAAGGCTATTTACAATTTTCATTATGAATAATGTAGCATTAAATTGCACATTTATTAAACGATCTTCTAAATTCTAAATTTACAGAAAATTACAAGTTTTTTTGAGCTCTCTCTTTGCTAAGTATACTGGAGATTACCAATTCAGTGTGAACATCATTCAAAAGTGCACAAAGATCATTTTTTAGCTTAGCAGTAAATTTTGAATACTTTTTACTCAGAATTGCATTTTGAAAGTTGCATAGAGAATAAAAGTTGCTGTGTCAATTTTTTCTACTAGAAAATTTCCCAAAATAGATAAGCAAATAACGTTACTAATCGCAAAACTTAAAAACAACAACTTTATTCATTGATTTCAATAAATTACTCCCACTGATCTCAAAATAAATGAGTATAATTATTTCGACTATATTAGAAGAGCAAATGAGTCCAAAAATCTCATTTATAATTCAAATTGTGTCTTAATTGATGATTGTCAACTTGCTTAATGACCTCCATTAAAAAGTGCACGTGAATCAGACCAAGCCACTTACGACTTAAGCCTCCCGATTGAGCAAGCATAACGCTGCTGCTGAAATATCGCTTACAGAACTCAATGGCTGTGTCATGTTTTCTCAGATATTGTAGCACAGACAACTATATAGAGGGCCGAAACTATAACTTTTAGTGGGATGGGAGAGGGGGTGTTTAATAACGCTGTTGATGAAATATCACTTGCTGAACTCAATGGCTGTTTCATATTTTCTCAGATATTGTAGCACGGACCACTGTATCGAGGTCAAAAACTATAAATTTTAGTGGGGTGGGGAAGGGGTGTTTAATAATGCTGCTGCTGAAATATCGCTTACAGAGCTCAATCGCTGTATCACGTTTTGTCAGATATTTAATGTAGATAAATAAGGTTTACTATATACGGAGTGTCTATTGTCTTGTGTTTTACTAAAATACTCTTTGGCAGTCGTAATTCATGAAGTTTGTTTATCTGCATTTATTTGTAAAATTACGCCTAATGAAAGCTGGCTCATTACGTGAAAATATATACTGCCCTCTCAATATTTCCAATTGTAAGGTCATTTTATTACTTGAAAATGTCAGTCATGTAAAACATAACATTTGTATATGAGATTTTGGAGCTAATGGGCAAAACGAAACGTAATATATAGTTTTAAAAAGGTAATATCCAAAACTTTTCAATTTATTTGTGTTATTTCCTTTCAAGCGCTATCTGTAAATTCATTTTTTACTTGTTGTCAAAATAGAAATACACAGCTTGTGTGGATAACGCGTTTTAAAATATTATTCGTAGAAATCACAAGTGGTGATGATGCTAATGCTAAAGATGTCGGAAATTCTCCTGGTGTTGAAAATACAAAACAAGGTATCCCTTTCAATTCTAATTTATTTTATATATATTGCGTAACCTAAGCATATTTGTTTTGAATTGTATCACAATTCAAGTCATTTGATTGGTATTATGTGTTTTTATGAAGATTTATATTAATTAATAATATGCATGATATACGTATACAGTGTTGCACTTTCGGACTCCAAACGTTTGTTTATTACGTATGTTCAATACTGTATCAATGGGTTTAATTTTCCTTTTGCGAACGACAAATAATTTAAATGTACTGTGTACCAGACGGCAGTGCTCAGCACAACTTGACAAGTCTTTGTTTATCTCAATAAATACTGCGTAGCAGCAAAGTGACGTAAATCTTTTTATAAAGTGCTCAAATTGACTACACTTCATAAGTTCCATTCAAGAAAAAGGATTACGTGTTTGATTACAAATACAATCATCAATCAACCTTTTACATTGACAAATGTTATAAGATATATGAATTTTTTCATCACATGTCTAAGCAACACTGAATGGTAACATTTGCAGCTGGTTTCATCTGTTTTAACCATGATAGTAAAATCTTGTCACTTTACAATTTGTAATTGAATATTTCGTAATGGGGAACATGCGATGCGCATAAATTACTAAATTTTCGATGGAGATTGGGACATATAGCGTCACGCCGTCGTTGAGACAATTCAAAACTTACATGTCCCAGGATCGCTATGAAATCAGCGTTCATACGAACAAGACTATCAATATTCAGTTCGCTGTTGTTATTGCGGGCAACCAACAGATCATTGGTGGTTTGTGCTGCTATATGACCAACATTCGTCAGGGCTGATTGAATGGCACTCAATTGTAAATCACGCCCTCTAGCTGTGCGGTCTAATTTTCCCAAATGTCGGGGTTTACCTTAGGTAGAATAACGCGATCGTATTTCTTAGGCCTTAAAATATTTAGCCTGTTTTTCCTTCAATTGCTCGTCGCTCAGCTTAGTCAGCTAACGCTTGTTGATAATTGAGGCGAGCTTCTCGTTGACGATTGGTGAAGTTTTCTCAGTTTTGTCTAGAGTCTGTAAAATCTCTTACAGCAACGGGTCCACTGCTAGTTGTTCTGCTTTAGAATTGCGCTTGGTCGAAGATGCTTCGTTTTGTGTTAACAAGACTTCAAGGATTAAAGCACTTGCTTTCCTCTTACGAGTAGATTCTACTGTAGAGGATGCTGACGTTTACTGCATTAACCTGAGTGATTCACTCATTGCAGTCAGTGCTTCACTCATCCTACAAAGGGCGGTTGCTACATTCAAATTCTTTGATGTGACTTGCACGTCTTTGCTTTCTTCCATCATGTCATCTTGTTCATCGTGTTCAACAGAACCCAGGAGTGCTGCTTCATCTCCGACATCATCTCTTGTCGTACGTCATCTTCTTGGCATTATAAATATCGGTAGATTGTAAATTGCATTTAGCAGGCGTTGACACCTGAGGAGTAGTCTGCCGAAATGCATCGTGTCGTTTAATTTAAAACTATTGGGTTAGTGCTCTTTACTTAAAATAGTTCTTTTAAGAACTTACAACTTATTATATTACTTTTACCATTCACTATGGTATTTGATATCTTTAGAACTATTTTCTAATTTCAAATAATTAAATAATTAAATTTTGACGTAATTGTGTATTAATGAAAATGTAAAACATACGTTAAGAAGCTTTATTAAGTGAATGTCTTGTTCTATACGATACAATGTTGATATATTAGTTATTAGATTCTTGATTCTTTGTTTTCAAGTAATACAGTTAGCCTAATATTAAACCTTCTGTTTCATTTGAGCTCTTGTCAAGTTAGTAAACTTCTGAAAACATTAAAATGGGATTGAGTTAAAGAATATAAATACATAAAATTTTTAGGTTCAAAGGAGACGTGCTGTAAAGTGGAAAAACTGGTCACATCTGGTGGTGGAAACTTAATGATGGAGGACGTTATCTTTGAAGTTGGTCCTGGCTGTTTAGAAGACAGTACAATGATAAAGTTGGTCAAGGTTAGCAATCCAGGCTACATCAAAAGTTTGCTGGACTTGAAACTTCTTAAAAGTAGCATATGTCATCTGCAATGTCTTCCTAACGGCCTACATTTCTTAAAACCTGCTCAATTGCAAATTAACATCAATGGGAAGAGAGGATTCTCAGAAAAAGCTTTGGAAAAGATTGTTGCTCGTTATGGATCCTATTCGAATGATAAGCAAAAAATGGAATGGCAACAGGTGGAAGACATTGATTTGAATGAATCAAGGATTTTGTTAAACATTTCAAAGTTTTCTTGGTACAGTTTCATCAAAGCTTCTCTTTCACTTATTCCTCGTATTTTATGTCATCTCAACCATTCTTTTCAAGCTTATGCATATGTTTTCCATCGAAGATCATCAGAAATGGGAACATTAGATATTAAAGTTGTCTTTGTCAGCTCATTCGTGCGTGAAAGGTTAGAAGATTCTCCAATGACAAAATTGGCAAAAGATTGGAAAGACTTCAACGCGAATAATAACAATGAGGATATCATTGATATCAACACTGATCGAAATCATGAAATACAGCTAAATATTCAGGGAAAGAGGCTTGATTCATACACTTTTGAAATAGATATCTCAACGCTTGATAACGATGGTTTTGTTGTTCATCACTTTGAAAGAATTCAAGTAAATTTTCCTGCGAAAGGATATTTGGAGGTGAAAGAAAGTGGAAACAAAAATTCGAAGTGGAAGCTGAATGTCGACGAAGAAAACTCACAGGGAGCCGTGATAAATAAAGGTAAGAACTTGTGTTGTATTGTTATTCTCTTCCCAATGAACTTAACGAACCTGAGGTAATAGTAAGGATATTAATAGTGTACAAGAAAGTTAAGCGAAGGGGAATGAAAGTCTTATTTCCATGAACATAAGCTTCTGCGCTTGATGTTTTATATATCGTCGTTGATGAGCATGAGGCAGGACATTTAGGGCAAATTTTTCTCGTCCTGTTAAATGTTCTAAACACTGAAAGCTTTTTCTTGTATTCTTTGTCAACTAACACATTTGCTTTGTAATGTATCGTAATTGAAGCCATTTTATTGGTATTTTTGTGCTTTTTTGAAGATTTATATTATTTAGTAAAATGCATGATGTACGTATACAGTGTTGCACTTTCGGACTCCAAACGTTCGTTTATTACGTATGTTGAATACTGTATCAATGACTTAAATTTTCCTTTTGCAAACGACTAATAATTTAAATGTACTGTGTACCAGACGGCAGTGCTCAGCACAACTTGACAAGTATCTGTTTATCTCAATAAATACTGCGTAGCAGCAAAGTGACGTAATTCTTTTTATAAAGTGCTCAAATTGACTACATTTCATAAGTTCCATTGAAGAAAAAGGATTATAATAAATAGACTAAAACCTTTTAAAATAAATCTTGACATAATGTACACCATACAGATCAGACTCTGCATTTTAAAAGTGCTCGTGTTTGATTACGTTAATTATTATTTTGTTTGTTAGAGTACAGGAGATTCGTCCGAGTATAACTTTTTCTCCAGATAAAAATTTGATCCTGGTTTACAGCATCGAAAGTGTTGAAACAATTAAATAAACATCACCTTGTCCAAGTTCTAATAAAAGTTTTCTTCAAATACAGTCTTCAATCAACCTTTCACATTAACAAATGTTATGAAATATATGAGTTTTTTTCATGACATGTCTAAGCAACAATGAATGGTAACATTTGTGGATGGTTTCATCTGTTTTAATTATGACGGTAAAATCTTGCAAATAACGTTACAAATCGCAAAACATAAAAACAACGACTTTATTCATTGATTTCAATAAATTACTCCCATCGATCTCAAAATAAATAAATGTAATTATTTGGACTATATTAGAATAGCAAGTGAGTCCAAAAATCTCATTTATGATTCAAACTGTGTCTTATTTAATGATTGTCAACTGGCTTAATAACCTCCATAAAAAAATGCACGTGAATCAGTTCAAGGCACTTAACACTTTAGCCACAAGATTGAGCAGGAATATCGCTGCTGCTTAAATATCGCTTACAGAACTCTCAATGGCTGTATCATGTTTTCTTAGATATTGTAGCACTGACCACTATATAGAGGGCCGAAGTTATAACTTTAGTAGTTTGGGGAAGGCGTGTTTACAGACGTTGCTGATGAAATATCGCTAATAGAACTCAATGTCTGAATCATGTTTTCTCAAATAATGTTGCACGGACCGCTCTATAGAAGACCAAAACTAGAACTTTTAGTGGCGAGGGGGAGATAATGTTAAAAAAACGCTGCTAATGTAATATCGCTGACAGAACTCAATGGCTATATCATATTTTCTTGGATATTGTAGCACAAACCATAATATAGAGGACCGAAACTATAAATTTTAGTGGGATGTGGTGTTTACTAATGCTGCTGCTGAAATATCGATTACATAACTCAACGGCTGTATCATGTTTTCTCAGATATTGTGGAACGAACCACTATTTTGAGGACCGAAACTATAACTTTTAGTGGGGTGGGGGAGCCCTTACGAAAATTATCAATAGGATCTTATTAGAATTCCAATAGGAATATAAGATTCCTGTAGGAAATCCTATAGGAAGGCAGAGTGAATTCATTTTTATTCCGATTCCGATAGGAAATATATTAAGAAAATGGCGGCAATTTTAAAGCCTATAGGAATATTTAAATTCCTGTAGGAAATCCTATAGGAAGGCAGAGTGGAATTCATTTTTATTCCGATTCCGATAGGAAATATATTAAGAAAATGGCGGCAATTTTAAAGCCTATAGGAATATTTAAATTCCTGTAGGAAATCCTATAGGAAGGCAGAGTGGAATTCATTTTTATTCCGATTCCGATAGGAAATATATTAAGAAAATGGCGGCAATTTTAAAGCCTATAAGAATATTTGAATTCCTGTAGGAAATCCTATAGGAATCCATAATGGTGATTTGTTTTGCAATTCCGACTGGAAATCCTTTAAAAAAATAGTGGGAATTAAAAACCTTTATGAATATTAAAATTCCTATAGGAATTCTCCTGGAAATGTTATTAGAAAAACATATATAGCAATCGAAATATATAGGAAATGTTTTCTATTTTTTCCCCAAATTTACAACTATGGTAGATTCTTTAGAAATCTAATGCATGAAATAAACGAAGCATTGTGGTATGGAGTTGGTGGTTGTGTAAAAGACAATGATAATGTCATCTCTTGAATCAAAGGCTGCTGATGTTTGAATACTTTACCAGAATTTAAACAACAGCTTTACGAGCTGACATTGATTAAACTCCTCAAAGCAGAGCAACAAAACATGTCGAAATTTAGTCATTAGATAATGAGTTTTTACAACCATTACGAACACCAACAGCATGCAATTCAAGAGGAATTGATTTTCGATTTCGCCACCATTGAATTAAGTTGTTTGCTTTGTTATAGTTGGTATGCGATTCTTTCAGGCATTCCTATTACAATGTGAAATCTCGTAGAAAAAGAGAATTCTTATAAGAAGTGCTTTAGAAAAATTCACAGGAATTTGCAAACTTATAGAAAAATATATTTTCAAATTCTTACACAAAAAGCTATGGGAAAAATGTAAAAATAACAAACTTAAATCATCCTTGAATTAGCTAAAAAAAATTATTGTGAGATGAAGTTGGATTTTTTCATTTGTAATAAAAAAATCGTTTTGGGAATGTCTTGTTGACTGTTACGACAGTGAAATGCAATTTACATATTTTTCTGTATGATATGAATAAAACAACACATTCCAAAAGAGCTATAGTACAAATTAATGATTATAAACAATTTAAAACATATGTAGTGGCATGCATTATAAGCAAAGCTTTGTACGATATACGAGAAGTTATCTGTTTTGAGTTACGCGTCATATATACAACATGCAACAAATACTGTGTATCTAAAATATCTGTCCAGTCGAGTATTCTCAAACTTGCAAAAAATGAAAGACAACAGCAATCCTTTCTATTTTGAGTTAATCGCCGTAAAACTTACATGGCAATTCAAAAAAAAAAGTCTCGGTTTCGTAGTTTTAAGTGTACGCCTTTGTCTTTAATTTGGTCAGGTTTGAGAGCCACAATTTGGTCTCTGTTTGTACACTCTCTTACGAAATGTGAAGTAACACCACATTCTTTGTTGGAAAATAGCGGTCTTCTTCCACACAAATCAAGTTTTTTCACAATCACAACATAATATACTTCGCACTGGCATGTCTGTAATTCAGCAGTGCTGCATTGACAGTCTGGCTGTACACGGTAAAGCCCAACAACGATACCATACTTGGTAGTTAAGCTGTCGATTTGCACATAATAATCATGGTGTCTTTGGGATCTTGTATAACTTTCCGAAGTGTATAGCACATGATTTACAATAAATCTGTTATAAAAAGTAGCTGATCGATTGGCAACGTCTCTGTTAATCATTTTTGCCACGGAAATGGTCTCAGATGGTGTGAGACGAACAGCTTGTCCATTTCCAAGTCCAGTAACAGCTCTAGTAAGAGCCCGTTCACTATTTGTAGGAATTTTGTCTTTGGAAAGTTTATTGAACAAGTGCCTTACTCTTGGACATGCGTCATCACGAATACACTCTTTCCCAATACCTGGTAGTTTCTGCGACAGTATAAAAGTATCGCAAATCTGTTGTGGAACATATTGGGTACCATTAAACATTTTCAGCAAAAAGTGGTTGTTGGCTTCGAATGCAAAGGCAGAAGTAGCCCAAAGTGGCCCGCAGTTCCTTACGCCTTCCGCTAAATGCGTCATAACGTGTACATTGAATGTACAGTTAGTCAAACCGTACAACTTTTCCATATCAGTTGCAAATTTAACAAGGCATGCGTTGGCTCGTGATAACATTTCATCACTAATTCTATTACCAAGTAATGTATGTACACCATGTACTAGCAAAAACAAATGCTCTAAATATTCACGAGGAAGCAAGCCATTTAGAACCACAAGACCATAAAAAAGAAATGCTCGCCACTCCGACGCTTTCCAAAATTTTCGCTCTTTTATTGATCTAGGGGCTCTAGTTATTTCAGAAGGCGGGCATATTACAGACAAACGTTCATCTAATAGCTCGACGTTTCTTCCCAAATAAAAGTTCTTTTCGTGGTTTCTCGAATCAAGCCAAAGATTGCACAGTTGACGGACTACTCCTTGACACACAGAATGCATATACTCCGGTGTAAAGCCTCTTACTGTGTCAAATGTGGGAAGAATGTCGATACGCGAAAGCCCTTTTACTCCATTAACTGCTTCTTTTCTCATTTCAGCTTCGAAAGCATATTCTGCTTGATTCTGTGACGTTCTTGAGCTTTGATGACCACGCTGTGGATAGTATCGAGTTGGGGGACCTCTATTACGGAGAACAGACACACCTTCATGTTCACACCAATCGCACCCGTACTTACCATTAAACTGCTTGCAGTTTCTCAACATTGCACGAGCTGGGCTGTCGCTGGAACATACTAATGCGAAAACTTTGCGAGGTATAATTTCTTCACGTAAAAGAAATCCCTTTTTTTCCAAATCATGGCATTCGTTCACAAATGCTTCAAGAAAAGTGTTCATCTGTGGTTTTGTCGCACCAAACCACAAACCTGCAAGTAGAATATTCTTGGAACGAAGGTGAGGTGGTAACTCGTTTATCATACATTAGATAGGCCAAATAGAGTATTGTGATGACTTAAAAACAGGAATGCCATCTGCATTCCAAGTTAAAGAAATGTCATTTTTCGCCATAGCTTTATCCCTTATCAGGCTCTTATATAGTTTACCCGTAGTTACGTCTGATATAACAGTTGATTCAATCAAAACTTCCAAATTCCTGTTGGTTAAATATTCATAAAGAATGGGATCAGACAGGAGCTGCTTAAGTTGTCCTTTTAGTGGAATATGAAGAAAAAAGGTGCCGTTCTTCATGCTGTTTTCGCGATTGAAAGGTGTATCACATTCATCACACTTTGTGCTTTCTGCGCTTGTTCCAATGTACGACAAACATGACTCGCAATAAAAATGAGCCTGCAAAGTATAACAATTAATTTTTCAGGGAGGGATATAAACTGTAAATCCGTAACGTTATTTGCCGCTAGTTCTAATCCAGTTCGATCATTTTCATCAAGAATACAAGCCCTAAATATGCAGAATTCGAATCGTTTCACCACTTTTCTTCTTTAAATTGCACAAAATAAAGTTGAATTTTAAGATATTAAATGCACGAAGCTAACTACGTATTCCAGTCGAAAGTCGTTATAAAGAAAACCATATTAGAAAAAATTCAAGATAGTTTTCTTTTTACCTGAGATTCCTCCACTTGAATTGCTTTGTAGAACTTATACTTGCTGGATGGAAACGTGCTCGGCAAAATCAAACTCAAAATGTCGAGTAGATCAGTCAAAGCTGCATCTGTTAAATTGTTCTTTAATAAAAATGCGACGAGCAGGAGAACACTTTGAGACTTTGTTATAAGAGCACCAGGATATATTTGTTCATCACCATTTTCGATGTTTAAAACCTAAATACAAATTCTGAGTGTAAATCGGAATGTAGTAGCTATTATATGGGGGGAGGAGGAAGTTCATGTTTATATATTCATGTATTCATGTACCATAATCAATAATTAAAATGGATTTCAAAAGAAATCGATAAAATAGAACACACACAAAAAAGTGAATATTAGCCCTCTTTCCCAATCCTTGATCTTCTGCCTACCCTGGTTCTACGTACTGTATGATGTTTCACATTCACCTGCAGTGCTTCATGTCCAAGGCCATTATTATTAAGCTGGAAATCAACATCAATTTTTCCATTCTCCTGACATGCCTGTGCCTGTGTCTCTTGATCATTTTGATGAAATTGAATCTAATTTTTAAAATATATGTTCCATTGATTAAAGCGTTAATGAAACAAAATTTTGCCAGACTGTTTTCTAAATACATTACAATAACTATTCAAGCTCATCTAGCATCTTACAAACTATTTTTGTTAAGAAATAAAAGATGTTTACTGTGTTTGCATAGTCTTATCCAATCAAGGAGACCTTTGGGAGAACTCGGGTGCAGATCAGTGCAAGCCCGAGACTGAACGTTGAGGGTTGCACCTGCTCGAAAGTTCTCACAAACGTCTCCGAGGTTTGCATAAGCCAGTGCAAACATGAAAAACATCTTTTATTTCTTTTATAAAATAACAATAATGCGAAACAGAGAAAACGTTCTAATATTCTTTTAACATGTATTCATGATGGACTTGCAACAGCTTTTAGATTGATTGATTGATTTGATTGGCTGAGCGCAGATTGTTTTTCAAAGGCTAATGCAATGCAGCTCTGGACCAATCAGCAGACACGTTTCATTATGTTTATTTTATAATTATCTTTGTTACACTGATATTGAAATTTTTTCATTATGCAAATTTTCTGGTAATGAAACACTTTGCATAACTAACGTTTGATTTGCAAATATTTTGAAGTGCATCAAATTTTCACACTCCTATCTGCCATGTATTGATTATTTTCTTGTACTAGTCAATAAATCTTTTAATTGTGTTGAGAACTGATGCAGTCTAAATATGACTATGCAATGTAATGTCACAAGATGATATAGGTATTTGCATAGAAAAGGAAGGCGGAAACATCTTTTATACCATTCACAAGCTAGCTAACATGAAAATTTAGACATTTTAAGAGGTCAATGAAATGCAGTTTGCAATGCTTTATAAACACTTTGATCATTGTCTGTAATGTTATGTGACCTCATAGATTGTTGAAAGAGATAATGTATATTTATCAGATATAATGTATATAATGAAAGATATAATGTATGTGTAAGAACACATGCACTTATAGGCTTATACACCATTGATAAACTGACTTGGACAATAGCAATAATAATAATATCTTTTTTATTTACATGAATTGAGCACACTGTAATACACGCAAGTCGACTTGAAGCACCAAGTTGAAAGCTCAACAAAACTGAATAGTGTCAATACAAAGAAATGTCCAATCTAATATCGTTATCTATGTATACTTATTTTAAATCTATTTGCATCCAAATTCAATATTACAATCTGTACAACAAACAAAATTGCATGACTCGCCATTACAAACAATGAGTATCAAAAAATTTAAATCAAAATTTTATAGACAATCATGCATTTGACACATTGTGTTTTAAGATTATATTTGAATACAGCAAGATAGCAAGGCCCTTTACCTTTCCAGTTAATGAACTCCTCAAATAACAACTTCATGTTAAAATTAAATTTTTCACCACTGGGAATTAAATAGAATACAATCATTCTCAAGCATATGATACAACACATGGAAAACCCTCTGTTTAGTTTTAGCTTGGTTGAATTTGGTTTTGGTTAATTGGCAGGGAAACTTCATTTTAAATGCACTCAATTGCTAAAAGTGTAAAAATGCAATTTCAACATGCAAATTTTATTTGACAAGTACTTTCGCATCATTTTTGATTGTATGAATTCATTAATAGACATAATTATAACTGGACATTAAAGGAGCTCCTGATTCTTGCTACAAGTTTACACAAAAGTAAAATTACAAAGCACAATGTCTACTGCAAAATTACCGAGAAACGTTCCATTATTATTTTTTGAAGCACAGATATAAGTGTATCATGAAATACAATTAAAATTAAAACTTCAATTACAATGTATTAATGCCAATTATGTTAGGAAAGGCAAGAGGTATGTTACACAAATGTCTGAACATATGCGAATGGAGACACATTTAATTGTATAATGTGGATAAAGTATGGGATAAAATTTTGAAGCACTAACAAAACAATATTACCAGAAATAATATCTAAATGAAATTTTCCATACCATATCAGATGAAGTTGCTTGATCTATCTCCATCGTAGCACGCAACTGCTTTCGTCGTCTATATTTTGTTCTTCTTGGAAGATCAACAATGGAATCAACTGCATATCGTTTGTATTGCCCTCTTGAGCCCATAAGAAAAGCTTAAATTACAAAACCGCGAATACAAGTTTTATCAAAACGCTAAATTTTGACAAATTTTGAAGAATATTCATGACAAACTGCTCACGACGAAAGCAGCAAGCGTTTGTTCAAGTCAGCGGTGAAATTACTACAATAAGCCTTTTCAAAAATGAGGCGGGGACTAAGGCGATTTTTGCCTGCAAGCGTTTCTGGGATCGTTACCGGGGACACAAAATTACCTCGCGAATAGAAGTGCAGTGTTTACACATATGTTGATGAAAGTGTTTATGTGATTTAGCAAGAATGCCAAAATATAACTGCTGTGTGCCAGGTTGTAGCAACAGCCACAGAAATAAGCCTCGCGATTTCAAATTTTATTGCTTGCCAAAGGATTTAGAACTACGTAAAAAATACGATGTTCTTATAAGAAACGACAACCTCAAAGTGGCGTCTCCGAACACAAGGATTTGTTGTGATCACTGGGAAGGCGGGAAAAAATTGAGCAGAACTCATCTTCCGTCTGTTTTTCCGTGGACTGTACGTAAAGAACAACGCAGAGAGATAACCAGAGCCAGTCAGGAAAAAATTAGTAAACACAAACGCAAGAAAAAGAACTTTATGCAAAATTATGAAGTTGATATTGAAAGCGAACAACTACAAAACGACCAAGCATCTCATCTTCAATCTTCTGCTACTCAGACAGACTTGGCATGTTTCTGCAAAGCTAAGGACGATGTCCTGCTACTTCAAGACGTTAAAAAGCAAATTATAGAAGAAAAAATATTTCTCGAAAGTGAACTGCTGCGTTTAACAAAATTACTTGAAATCACCAAAAACAACCTGGCAAGAGAACAACAACGACAAAGTAGATTTGATATTGACAAATACAAATCAAGTGATTCTGATATAGAGTTCTATACTGGTTTATCTAACTACAAAATGCTGACATTTTGTTTCAATTTAGTTGAGGAGTCAAGAATTGATATTAATGGTGATAATACAGATGACACACAGATTAGAAGACCAAAGCTTGGTAGGCCAAGAGCACTAAGTTGTTATGAAGAATATATTTTGGTTTTAATGAGATTAAGATTGGGCCTTTTTGAAAAGGACTTGGCTCACCGATTTGGCGTGGCAGTTGGTACAGTCTCGAACATCATTCGCAAGTGGATAAAACTGCTCCGTGCAAAACTTGGGTCATTAATCAGAATGCCAGAAAGAGATACAATCAAATATTACAGCCCCCCTGCATTCAAACAGCTCTTCCCCCAGGTAGTTATTGTAATTGATTGCACAGAGATTGAGATGGAAAGGCCATCAGCTTTGAACAATCAGTCTGCCTGTTATTCTTCTTACAAAAGCAGACCAACAATGAAGGTTTTAATTGGAATCACACCTAGTGGTGTGTTGTCGTACATCAGTGAGTTATTCCTGGAAGCACTTCTGATTTGGAAATAGTTAAAAAAAGCAATTTCTTGGACATTCTCTCCCCTGGAGATAGTGTCATGGCAGACAGAGGCTTTAACATAAAAGATGAACTTGCATCAGTTGGAGCATTTCTTGAAGCTCCTTCTTTCCAAAAGAAACCCAATTTACACAAGAAGAAATTAACAAGAACAAAGCTATAGCTAGCCTGCGCATACATGTTGAACGACAAATGGAAAGACTAAAAAACTGGCACATATTAGATAGAAAGATCCCTATCACTATGGCCCCATTAGCATCAGATGCACTTGTGGTCATAGCAGCATTGGCTAATTTTTTGCCACCACTTGTTTGTTAGATTTTGCCTTCATTCTCATGTTTAAAATTGATAAATAAATAAAACAAGCCATTTCAATAATGATAATTTAGAAATTCAGTATCATGATTAAAAACAGATTTACAGCAAAAAAGCCCTTTTTTTAATTATATTTTGACAGAGATTAAATTTTCAACTGTTATTTATCCTTAGTAATTTATGTTTAAAAATCTTTACAAGTTACACCATTTAATTATCTCCTGTGAAATTGTTTCTTGGCAGCCCATACTTGATCTTTGGATATGCTAGTTCAGGAATAATAAATTCTTCATAGAAAATCTTACGTTTTGCCTTAGTATTGCACCAGAAATTAGAGTCAAAAGGTACTCTTTCAATATATATACCAGGTGAACAAGATCCAGCAATCACAAAGTCTGCCCACTTCCTCCCTGATAAATACATTCCCTGCTGTATTTGGTAAAAATATTTGTGGTTTCTGTTAATTGTAATACCACTGTTGTCAAGTTTGTGCTTGACACACATGTGCTACGTAAGACAGCTTCTGTTAAACTTTCCTTTTCAGATGTTTCTATGAACTTCATTTCTAGGATACCTAAAGGTTCATTATTGTTCGAGGGATCACAAACCAAGCCATCAGGACTAGCCCTAAGAAACCATCATCATGCTTGCCAACAATCAGACCTGACTGTGACACAGACAAATTGTCATGTCCACGTTTGTGTTGCTCCTTTATGTATTGCTTCATTATTTCTGGTTCCATTTCTAGTCCTTTTATCATTTGCTTCGTTGCTGAAAATTTGGCATACAAAATTTCATTAATGGCCTTTGTTGGTGAGGTTGTTTGTTTAAGTACAGCAGCTCTATAGCATTTAGATGCTGTAATGCGGTATTGTCGATGTAGGTGCCATTTCTTATTAAAGGATTGCTCTCTAGTTTCTTTCTCAATTTCTGTGGCCTTTCTGTAGTCTATGAAAAGGCATTTCTTAATCTTTTCCATCCTTTCTTTAATGGCACTCATTGCCATAGGGCTGTCTTGAACTTTTATGGGAGATATGAGTTCATTCTCATACTTCTCAACTGGGATATCCTGGGGTAAAATGTGACACCATCCAATGGACTTCCCAACCTCATTTTCTAGTTCTTTAAATTTGTTAAAAATGCTTTGTAACTTTTTACTATTTAAACCTTCCTGGTTAATGGAGCTGACATCCTGGTATTTGCATTTATCTTCTGCTTTTTTGTTCTCTTTGTTGTAGTCATATTTCTGGAACTTCATTGCAGAAATTGGCTGCACTTCTTCTTTTCTCTTTCTTGGTACACTCCATTCACATGGCTTTGACGTGCATGAAATTTCTGAAGATGACTTCTTATTTTTCTTGCAAACAGAGTCAAGGAAAAAAAGAGTTGCACAGACGTGATTACATCTCCCATCCACACCTGCTGGGCACCCACATTTGGCTGACAATACAAAGCCAAATGATGAAAGCTTAATGTAACAAGTATATACCATCTTTTTCTTCATTGAAGGCAAGACCTGACTTTTGATGTAATGTTTTGAATCCTTGTGGAGATAATACAAACACAGCACATGGTTTGACTTAAAGAAATTATAGCCTTTCACTAGAGGCTTAGCAGTTGAAAGTCGTCTTTTGAATTCCATGCTGTCTATCATAAACTTCCATACAGTGCCAAAAGTAACTTTTGGTAGATTTGATAGGTCGGCACTATATCCTGTGGTAGGAAAACTTTTAACTTCTGATGGCAATGTCTGATGTAGGAGACCAGCTTGTGCTTTCTTTTTCAAAACATGAACGCCTCCATCAGGGTCACGTAGATACTTTTCCGCCAGTTTATGTTCGATATAATTTTTGACTCTGCAATAAAAAATATATAGTTATTCTTTAAACGATTTTTAATTCCTTCATAAAAACGACGAAATAAATCAAATGAATGTTAGATTATATAAAAATAAAAACTTAAAATTAAAAGTAAATTACTGACCTCAGTCGTAAATCAGAGAGTTTACCAGAGGTTTTTGCTCCTCTGCAAAGAAGCCATCGTCGTAAAATTGCACAATTGCATTCCTCAATCGGCTTAGGTAGCTTAGCTCCGGGAATATCACTTTCATTTAGCGAAAAACTTTTATCTTTACACTCAAACGCGCTTTCCATCTTCACTTTTTTTTTCCAACTATAATAATATAACAAGCTGTCCCCACTAACAATCCCAGACGTGCTTGCGGGCTAAAACTTGCCCTAGTCCCCAACTCTTATTTGAAAAGGCCTATTGATACTTACCGCCATTACCACAGTAACATAAGTGCTGATCTCACATCACCAAGGTGACAAAGCAAATTTCCTTGCCACTCAAGTAATCAAGTTCAAGTTGTTCTCAGCGTTTTGCAGCTCGCTGTTGTGAAAAGGTGACCAAGTGTGAAAGTTAAGAATGAAGTTTGCGATTTTCGATTTTGGAGACAATACTTTTGATATTGGCCAAACATCATGGATACAAGATGAAAATTCTACAACATTTGATAACGAATCCTGGCTCTTTACCCACGAAATAATTGTCAAGTGGCCCATAGACTTCAATGCAGCGAAACGAAAAATGCGAAAAAAAATTGATGAAGATACAACCAAAACGGAAAGCGAAAGATATCCCGCAAGAATTTTAAAATTTGGAGGTTGGCGTTTGATTTTGATTTTTGAAATGCCACTGCAAAAATATAAATTTAAAACGTATAAATATTTCGAATAATCGTTTCTGTATAAACGAAATTTATAAAAAATGAAAGTGACAATATGGCGGACACTTACTTTTTCAAAAAAGCATTGCTGGATATATACCATTTTTTGTCATGAGAATGAGTATCTATAATTTCTCTACAAGTTTCGGATTATAAAAACTATAAAAATCGTAAAACTATAAAAGCATTCTACATTTTATTATTAGATGACTTTGACTCCATGGATTCATGCTTAGAGATGTATCTGAAAAGTGGAAAAACTTCAACTCCTAAAGAGGAAAAGGTCAAAGAATCTCACAAAAGAATTATAAATACCATTCCGACTCCGATAAGGAGGATTATGAAGTCCAGTTTGGTTCACATATAAGTAAAAAAGTATGTTTTTTATCGTGATTGGAGATTACAATCTTTTTGGTATCACTTTTAGATTCCAGCTTTTGTAGAAACTGCTAAATATTGTACTAAAAAGGCGTTACTGTCTATATGATTGTTTTTATTTAGCCTCCTTCAAAGAAAAGAAAAGTCCAGAAAGATAGTGCAACGAAAAACTCCTTATATTCCATGGTTAAAGAAAAATATAAACAAACAGAGGTATTCATATGGTATTAATTACTTGATGCTTCATTAGTATTAATATGTCCCGAGGAGTAAAGGATCATTGACCGGTTGTTTTTTAAAGGGACATAGCTTCATGTTAAAAACTAACTTAGGGTTTGATTTGTTAACATAGGGTTAGCTAATCCTGTGTTAAAATTTTGTTTTTGAAAGTAGAGTTCAAGCAACGGTCTAACTAACTCTGAGTTAAGACATTTAACCTTGAATTAAAAAGCGCGCGACTCCAAAAAGATCAATTAACAATGTGTTCAATCAAATCGACCAATCACAGACGAGAAGCCAACTGGCAAAAAAGTTGTTTTTCCTTTTTTTATCCATTAAGTACTTTCTCGATAATGGAGCATGGCCATTTTTGGATGTGATTCTTACGTCTATTTACAGCCAACAATAGTTAGAAGTAATGAGTTTTGAAATATTTTCGTGTTTCATAAGCTTTTGTCAATTGATTACAGCTAATGTGTGTTCTTCTCATGTTCAAATATGTTATTTTAGTTAGGCGAGCATTGTATGAGTACTCGTAATGCACTTTTTTGGATAAATTCATACGCTGAGTGAGAATATATATTTAAACATTGAAATAAAATAAGTTAAACAAAAGTATATGTTGTCGCTACTCGTTTCACAGAGCAGGGCAATCTTCTCGGGAATCTTAAGCATTATGATTAATATAAATGTTTTACTGATTTTTTTAAAAGTTTGAAACAGTGCAAAATGAAGAAGACAACTTAAACGAGAATCGTTCCGTAAGTATACAAATTTTTTGCAGTTCTTAGCAGTTGACGTTGCCCAGATAGAGTAAGTTTTGCTTTCTTATTTAACGTATTCGAGATTTGGCTGGTAAAAGGGTATTGTCATTATAAATGCCCTAAATTATTGTTTCTACAATGCTTTGTTTACAGGACAGTACGTCGTTTTTACAGCTAAAAAAAATCGAAAATCGTTTAAAAGAACTTTCCGAAGAATGTAGAAACTTAAAGATACAGACGACAAATTTAGCTGCGTTGATGAATTCTGTGAAAGGTAAATGTTGGAATAGTGACAAGAACTGGCAATGTCTTCAACAATTGAAATGTAAGTTCTTTCATTTTCAGAATTACCCATTATTGTCAAAAGCCTGGAAACATTAATTAATGAACTCCAGTCAAGCAGTATTCATTCAGTCTCGCCACCTGTCAACACTGATTTACCAAAACACCTGTCCCCTTTATGCCTTAAAAGCTCTTGCGATGCACCTACGATTGAGGAAAATGATAATGCTGGCAACGGAGTGGAAGAGATGGTAAGAATAGTGCCTTCTTAGTTAAAATAAAAGTCGTCTATATGCGCAATGCCTCAGCACAGTTCCGTAAAAAAAAAGGTGTATATCTATAATGTCAAGCAAATATCATTATATGCAGTAATGGAAATTTAAGAATATGAATATAGCTACAGGGTGTATAAAAAAACGGAACAGTTATGAAAACGCTGCTAAAGATGTAAGTGTGAAAAATTTGCAAAAGCACTTGGTTAAAATAGTAAATAAGACTTTATATCTGAAGGTAAAGTTTTGGTAAATAACAGACTTTTTAGAATAAAAATTGTGTTACTAAAGCTTTTTTGATCTTGCGGATATGATTACTTAAGCGAAAATTTCCTAACTGTTCAGTTTTTTTGGTAGCTACACCCGTATAGCAATCAACATATCGGTATTTTTGTGCGTAGTCAGAGACGCCAACTAACAGCACAATTAAAGTGCCTTTTGTTTAAAATAGGCATTCCAAAACAATCCAGAAGATGCTTCTTAACTTCAACTGGATCTCACAAATTTATTTTGGATCAACAGGTGGAGAAGCCAACTAGGCGAGCGACTTGGTTGCTGTCTTTCAATTTCTTTTTGCTAGCGGCATTGCAGTTTAAAATTTGACCTGATATGTTTCAGGAAACCATGTTATCATGTTGAAAACTGATGAATTATAGAGTCGTAGTACGTTGCAGACATTATCTTATTCTTGCTAAATTTTCTCTTTTTTCGGAACCTAGAACCTAACTCGTGCATGTGAAGAAAAACTCATAGCTATAGCAAATGGTAAAAGCATTAAATTTAAATGGAAAAAGAAATGACACTCCTTATAAAATAATCAATATTTATTCCAAACGTTATTTATTTCTATTTAATTTTTTTCTATTTGTAATCTTCGAAATGTCCGCATTTTCTACTGATGATGATACCTTGTAACATGTAACACTTGTCAAAACGTTTAGAATAAATATTCTTTACTTTATACGGAGTGTCAATTGTTTCGTGTTTTAGTAAAACACTTTATGGCAATCGTAATTGAAGGGTAATATAACTTTTTTCAACACTATGCATTTGAAATTTAAGCCTTCTAAATTTTTTATTAGGTAGCACTGGCTCCTGGTATTAAGATTTTGCCTTCGCAGAGGGATCTTTTGACTTTACAAGGAAATCCAAAGAACTACACGTATGCGTTAATGGACATGATTTGGTCCAGAGATGTGTTGGCAACACATTCCTAACAGGAAAAACGTCCAATGCTCACAAAGATAAAACACCAAAGCCTTCATTGGATGCTTCAAAAGTTGCTGCACTGTGTGGTAAGTAAAGCTTTTAACCTTTATTTTTTTTAAGATGTATAATACAGTTTGTTAATACGGTCAGCCTTGAGGATTTTTTGTGGGATGGCTTTATGCAAATTGGAAATTAATATAGGTCCTTTAGAAAACTACAACATTTAATAGAATATTTGATGTAGTTACAAGTAAATTTGAGATGAATTGCAGCATGTTTCAAGACATATACCAAAAAACCAATAAAAACTATATGAAACTTTAAATTGTTTTATAGTGTAGTCAAAAAACTAGAGACTATGTACATGATATCACCCGACAGTTTCAAAACAACAAAAAACTTAGTTTGGGGGCGGAAAAGATGAACGCGTCTGCTTACAGAGCTGACAGTTCAATAAAGGTCACTAAAGTAGTTACTACATTTAGAAATCCCCAGGTACCAAGTAGCTACCACATGAGCGCTCAAAACAGTGTTATACGGTCCCGCTCAGTAGCTATAATTTTAATTTGACATTCCACCAGGTATACTCTATGATTTCTAATTTTTTAAAACAGATTTCTGTCTATTTTAGATGTGGTTGTAAAAAAATTTCGATTACCTGACAAAAAAATGGTGAAAGGATTCATAAAGGCAAAGCTAAACAACAGCGAAAGATGTAAAAAATTCAAAATAAGTGACAACGTACCAGATAACTGATTCTTTTTTATAATTTTATTTTTGATAGTTTATGCTCATGTTTTTTTCTAGTTATACATACATATACGTTATTTGTATTATTGGTAATTTTTGCAATTTTATTAACGGTTGCAAGTTTTAAAATTTTTAAGTTCTATTAAATTATTTGAGTTTTCTGTATTATATTTAACGGGCATCTACAGTAATGTGTCTGTTTTTTATGACTTGTCAATCCTATGATCCTGTAAGAATTTATAGTCTTTTAGAGAGTCTAATAGAAACTTGTGGGGCAAAACTATGTCATTTAAAATCATGTAGAATTCCCTATGTATGTTTTAAGAACTCCCCATGACAATTAGATTATGTAGTAATTCACGTGAGATTTTATAAAAAATCCGATTAGATTCTGTTGTAATCTGTAAGCTATAGTTTAGCCTCTTTACAAACTCTTTTAAGAGTTTTGTGGGAATTTTCGCCGGAGATCTGGTACGAATTCTTATAGGAATTCTTGCAGGATGTCGTATTGCAGTTCTTGTAGGAATTTGTATAGGAATGCTTGTAGGAATTCTAATAGGATTCCTTTGTAAGAATTCGTATAGGAATTCTTGTAAGAATTTTTATATGAATTCCTATAGGTTCCTACAGCATGCTACACGTTGTTCCTATAGGCTCATGGGCCAATTTCCAATAGGATCCTATAGGAAGTTTTAATAGGAATTTGGAGATCTGGTAAGAATTCTTATAGCAATAATTTCTGTAGGAAAACTTGTAGGAATTCCAATAGGATTCCTTTGTAAGAATTCTTATAGGAATTCTTATAGGAATTCCTATAGGTTCTTACAGCATCCTATAGATTATTCCTATAGGCTCATGGGCCAATTTCCAATAGGATCCTGTAGAAAGTTTTAATAGGAATTCCTATTGATAATTTTCGTAAGGGCTGTGTTTATCAAACTTTTATGGATGTGATGATATTGAAAGAGAAAATAAGAATATTACGGAGAATTTGTTTTTTGCGAGCCATGCTATCTTTCTATTTTCGAAAAGAACTATTCTACCACCTACCACAAAGAATCTCTACCGGCACCACTTTTAAGCAATGTAATTTACGAATATAAATATGAGTGTGATGCTCGCTATGTAGGTAGAACGTCTCTAAGGTTGGGTGATAGGATCGAACAGCATGTAACAACTTCAATCAGAAATGGAACGGTCCCCTCAAGACAACAACCAAAACGTGATTGTAAGAAAAGTAATTTAGTTTCATGTGACTCCGCGATAGGTAAACATCTCTTGAATAACTCCGATTTTGCTGATTCTTATCCAGACGACAATTTTAGAATCATTAAGAAATGCCGTTCATTCTTTCAGTTACGCGTCATGGAGGCTGTTTTAATTAAGTTAACCAATCCCGTCCTCTGCCGACAAAAGGTTTATGTCTTTAATTTATCCCTGTTTTGAGCGTCATCTCCCCTTTTAGAGATGACGTACACCCTTTCTTGGCATTATAAATATCGGTAGATTGTAAATTTTCATTTAGCAGACGTTGACACCTGAGGAGTAGTCTGCCGAAATGCATCGTGTCGTTTAATTTAGAACTATTGGGTAAGTGCTCTTTACTTAAAACAGTTCTTTTAAGAACTATCAACTTATTATATTACTTATACCGTTCACTAGGGTGTTCTCTATCTTTGGAATTATTTTCAAATTTGTCCCCACGACAAAGTCCCTATTTTATTATTTAAGAAAGCGCTATAATGTTGGTCAGGTTCGTGACCTGAATAAATTGGTGAGACTTAGAGGAAAGGTTCGCTGGTTGGTAGCAGCAATCCGGAATTTTACGATAACTGACCGCGCGCTACGCACTCTTATGTCTAAGTACGTCAGCAAAAGTGCTTTTTTATTTTATTTTGTTTTGTTTTTTTTTGAAAAAGAAATCTTCAAATAACTTTTGGTTGCTATACTTATCTGTAAATGTGCTGATTCGCCAATGATCTCACTGACTTTTTCTGTATATACTTAAGGCCCTGTGCACACGATACAGGATTAGTTAGATACCGGATTACTTTTCGTACAGGATAGGCCTTGCGTTCATACGGCTCCGCTGAAATCCGATACGCTTTATATTGTTTTTCCCGGAGCAATTTGACTCCGCTGTGGAAGTGGTATGAAAACCAATCCGATACGTTCCGTTGTCGTGTGAACGTTCGAATCCGATACGTTCCACTTTGGCAACTAAGAAGTCCGTGCGATTTTTCAAAAATGAAAGCAAACATAGCGATACAAACTATGTTTTAAATGAATAATCCGCCAGCAAATATAATATATCTTCAACATGGCATGTTTAAGCTTTTAACAATGTATTATCGTACTGTGAAAAGCTTCTTTCTAGTATTATTGTAATGGCAACATATATTCGGTCGTATTTGGACTTTACACTCTTCCAGTCCTTGCGCCCATTCGTAAAAAACCTTAATACGCCTAAGAAAAAACTCTACTTAGTTATCGGTCAAAAAAAATTCTCATTTTCTTACGAAATATTTGAATTAGCAACCATCATCGTTATCGCTTGCACGCACAAGTACTGGGGCGATATAAAAACTTATGTATCGTCTTACGAATCCGACATCGTGTGAACAGAATGCATTTTTCGTATCGGATTGCTCAGCGAATCCGGTACAAGACGAATCCGGTATCGTGTGAACAGGGCCTAAGTCAAAATAACTAATGGGAGAACTGCATTTGAATTATGTCTGCAAATCATAAATGCATGAAGCAAGTTTAAAATTGAGTTGTAATTTCAACATAATTTTCATGTTTCATAGTCCCATATTCTCATCGTGTTAATATTTTAGTAATAATTTAAAATATTCTCCTAAATCCTTCAAGATTATTTGGAATGTATAAAAACACAAGCTCTATAGTTACATCATTCATTGTCAAGATTGTGAAACTCTGTGCAATATAAGTACTCAAAATCTCTTTGGAGGTTTCTAGCAACAATGAAAAAACACTCCAATACTTGGATGAAATGTTTATTTATAAAATAGAGATGCAGCTTACAGGGCCTTCTTTAAGGTTTTTTTTTCGATCAAGACTATCATATTTAATTATCCTTATATGGTTTTCCTACAGCCCAATGAAATATGAAGCAATCAAAAAGTCCAGTTTATTAAAATTTCGTTTTAAAATGAGTAATGTAAGGTTAAATAGTTGGAACGCTACTGAATAACACAAACATAGCATAATGCTATTTTTTGTGTTTCTTAATAACATTGCAACTATTTAACTTCATATTTATCATTATATTGGCAAGCGGAATGCTTATGAAAATCTACGTTAATATCGGTATAAGATACATTTTTTTTCAGTATGCGGGATGCTTTCACTGAAGGAAAATCATGTATTGCCTAACATTAACATCGGTATATGTTACTGTATATTTAATATTGAATTCGAAACAAAAATGAACCAGAATATTCAGTTGATTAATCTCTGATAAGCCTTTCACCTTTACTTGTCACAAGTTCGGGACTTAAAGGGGTAGTCTGACCTTAACACAACTTTCGCTCATATGAAAGTATATATTGTTCTTACCTCTCTCGCGAAATCCTAGGTTTCCAATTCAAATTTAACTCGAGAAATACTGCCTTAAATGTGTGTTTTATTTTTCGATCGCCATGTAGCATGCAAGCGAAGCCGCAGTCCAGCAGCGGTTTTCGTCGTGACGTCACTGCGCGTGATCGTTGTCAACATAAGACAAAATATACTAGCAAAAGTAGAAATTACGCATAAGCATATTCATCGTTGCATTTTATTTTCTAGTTTTTAAATTATTTTGCGCAATGGATACGGATTACTCAAACGATTCCTCTAGTAATTATTCTGGAGCAGTGTTTCAAACTACGAAGAAATGATTAACGATCAAAACATGATTCAACCATATGCTTATGAGCCGATTGAAACAGACTCTAGCGACGAGCCTATGGACGACTCCGACGAAGTTCAGCTGTTGTAACAATAAATGAAGACTCAGCACAATTTGAGGGAATAGATACTCCGGACTGTATTACAGATAATCCTGTTTTTCGAAATCTTTGTTTAAATTATTGGGTATTACGACTGGCATGGAGTGAGTACAAACAACACTATGGTTCAAGAGCTGAAGAAGGACCTGAACACAAAAGACAAAGACATGTGGCAAGGCAATGTATTGGGCAAGGAAATTAGAGTACCACTACCATCTTTTGCTGTTAGCTACATTCGAGCACAT